AATCGGTTATAACGGTTAACTTATAACAAAGCTCAATCGTTCAACGGTCCGTTAATACGTCGTTATAGTATTTCAATGGGTCTAGGAATACGAATAAAGGCATAAAAACCCTCATTCATAGAAAATAAATACAAAACTGTTCAATAAATAGCATAATGCGTTACTCACGAAACTTTCCGAATTAATTGCGGTTTTATTCATCGGCCTTCCATTCGTGTTGTGGGAATCGTCTATTTGCCAATAATTGCAATATTTTTTATACATTTCATATAATTGCGCGAGAGCTTTAAAGAATCGAACTTCTATAAATAAGTGACGTAAGCTTTATTGCCACACTAAAAATATCCCATATTATATCTAGAAGAGATTATTCTAGTCAGTGGTTTTTGCTGTTGATAGATATTATCTATATATGAAAAAAATATTATAGAACGGGGGGCAAACGGTTACGAGGACACTCTCAATGCCAGAGGGCTCGGGAGTGCGTTGCCGGCCTTTTAAGAATTGGTACGCTCTTTTTTGAAGGCCCCTAAGTCAAATTGGTTGGGAAATACTTCAGTGGGCAGCTTCTAGTATTTTAATATGTGTGCAACATATTTAAGAACTTTATTCGTGATATTTAAATTATGGACAGATTATAGTCTGGTTTTAACCTTATATTATTTATCTGTAATTTAATATTCAAGAACGTTATCAGTGTTACATATTATGCTAATCTTTTTTCAGTTATCGATTCGCTATCGCATTAAAGCCTGAACATGGGTCGTAAAAATGTAAGTGATATGTCACTTAGCCCACGTATCGAAATCCGAATTACTATCACGTACTTGGAATTACGGTCCGGTATTTCCCACAAAATGTCACTCACGATTCACAAAACGCCGAGGCGTGGACAAAAAGGTATATAACCCCAAACAATGCGTTCGCTGAAACCGTATCTAATCATTTTTACAGCTCATAAAAGTCTTAATTATAAAAGATATAATTGGTGCTTAGCACTTGAAATATTGTATTTCTGACACGTTTTACGTAACTCCAAAAAATAGGAGCTCCTTCAACTAATCATACAAGGCAAAGTGACAGGTGGAAGGAGACCTGGCCGCAGACGCACGTCTTGGTGGAAAAGGTTAAGACAATGGTTTGATCAAAGCACCAAGTCATTGTTTAGAAGCGCGGCATCCAAAATTACAACTAGCCAAGATGATCGCCAACCTTTGCAAGAAGATGGCACTATAAGAAGACGACTTGAAAGGTTGAAAATATATTCACAAACTAAATGATCAAATTCTATACGCAATTATGGTAAAGTTTTTTCAAATCTGTCACAAATATATCTAGAAACTGGATAGGTGTTCTGTTGTAGAACTGAAGAACGGTTAAGCAGTGAGATCATAAACAGAATCGGTGACTGCAGGTGGAGCATAGTTCGTGAGCCTCCGGGTTCTGAAATTATGTTCTGGTAGTCTAAACAATTCCGGAAGAAGTCCCTGCATGGACTGTTATAAAATTATAAAAATTTGTCTTAAATAAGAAAAACCAATAAGACCACTAAAAACACATAACCAAAATATTGTCAAATGCAAATAAGAGTAGTGAAGTTTAACAAATACACATTCACCTTCTTGTAAGTCGAATTCTTTTATTTCGTCCCACAAGTCTGATTTTATTTACAGTGTATTAATGAAGGCTTAATACCTACACTTAAAATGCTAATTATGTATAATTAACGTTCGATAAACTTTCTTATTCACGAACGTTAAAAGACTTCCTTTAAGAAATTGTTAGCTTGAAATCTGGCCAGGTTCTACTGAATACACAAATATAAAAAGAAATTGTGTAAGACAGTCAGAACACTTATCACAAAAAAAAATGTGTGTGTACTTATGTACACGCGTTGGAAGTTATGCTTCTTTGGTGTAACAAGATAAGCTTTAAAACATTTTATCTTTCGCCTTATACTACGTTTGTAGTAAAAACGACACTTATAATAGAAAACAATTACTCTCATTATTTTTCCCTAACGCGCCAAAAGAAGAATAAATTAATAAAACTAAAATGTTAACTTTACCTAACTTCAGGGTGTTGGTTTTTTGTGACGGTATGCGCGCGCATCGTAAAAATTTGCTCTCATTATTTTACCCTAACGCGCCAAAAGAAGAATAACTTAATAAAAACTAAAATGTTAATTATACCTAACTTCAGGGTGTTGGTTTTTGTGACGGTATGCGTGCGCATCGTAAAAATTTACTCTCAAATTTTTTCCCTAATGCGCCAAAAGAAGTATAACTTCAAAAACTCATAATTCGTGACAACAGTTCTACGTGAATTGTGTAAGACACAGAACACTAATCACAAAAAAAAAAAAATTTATATAATGAAAGGCATATCCCTGTGTCATTGTTACGCTGGGGAACTCAGCTCGGTAAATAAAGAATGAAAACTGTTACAACTTGTTAACAAATAAGATATATTAAATCTTTTCGGTCTCTTCATTTTACAATATTATGTGAATGTAGACGAGAAAGGAAAACATATTATTATCAACATTGCGATCACGCAGGCGTAACCAAACAGTCACCGGTAGAGAATTCACGGTAATAAACATTCAAGCCTACGGAGTATGGCAATACAAATTAGGCAGTACGAGTGGTTCATCAACAGTCGGACGTCGTGAGAGGTTATCGACCGGGGCCTGTATTCCAAAATCTTTAGTGTTGTCAAACTATTAGACATCCGATTCGCAATTAATTTCGGTTATTATAGATTTATAAAGCACTTTTTGTCGCATATCTACTTCTTCTGCTATGAACCAGGTGCTCGTTAAGTAATGACGATATTTAGGTCCATAAACAGAGGCGATACGTCAGGTAATCCTTTAAAATGAAATAAATAAATAAAATATGTTTATCATGGAATATAAGATACAGGTATCACTTATTCCACGTCATTAAATTTGAATATGTAGGCATCAAAGAAGACAGGATGTAGGCCGTGAGAAAAAGCCGGCGTAAAAAACTCTCGGTACTCTTTTAAAATAGCAAATCATCAAACAACACTTATTTTAAAACAAATATCGCAAATTAATTACAAGTAGCCTGTCTAGCACTAGTCCCAGGCCCTTTTTTCAACTAGATAACGATTATAACGATTAGAGAAGTTAACGATTAACTTTATAGTAAGCCTTTTTACACAGCTGTTCTTTGATACATTTCTTAAAATGATCAAAAGGCAGAGATAAAAGAGCCACTGGGATTTTATAAAAGAAGAGTATCCTTTTCCCAAAAAAGAATTACTTACTTTAGATAGTCTAGTACGGGGAAATTGCAACTTACGTTTGTTCCGAGTATTAACATTGTGCGTATGTTCTATTCTAGTAAACTTATCACTATTTTTGTATTCATACATAATATTTTCATAATTGCTCGTTGGCTATATAAAAAACGTGAAGAGAACTGTCTGGCGCAGGGCACCAAAAATGCTCTTTTTATTTTTTATCAATAAACAACTGAAACCTGCAAAGTTTCTCGCTTCCACCAAAAATATTTAAAAAAAAGATGAGGCTCCTTCATTACTGTATGAAATGAACATCACAATTCATTCATAGTAAAACTATGCCAACGTTACATAGCATAAATGTTTAACATAGAAAGTGTGTTCCGAGAGGAGAATGTCAAAACTGATAGTTTTTCCTTATCTACGAACGAATCACGTTCGATACACCAAAGTAGACGACCTAAAATAGAATTACTACTACATTATTTAATGATATATTATCTTTCTCTAGTGATGAGGGCGTAGTCTCGGCCAAGGTGAGGGCCAGACGAACTTGTAAATTAATAGCCCCGTGGTAATGACCTCATCTCACTTATCCGATGTATTTTTATCACGTTTACATTAATCTATAAAAGCTAAAGATAAAGACTCGTTTGAATAGTTCTCTTTATTGATGTAGAAAGTGAATGAAGACTTCTTATCTATGACCGACTTAAACTTAATGTCAAATCTTTTAATTCTTTTAAATTATTAATAATTTAAAATAAAAAAAATATTACACAATTCTCAAGCGGGGGATCGAGTTTGTTTTAAAAGGGGGTCGCAGTCTGTTGAAAAATAATAAATACAAACTACATATAGGTACAAAAATTCGTTAAAAATAGCGCGCTATGTACATATATTATTATAATTTCACAGTGACGGGGTCGCAAGGCTGTTTTACTTAACTTTTTGGCTTGGGTCGCGACATTAAAATGTTAAGAAACGATGTTTTAGATTGATCTGTTCGTATAATTAAACTAGCTTTTGTTGACTTTCATCCGATATTATCCCCAATTTATCTTCGACGAGTCTTCAAACCATTTTTGTAAGTAGCTACAAAATTTTGTGAAATACTGTAATTTCAGTTCATTATTTTATACGTAACTCTAATAGCAATGGGAGCGTGTCAGTTTATTGACCGTTCAGTGTCGTTCAATAACTAAATTAATGTGCCTCGCGCGACGGTTTCTCCATAGGGGTTTGTCTGGTCGCAGCTAAGTTTTCAAACAATTTTACGCTTTGTTTTCGGACACTTTAGGTCACGGTTTCTTTTATTTGTTAAGAAAAAAATATGAAGTTTAGAGACCACTTCTGAAATTGTAAATCAGGCATGGTATTTGTATAGTTGTGAGTTTTTTAACTTGTATTGAAAACCTTAGTTATATTGTTTGAAGTGTATAATGTCCATGTATAGTTTGATACATCACGAAACTAGATTTAAGTCTGATATAAGTTTTTTTGGTTCACATACTAAATTCCCCGAATGTATATAATATAGTACGAAATCTATACCTTTAACTATAAAATTGGTGGTTATATTTCTGATATTATGTGGCGAAAGTAGCGTTAATAAATCCAAATAAATGAAATTCTAATCTTAGGATATTGCAATATTTTCTTACCCAATTATAAGTTTTAATAACTTAACTAACATTTAACTAATGTTTATTTTCGATTTCCAGGAAATGCAAGACGTTTTAGACGAAGACAGCGAGATGGGTGATTGGCTGATCAGAGACAGGGACTCCAAATTGGGCGTGGTACTGCACGACAGGCTGATGTCAGAGGCCCTGGGCGGCGCGCCCATCAAGACAGAACACAGCTACAGCCTACACTCAGACGTCGAATCAGAGCCGCCCTCACCTAATCACACCAAAGTTGATGGTGAGTTTAACCAATTATATTTATTTGTTCCCCGGATCCTTTATCGACTATTTTGTGGTTATTGAAATTCCCTTATATATTTACTTTATTCCTTACTGTATTTCTCTTTATTGACGGTACTTTTTAAAAAGGTTTCTCATAAGGTTATAGTTATAATTAATCACAAGCTCCAGTTACAGCTTCTGTCAAAGACTTCGTCTATTTAAAGAGCCGAGATTTTTATTTAATATTTAGACTTAAACAAAATGTCAACAGTTGAAACTTTCGCGCCCACATTCACAATTTTTATTTTAACAATCAAGCCCATGAGGGCAGCCCATTGGAACAAGCGTGTGAGCCACAGCGATGTATTAAAGATAAATATTTATATATATTTATATTAATATCACATTGATCGTGTTATTATGTCTGTCACATAATGGAATTCGTAGACCGTACGTGTGTGCGTGATATTTCGTTTTTAATCAATTCAATAAAATTGATTAAAGGCATTATCTCACGTTGCAAGTATTAACTAGCAAGCAATTGTTACCATGGCTGTCAGAAGATTATATTATTATTTTGTGCCTAATAATATACTGTTAAACAAAAGTAGTAAATACTCGAGAGAATTCAAAGTAAAAATGTAGATAATAGAAAGAAACGATTTTTATATGGAGACCTTGAACAGCGCTCAGTGAACGAAATTGAAACTTACACACACGATTCCATTGTAGAATTCGTGTAAAAAAAGTCTGTGCACCTTTTAACTAAAGTGTCTAATAGGAAATAATATGATAATATTTACATTTACTTTAACTAAATTTCGTTAATAACTAAGTACAAATAAGATAAAATGTAACTTAACAAGATTGTCAATAAAGGCTATATTTATTTATTTAACTAAAGAACTTAAGTCTCTTTACACTACAGCGTGAACTTAATTTGACAGAAAGAGACAAAAGACTTAGTTACGCTGATTGTGTCTTATTTTAATAATACCAACCGTGTACAAATCGCACGTAATTGATACGTTTTGTCAGGTATTGAAGTATAAGTACTAGACGATGGTATCGTAATGCTAGGGAGTCTTTGCTAGCCGTGTCCCTAGGCATGACACTATCGCATAACATCTAGGCTGTGTATTAAGATTATTCTTTTACCATATATGTTAATTTGTTTCGGAATAAATGCCACCAAAGTTATAGACTTACTAATAGAAAAAAAAATTATATATAGTTTCTTCAGACTTCATTGTAACTTATATAATTTCTATGTACTTACAGACGATACAATTTTATTATGTTCGTAATTTATTTATAAATATATCATAATATAATCGTTGAGTGATAATTTTTAATGGATTTCGTGGAACCAGTGAATAATCTAACATTGATAACAAACGAATTGTAAATATTTTTATTTTCATAAATTTATGTTAAATTTGCTTATTTTTGGGTCCCGGTATATCATTTGTGCGGCCCGCAATCGTCCACTTTTTTATAAAGTTTGACATGTTTGACAGTGTTTAAGACGCGAATGGGATTTGTGGTACGAATTGGACCTATAAGTTCGAACGAAAGAAATACGGCGACATTTTGTTGTTGTTCACACTCCGACATATGCAACTTCATTCAATTGTTATAAACCGTTCGGAAGTGACCGATTTTATCTCCAAAGCGTCAATTATAATAATAGTGGGCTAGATGTACCCGCATATATATAAATAATTATTTTCCGTGTTCATTTTCACATTCATAGTGTACAAACATAATGGATTATAAGTGTCGTGTGAACACCCACGGTACAATGGTAATACTTGTAATAACAATGTTCGACTTTCGTTTTCGCTTGTCATGAATGAGCTTGAAAACTTAATTACTTATGTATTGAGCGATGCGCTATGGGATTTATGGGCTATTTCTGGTGACTTTCACGTGAGAATCGTGTGGTATTTCTATTTTTAAGATTTTAATAGATAGTTCATACATTCATTGGCGCTTCCATGACTATCTGAGCTCATGATATTATTACGACTGTTTCATTGACATTTTTTTATGGATGATGAGCCTTTTGTGTCTTTAACATCTCGATTTTTGGATGTAAAGCGTGCCGTTTGTAAATGACTCCTACACTGCTAGCATATCTATATCTTTTGGCACACACATATAGTTTTAACGCACGACCAAAAGTTATGAATCGCCACATTTTGACAAACTCAAACAATGCTGTTATTAGACATATCAAATTCGTTCTCGTACTAAACCAATTAATACATCTAAAACATGTTTTTAAACGAATACGTAACTGAATTGCTATTTCAACTGCAATCTCGCGGGATGATTCAGCAAAGACTAAATGTCACCTCCGAGCCTTTGTTCGCTAGTTCCTGTAGTCAATGTAGAATTGTATTAACTGCCTCTGTCTGGTATTACATGTGAATCATACTGAGGATAGTATTATATAAAGATTAATAAGATTATTCAAAAGAATATGAAGTACTAAAGTTATTGGTTACATTGTCAATGTTTCTTTACTGGAGTCACATACACTTTTATTTGTGATTTTATATATTCAAAAATTATCGTAAGTAACTATTCAATTATTGTGTGTTCAACGTTGATTGTTACGAAACGTACATATTTCTTTCCCTTAACAGAACTGGGAAATTCCAATATCGTGAACAGGTTTTGTGTCCGGGATAACTGACTGAGTCATCATATTGTACCTAAGTCAAGGACGGAATACCGTTCTCATATCACGAATAATCAATTGTAATCGCTTATACCGTAATTAAATACGATTATTATTCTTGTAAGGTCTTATTATTAAGTTAAAAATATGGAGACCGGTTTTATGGACATTTGAATTGGAACACTCGTATAAACATCGTGAGGAAACCGGTATAGAAGGCTTATTACCAAATTGTCCACTAAAATAACAAATGATCACTTAACAGATACAGAAAGAGTAACAATGAGAATTCCCGCTGAAGTCACAGTCGTGTACATTTGCTAAATTGATTTAAAAGAAATGATTCATCGCAAAATCTAAATTTTGCAGATTTCTTAATGTCGTTATATTCGTTGTCTAATGACGAAGAGATTAGATAATTATATCATTTTTATCCAACATATATCATCCTCGATAAGAGGCCTAGAAATCTTTTATATCGTACAAATTAGCGAATAAATAAACAGTTCCATAAATTAAACACATTTTGCAACAAAATAATCTATTTGGACGACCTTTCACTTATCAACAGTATATTGTATTCTGTTAATCTTGGGATGATAAATCCTGTCGATAGAGTTATCAAACATATTACAATAACAGTGACGTTATCACTGACCTAGACCTCGGTGTTTTACTCTTACAACCCACTTACCTACTTAATGATAATTGGCTTTTCTTCCATAAATACAATGAAAATTGTAGCTATGTATTTTTTAATTAAAAACCATCATAATATTTTAGTTATTTACTGAATAAAAAACAAAACTTTTAAAAAAGTCTACGCTCTTAACCATATTTTTTTTAAATTACATCAAAATATGACAAAGCTTTACCGAAATCTTCAGACACAAGTGAATGAATACAAACTTACTATTAAAAAAATACAAATAGAAATAAACTTTTCAAACTAACGTTCGTTAATAAATGATTGACATCAAATAGGTAAAAAAAAGATATCTTTAATTTACCGTATTCAATCTCTTGGATACAAAGTTCAAAAAACCTCGCTTTATAATTTTACAGATAAAAAAGAGATTGATGTCGAGTCGAATTTGCCACGCTTTTGCTTGTCGACTAGACACCGTGAGCTTAGGAGGAAATCTCAGTGGAAACTTCACGATCCGCTGCCTTCACTGTTTACTTTGTCCATTGAAAGTAAAAAAACCTTTCACAAGTCAATGGGAGAATAACGGCAAACAATCTATAGTTAATAAAATTGTATTTTGCCGATATTGGAACATTAAAGATAAAGAAAGTTTGTAGTGAATAGCTGAGGTTTAAGGTTTTTGTTTTTACGCTGCTTCTATTGGGATGTATCAAAATTATGAATGTGGAATGACATCCGTTGTCAGTGACAGGTTCGTTTTTATTTTGACAGTGACAGCTGACAGGTTTTTTATACCTTTACTATTAATTACTCGTTTAATTTATCTAGTACTCTATAGTTACCGTTACACATCGCAGTTCTTATTAGCAGGGACCGGATCGAATAAATTACCTCCATTTTGGTGAAAGGTCCGTACAGACAAACTTCAATATATTGCAATTAATTAAATCGCGCAGGCGACTGTGGCATCTTCTCATTTGTAATAAGGCATATATTTGTCTGATGACAAATATTTTGGAATCTCGAATTAAATGTCAAACTCGTTAAATTAAAAGTCATGGATACTAGATTTTAAAACTTGTTCGACTTGTTGAAGAATTTGTTTGCCGAAAATTGATTGCATTGACTGCGAATGCAAATTGATTGCATAATTTCCAAAATGGTTTATAAAAAGCCGTTAGTAACTTCTAAGTAAGGCGTCTGAATGTTAACCGAATTGCAATTTTTGTTTATTTTATAATATCCAGTTTTAATAACAGATAGGTTATCATTAGGTTATGACTTACAAGTTAAAGTTTGCATACAATCGGAGTCTTGAGTCATGATTTATTTAATTATTAGTCTTCGGAATTTTAATTATGACCCAGCATTTACCTTACTGCAATTATAAATATCATTTCGAAGAATTATTTATTAAAAATGTATCAAAATCCTTATTTATTTTAAAACTTCATATCTTTTTATTTAACTTGGCTTTATCAAGAGCTGTGCACTCCAGAAAATATTTGCATACTTTATTCTGGGGAAAATCTTTCCTTTCCATGATCAATGATTTATGTGGAAATATATAATATGTAGGTATGTAAGAAATTATTCACTGAATATTATCTGTCACAAATATCTACTATCAAGAATTATAAACAACATTTATAAACTGATGATTTTAATGGCATTATGTAACGATCGTTCAATAACCCCATCAACCGAGTCCTATTTTTCAATTTGACATCTATAAATATCGTGTAATAAATCTTGATAAAAGGACAAATGAGGAATTGAATTAATAGCCATGATATTGGGTTATTAAAGTATTAATGTACATCAAGCAGTTGGTAAAATTGTAGTAGAATAAAACAGTTACTAAGTATTTAATAAATAACACGGACTGAAAAAATGGTTAAAATCGTATTTCACTTCACAAAAAAATTCCCGATAAACGAGTGGATTTCTTTTTAATTAAAGTTAAAATATCGTAGTAATTAACTTGAATATTACCCAAAGACCTTAATTACCGGTTAAATAATGATTGGGGAACAACAGGTTTACTGTTAATAAATTAATGGACGCAATATTTTTTCCCGAAATGAGACCTTCCCTAAGTGAACATTCAAACTTTTATTTTAATTATAAAATGATGCTTACAAAAAATATCACAGTTCCTTACGTTGCTTCAATAATTGTTGTGTTATAAGCGGTCTAATGACTTAATCAGGTTCCTGTTATGCTGATGTAAGCCCGGAACCGTCTGCTCATCTAATCAATGTTACATCGTCGTTGTTTTATCCATTATATGCGGTAACTTCTAGCGATTACGGCTCAGTTTATCTAAAATAAAAGAAAATAAAAATCAGAATGATTATTTTCTTTTTATTTTAAAAAGCGAAGTTATAGCCGTTCTTTCTGAAAATGATTTGGATCAGTGTCGTAAATATACGAAATACTTAATACTCCAACTGTTAAGAACATTAATCAAAGAAAAGCAATTAATTTGAGGTATTTATACAGACGCTTAGTTATATAATAGACGAAAAGTATATCGTAAAATTCGAATTATAAAATGAAAAGGTAAAAAACCATTCTTATTCATCCGTACCTACTCAATTAGTTGTAGAAAGATTTTCTATGTTTCATTGCAGTGACACGAAAGCGATATAAAAAGAAACAAGAAAGTTATTTGAACTTTTTTATAAGAAAATATTATACGACCTCAGCAAATTGAATGGTTTTCATTTATATTATTTTTTTTCATTTCATTTAATTAATTAATATTGGAAATATTTGAAGTAGTTGTCGCTCATAATTACCCATTTAAATTACGGATTTAGTACTCAGTATAAGTTTATTAACTGTTACTATTAAAAACTTATTTTACCCCCTTTCATTTATTGAATGCGTCAGGTAATGTCATTTTAGCGTTTTATATTAAACGCAATATTGTTTCTTGTATGCCTGGTAAAACTCAATTCCAATTGGTTAATTGTTCACGTGATCTTGCGCACTGGTCTAGAACATTGGGAATTGCTGTAATTTGCGTGCCTTCGCGTGTCTTCTTAATTTCCATACAATGTTTTCTCAATTAGAATTATTTTACAATTAGTATTTTATGCATCAGTTCTATTATTAGGAATGCTATCAGTTGCAGACCATAACTTATTTTTAGAGTTTTAGCGCAATGTCAATTATCATTTTAAGAGACAGTATTTGACAGTATATATAATCTTTTACTTTTATCGTAAGTTTTATCTGTTCTACGATTATATAGACAATTGTAACATTTAATAAAATAATTAAATTTTATATACTGGAATCGTTATTTTCCAGACATGGAAGATGAATGCTACCCCGCTATTCCAGCCAGCGCGTGGCGAAGCAGGCGGCGTTCCAGCGGTTCCCCTCTACCAGAAGTGAAGGCTGAGCCCAAGTCAGAACCAGAGTCACCTGCCTCCAGCTGTCCACCTTCACCAATTCCTGGCACGCCGGTCACACATGTCGATTATGTCATTGATCACACGGTAAGAAGGATAATGGAGCATTTCAAGAAATAGTTTTAAAAATATATTATTTTACTATAATAGTCTAACTCGTCGTCGTCGTTAATTATCCATTGCTATATAAATAATCAAAACAGTAAAATCTTCTATAAAAATGTGTTTCTGAACACGCATAGCTTCTTACTATTTTTTGGCAAATTGCTAGCACCGAAAATATTTATATATTTGTAATTTATATGTATTTACATTTTTTTGGTAGAGTTTAAAAACTAATACTTTAATAAGAAACTCCATTAGATATCTAATTGTAAGCAAATATAAAAACGTTTACAGTAAATGCTAAATTCGCTACACAAGTCGGCTATGATTAAAGATCTATAAATAACCGACAATTGCGATACAAACGTGATGAGGCTTCAAGTTCTTCACTTAATAGATACGTGAAACCCGACGCCATCGTGACTAAAACCCGACAATGACTATACAAAATTTAAAGATCATTCGAGTTCAAGCATTTTACCACTTTCTCTTAGCTTTTTTTGATGGTATTTACGTGATACAAATCCACCAATATAATTTTTCAATATTAAAAGTTGTTGCATTGAAAATTCTAATATCATTACTCATATATTATCTATCTACCAGGTCATACCAAAATTTACGATATAATTAACCTTAAAATATATTAATATAATTATATATATGAGAAGTGTTGGCCTAGTGGCTACAGCGTGCGACTCTCATACCTGAGGTTGTAGGTTCGATCCCCGGCTGTGCACCAATGGAGTTTCTTTCTATGTGCGCATTTAACATTTGCTCGAACGGTGAAGGAAAACATCGTGAGGAAACCGACATGTGTTAGACACAATAAACTCGACGGCGTGTGTCAGGCACTGGAGGCTGATCACCTACTTGCCTATTAGATTTAAAAATGATCATGAAACAAATTCAGAAATCTGAGGCCAAGACCTAAAGAGGTTGTAGCGCCACTGATTTATTCATTTTTTAAATATTATATGTCTTTTTAAGGAAATAGCAAAAAGGTTAGTCGACATCACAGGAGACCGAAGAGCTGGCAGCTACCTCGGACAAAGAATTAGTCTTGCTATTCAAAGGGGGATCGCTGCCAGTATCTTCGGAACCTTGCCTAAAGGGACTCCTTAATAATATATTTTAGTTATTATATTTTACGATATACATAATTGTATTAACTTGTATTATTACTAAACTATATTATGTTTTACTATACGTCTATGGTTCATTATGTAACGAGTTGAGTTCTTGCACTTTCAAAATGTATCCTTCATTTGTATTGTAAATTTCAGACGGGGACAATCCACATGCCACAAGCCGTGCTACAGAAAGTAGGGGCAGCGGGAGTTCCACAGTTACTGCTAAGCACCGCGCCGCGCATCGCTAACTCCTTAAATAATAATAAACTCTCCATCAAAGTCACATCCTCAGGGTCTTCAGGTATTAGCTTTTAACTACCCTTTTAACGAATTAATTGATATTGTAGGGTAGAGCGGGGCTAGTTGAGCATAGGGGCAAGTTGGGCAATCGAAATATCTCGAAACTATTCACCTTACGCGGAGTATCAAATAGCGAAAAGAAGGAGTGGTAGGAGAGGTAATCATCGCACGATAGCTAGTGGCAGCTCGACGAGTGAGTGAAGTGTCACGGCGTTTTGTTTATTTTGTGACCAAAAAAGTAAAAACATTGTTTATCGCAAGTTTTCGTCTGTCTTTGTCAAATGTTCTCTGTTTTCAATCAGGAGAGTGTTAATCTTTCAGAGGGTTATTGTATTTTTGATTTGTAAATAGGTTTTGGGTCTAATTCTAGGCATTTATTTACAATCCTACTTTTCTTTTAAAAATTCCGGGTTGGGGTAAGTTGAGCAACTATAGCTCAACTAACTCTACGACTTAAACAACTGATGAGTAATGAATCTTATATTTTTGTTTGGATGCGGACTTACAAGAGGAAGACTACAAGATGTTCTTACACTACTGAATACTTAAATAATGCTGCAAAGGCTGTCCACGATGAGGGAAAAGTGTGAATACCGCCGCTAAAGAATTCGGTATTGGTTGACTTTTAAATAAATTAAATGAAGGTGATGATTTATGGGCTATACAACACCGAGGGAAGTATATCCTCTCTCACAAGAGAACTGTTGAAAAAATTCTTGCTGCAAATGGCATTTTTCTCCAAAAGACGTCCGTCGCCTTGCCTAAGAGTGTGCTGAAATTCCACCAAGCTGAATTGCAAAAAGATTTCCGGAAAAGAATGGTTGATGATGTTTTAAAAACAAAAAAATCGTAGCTATCCATACAGAAACCAGAACCCACCAGCCTTGGTAATTTTTTTTTAGAAATTATCGGAAGTAATGGATAGATATGGATGCTCATGTTTTGTTGATTCTAGTTTCGGTTAATTATACAAAGAAAAATTTCTTTAAATTTTGTTGTTCTGTCAATAAAAGACTATAAATAAAAAGCTGACTGTCTAACACATATTTTATTTCATCTCAAGTTAACATAGAACCCATGGTTTGGCCTAGACATTCTTAGTGCTCAACTTGCCCCATACCCTTGCTCAACTTACCCCACCTATGGGGTACATTGAGCATACTTGACTTTCTGCATTTAAACATCTGTAGCTATTATATTGAACTTGTTACAAAAAAAATACTATGGACACTTTTGTTAAGGGATAAATTACTAATCCATCAGGACACATAACAACTCATTGAGACTTATCATTGAGGAGCTATATCCAAGAAAGTGAAAAATTGCTCAACTAGCCCCGCCCTACTACTCTGATAGTAATGATGTAAGCAGAGAGATAAACGCTGCTAGAACTTAAGTCAAATTAAATAGACTCTATTCTTTTCCCAAATGAATACGTATCAATTTGGGTTTTGTAATTGGGTTGTATGAGTAGATTACGCACAGTATCAATATCTACCCTTCCAAAACAATAATGGTTTTGGGATGGAAGTCATAAAGTTGCTTTATCTCTTAAAGTAAAATAATTAGATATGCAAGCAATGCCGCTATACATATATTTTATAGTTTATGTGGTAAATATCGTTTATAAATAGTGGATACTTTAATCGGTTATTAGACTATTACTATTATGAATACGACTAATTGTCGTAACCACAAACAAATGTTCGGCTTACAATGGATATCGTGTGGAGTGTACATTATAGTAATATATCTTATTGGATTCTACAGCAGGCTTCAATCTCCCACCAACGCCGCCATCTTCCCTGTCTTCATCAGACAGTGAAGGTGCGTTGTCGCCTGCCCACGAGACCTCACCGCCAACAGCGCCGGCCCCGCCGTCTCGCAGGACCCATCTCTACGTGTCTCACCACTCTCGGCAACCTATTAATACGCCACTTATAAGTAGCCAACCGGTTAGTCATATTTCTTTATCTATTTACAAAATTATTTTTTATATACTACTAGCTGATCTGGCAAACGTTTGTTTTGCCATGTATAATGTATATTCTAGGAAACATTTTTTGAGTTCAATAAAAATAACTATCCTCAATAATAAAAAATAGGGGTTGATCGTAGAGGGGTGACAATTAAGGGTCGCATGTATTTTTGTATGCTGTATCATAAAAAATAAAAACAAAAAATAAACTAAAACATTTAAAAAAAATTTAGGGTCCCTTAACATTTAGGGGTATCAAAGATAAATAGTAGCCGATTCTCAGACTTACTGAATATGCATAAAAAAATTCATAAGAATCGGTATAGCCGTTGCGGAAGAGTATGGGAACAAACATTGTGACACGAGAATTTCATATATTAGATTATTATTTATTCTGAATATTATTATATTTCTAACATTGGTGCTGCAACAAGGCAAGTAGGTGATTCGTCTTATGTGCCTGATCATGCCACTCAAGATACAAGTCAATTGTTGCTTCTTAGATGCGCTTGTTTTTGATCACTAAAGACGTTTGTATATCCATTTAACTTTAAAAATATACTTGCAGAAAGGTTCAACGGGCACTCTTATGCTAACAGAGGAAGAAAAGCGCACATTGCTAGCGGAAGGTTACCCTGTACCCACACGCCTACCCCTGACCAAGGCTGAGGAAAAATCTCTAAAGAAAATTAGGAGGAAAATTAAAAATAAGGTAATTCAATATTAACTTGCTTCGAAAAAGTTGACGATATTAAGTTTATTTTCCTTGTTATTAGAGTTATTTATATCACATATAGCCCGTGTATATTTCTGATTTACTTAGACCTGATTTTCTATACAGAATATAAATAAATTGGAATTTAAATAATAAGAAAAAACTATTCGATATTTTTTTAGATTAAATTTATTATACACCCCCCGCAGCCCCCCCCCCCCCCCCCCCAACCCCCCCCCCCCCCCCCCCCCCCCCCCCCCCCCCCCCCCCCCCCCCCCCCCCCCCCCGGGGGGGGGGGGCCCCCAGCGCGCCCAACCCCCCCCCCCCCCCCCCCCGCTTTTTTTTTTTTTTTTTTTTACCCCATAAAAAAAACCCCACCCAATCCCCCTTCCGGGCGCCCGGCCGCGGCGGCGGGGGCCCGGCCGGGGGGGGGGGGGGGGGGGGGGGGGGGGGTTTTCCCCCCCCCCCCCCTTTTTTTTTTTTTTTTTTTTTGGCCCGGGGGGGGGCCCCTTTTTCTTCTTCCGGCCCCTCCCCCCCCTTTTTTCTTTTTTTTTTTACACCCCAACACCCCCCTTTTTTTTTTTTTTTTTTTTTTTTTTTTTTTTTTTTTTTCCCCCCCTTTTCTTTTTTTTCCCCCCCCCCTCTTTTTTTTTTTCTTCCTTTTTTTTTTTTTTTTTTTTTTTTAAAAAAAAAATTAATTTTTTTTTTTTTTTTTTTTTTTTTTTTTTTTTTTTTTTTTTTTTTTTTTTTTCTTTTTTTTTTTTTTTTTTTTTTATTTCTAGATTTTTCTGACTTTTACACGTTCAGCGGTGGACTTATAAATTTCACAAATAAAAAACTATCAAAGTTTTTGGCTTAGAATGACTTGGCACTATTGAAAACTATATCTTTCATTTTCAGATATCTGCACAAGAAAGCAGACGCAAAAAGAAAGAATACATGGACCAATTAGAAAGGAAAGTGGAGATACTATTATCAGAGAATACGGACTATAGGAAGAAAGTAGACAACTTAGAGCAGAAGAATGCAAGTCTAATGAGTCAACTGGCCGCTCTTCAGGCTCTTGTGAACCGAGGGGGTAGGAAGTGACGTCACAAATAACCACTGACGTCATACAGGACTAATTCACCGTCTGTACCACTTCAATACAAAATTAATCCATTGACGCACCGTCATTGATTATTGAATGGCAAAATTAAATTGTGAATATAAACTTAGGTTAGATGAATCTTTTCTTTCGGAAATCAATTTTTGCTACTATTTTCAGTCTTATCAAAGTTTTATTTTCCTTCACAACTTTACCAACGTTTATAATCATAAAGCAGTATTATTGCCAGTTCTAATGTGGTCATTTAACCAGACAATTTGGCTGTGAGAAGGCTAGGTATAACGTTCTCACAGTTCGCTTTTGTATAAATAGTATATGACAACGACACTGTCTCCTTACTTATATTTAAGGATGTATATTTTGGATGTAATTTACATTTTATCGAACGTTATTTAGGTATCCAAATGACTGTTAGAGTTTGAATGGTTGCTCACTATGTTAGTAATAGGTATCTGTGGTGCTGACTAGGCCTGAAGCTCGTATTTATGTCAGCGCCATCTATCGAATTGGCGGTGAAACAGGGATACATTGGGCTCTAGATGAATGTTTATTGTTATTTGTGTGCTGTTTGAAATCTCGTAAAATAGTAAAACCGCTATATTAAGCCTATTTCAATGTGCAGTTATGGGTTAATTGTAACTCGATATTTGCTGTTTAATAAATGCCTAAAATATATTCTTAATATTTCTTAGAAAAATATTTATATTGTGTATTTGAATAAACAAAATAATTTTATCCAAATAAATTTTATAAGCGTTACCAAGTGTTTTTAATGTAAGTTTACGAACTTCTTGTTTCGTACGAATGTTATGGTACTACTTATTAGTAATATCGCGGTGAAATAGATTTTATCCGACATGTTATTAGCATAATAGGTAAGGTCCTTACCGTGTACCACTGAATTCCATGAATTTGCATTTATAGAGAAAAGTGTATCGTCCTAGAGATTTAACGCATATTTAAGATTAGTTATAAATGGACCTATTTAAAGACGGATTATTAAACATATTTTCGGTTGTCTAGTCTATCGTAGAAACAGTAGATTTTTGGAGCCTTTATTTCTTTGCTCTACGGTTTGTATTCCAGAACGTGGAATGGATCGAACACGCTTTGGGATATGCGCCTGTGTATCGATAAGTACAAAACGGCATGCCTTCAACGAAAATTACGTTACTTAAAACTAATATATATGTAAAAATGGTGCCAATGTAAACAAAACTGTTTAAAATTGCATTTTTTGCTCAATCCCCGTTTATGGCGAAGATTTACCAAACATCATCTATGTATAACCCCCAATGTCAACGCGCCGTAAAATTTTTCTGTACCCAAGTATAGTAAAACATTTCGTGACCACCTAGTGACTCTTTATACCTAAAAGTTATCATTATGTGGTGTAAAGTACTGGAAAGTCGAAAATAATATTCACAATAAGAAAAACGACAACATATCTTAAGATAAACTTAACCATTAACTTTAATTTTGCTAAACCACGTTATTGATATCAGCAAAAAATGCGATTTATATATTGTACAACCGTTTTGTAATTTAATATATATTTATGAGTAAATTTCCACTTGCTTTAACTATGCATCTTAAATGGAATCTCGCTGTTTTCGTTACGGCCTTGCCAACATTTAATTGAACAAGCATTCAGACTTGACAGTGCAGTTTAAATGCATAAACATTCCATTTATAATCTGTGACTTAAAGTGAGCTCTTGTACTTATTATTATCTCCGTACAAAACAATGTTAGTATAAACGTATCATGTAATACAATGCATAATCTTTATTTATATAATTAAACTATCTCAATTGATTGGCATATTCATTTAGTACGACAATTTGTGCAATTCTTTTTTACATTAGATGTTCTTCCTATTTAGTATATAAGAAATATTATATTTATACTGCGCTAATGTTATATTGTACATATATCCCAACGAGGATAAATAAAAGAATTTATTGAAATATATTTTAAGAGATTTTTTCTAATTATATGTATATATACTGTTTACGTGTCTGTCGCTATACATGTTAGATATATGTATTATATATGTGGAACAGTGTGTGTGCCTGCAAAGTTGTCTACAAATAAGCGGATAGCGAAAGAGAGGTATCCTCTGTGGAGCTTAGTGTTTAAATTTTAGGTAAATATTTAATTCCTAACATGGCATTTACCGTCTACAGCAGAGTGATTTGAAAGGTTTATATGAATTTATGAAAGTAGTTGGTAATTCGCAGTGTCAAGATTATATTTCGATGAAATGCCAAACAAGCTCACCTCTCGAGCGGCATATTGGTCCATTTTATTCTTGAATAGCAAGACTAGAATTATCGCATTGTCGTATCGTTATACATATGATGTGTAATTATGATAATAGTTTGATTTGTTAAAACTATTCTGTTACCTTGAGTCATGATTTGTTAAATCGTTTGTTTTATTATGATTGTATTATTTTTCAAACATTACGGATACTGTCACTTTTGAGCTAATAAAGATCGGATATTGTAATCAGTTGTTTCATTTTGTTATAAGAAAGTCCAATAACAATCATTTTTTAAACGCATTAGAAGTATTTAAGTATTACATAAACAAAGCTTATGACTGCTCTTAGTTTTGACTAACTTTCCAAAGTTTATGTTCCGCGCGATCACAAAGTTTCGACATCAGGTACGGATGTTGTGGGAACTACTTTGTACTTGAATCCGAAAGTCGGTTTCGGTATCGCTGATACAAAGTATAGGTTGGTTATCCATAAATTGAAAGACGGGAGCTTTTGACTCGTTTCTGGAGGGCCAATAACAATTGTTCTGCCTTAGTTTTCAAGCTCGAATAGCTTGCCACACATTATTATGAGATTTTTCCTTATATATATATATACTGGGTGGCGCAAAAGTACTGGTACTAAAGAACATTTGTTTATTTATTTTATATGACATTTCCTGTCATTCTGTTGTTGAAAATTGTGTAGTGAACAAATGTAAAATACACTCAAAATAAACATGGACCAATTTCTCCCCAAGAACGTGGAATAATCGTGTCAATGTTCTAACGGATTAATTCATCAGTGATAAAAACATCAGAATGACAGGAAATGTCATATAAAAAAATAAACAAATTTTCTTTAGTGTCAGTACTTTTGCACTACCCAGTATATAGTCTCTAGTTAGCACTAGACGCACATTATAAAATAGCATGGCTAATACAATTTCGTATTGTTCTTTCAAACCAAAATATTATATTTAACTAGTAATGTTACATTATTAACAATAAAAACAAACAAATAAACTGTACAATTCTTTAATTCTAGTATGTACTACATGTTCTTTTTAAATATCTTATCAATGACAAGGTTGCTATCTGTCACAGGATCAGAATTTCGTACAATTTATGATAGCGTCGTGTTAATCATGACATTCTAAGTGGTTCTGAGTGTTACTTATCAAATTAGATCATTAAAGTATGGATTACGTAATCAAAGGACACGGCTCACATCTTAAGCATCTATCGAGTACAAGGCATATTAAAAATAACCAGAATACTTTCCTTACACTTGTGTAGTATTATTCAATATAAAAGAGATTTAACTAAGCGTTACGCCCTTATTTTATATAAACTCGTAACTCACATTTTTTCTATGGTATGTAAGCTATGCTATATAAGGTCGTTGTAAAAATTTGACTATTGATACAACATATTGTTAAACGAGGTTATGAGCTCGAAAGTGTACATAACGAGATTTTTTTTCTATTTATGTAATCTCTACCCTCAATGGTGAAGGAAAACATCGTAAAGTTAGACTAGTCTAAGACCTAAAAATCAACGACTAAAGAATAAAAGTACGCATGGGAGGTATATCCTCTCTGCACAGCCTTGCGATTCTGTAACTCACTTTTCGAACTCACACAGCGGTTTTCGCATCGGCGGTCGCTCTCAAATCAGTCGTGAAGCAGTCATTTTATGATTTGGCATTCTGATAAACAATAAACTACAAGCTCCCACCTTTTCCGCTGTGTGAGTTACAGAATCGCAGGGCTGGTGTTGATTTGAAAAGATACGAGTATACAAAAGAGAAGAAAACGATATTTTCAATAATAAAGAGAGAGATAACTTGATGTCATTGGTTGGAATATAATAAACATATTTATCTTTAATTAATGTGGAATATGACATAATCACTTCGACGTTTTGAGTTCGAATTCGATAAGCGAGATGAAAATTGTTTTATCAATTCATCATAAATTTATCTCGTAAAATTTCTTGAATTCATTTTGAAGGTGACTTCCAAAGTTATTCCTTCTTTATTAAGTTTTTTTTAAATATTAATGGCATTATGACCATGGCCATTTTAGATATAGTTTTTATTTTTAGTTTAGTAAATTCTGTGTATGGCGCTCAAATTCGAGTTGATCCCTTAGTTTTAATAGACCAAGGGCTAGTTAGTGGTCTCAAATCTTCAGATGGAAGTTACTCAAAGTTTCTTGGAATACCTTATGGTCAAGTGGATTTAAACAATCCCTTTGGAGTGAGTATCGTGAAATTGTTATATAACATATATGAGATAATAAGCGCGCGGTTTGAGACTCCATTACATTACATACTATTTTAAATTACATACAGACTGGTGACTAAAGCATTTTAAATGCTGGTTTAAAACTCATTCAAAGAAAGAGATTATTGAGTAATATATTTACCAATCCATAGGTTTTTGTTATATTTACTATGTTTTAATTTGTTTGACTACTAGCGATAAAGATACTTACATGGTCCTATGTTGTCCAAAAATTTCAAATAAAATAAGTATCTTTCATCTCGTAGTGAATTGAAACATTTTTTGCGTTACAGGAAGCATACCCACATCCGGGTTTTGGCAGCGAAGTATATAAGGCATATGTCGGAACCAAATTGTGTCCACAAAGTATTAAGTCTTCAGCAACTTTGCGAGCTGCAGATGGTGCGGAGGAGACATTGGATTGTCTGCGACTTAATGTCTACGCACCAACTGTAGCCAGTTCGCAAAATCCGCTACCAGTATTAATTTGGATACACGGAGGTATCTATGCCGAAGGTAGTGCAGGCAATTATGGTCCTGAAAATCTAGTAAAGCAAGGAATAGTCGTAGTAACTATCAACTATCGGTTAGGACCTTACGGCTTCATGTGCCTTGATGTACCAAGTGTCCCTGGCAACACAGGTTTAAAAGACCAATATTTAGCACTTCGTTGGGTAAGGAACCACATTCGCGCGTTTGGAGGAAACCCGTATAACGTTACTATCGGTGGGCAAAGTGCAGGTGCAGGATCGATATTACACCATCTATATTCGAAAAAAGATAAATTGTATTCCAAAGTTATAGTACAAAGCGGCACTCCTCAAAAACCCGTTTCGTTTACGGAAGCTGATGAAGAAGCCGCTATTAAAATATCCTCTCATTTAGGCTTCAACACAACTGATACAGTAAAAGCTTTAGAATTCTTAACGAAGTCATCGCATGTATTGGTTGCCAGAGCTGCTGCAGATTTGAATTTAAAATTAAGACCGTGTAAAGAGAAATATTTTGATGGAGTTGAAAATTTCATTGATACAAATCCATTTTCCTTATCGAATGCAAAGAAGGTTAAAAATACTCCAATCTTAATCGGACAAACCAGTAAAGAACATTATGGTTCGCAAGCTAAAAATTCAGATGAATACTATAAGACTGATCCATTCCTGGATATTTTAAAGGATAACTTTATTATGGATGATGATATGATATCCAAAGCGGCACAAACTGTTAGGCACTTTTATATTGGAGACAAAGGAATATCGCGGGATATAGCTAGTGAACTAGAAACCTTTACTACTGATTTCTTATATAATCATCCAATTGAAAGAACACTAGTCAATTTATTAAATGAAAAAGCAAGTCCCGTATATGAATATGAGTTCCGATACCTTGCAAATGAAGATAAGGAAGGGGCACCTCATTGTGAGGAACTTAAATATCTATTCCAATATAACGACGTTGTAGTTGAACAAAATGACGAAAATCAACTTGTTATCAGCCGTGTTACAAAACTCTGGGCAAATTTCATCAAATATGGGTAAGCAAAATTATAGATAAAAATATTTACGTAGATATATATTTGGCTTGGGTCGATTTGGTTAAGTCAGTGTGTCAGCTAGTATATTATCTTGTCATTTCGAAACGTTCGAAGCTTCTATATAAAATATTACGCACTTTGTAAGACACACAAGAGAATAAGAGTGTATATAGAAATATTTCATTAATATACAAAATATGAGAAATCTTGGAAAATACACTTTTCGCCGTAATTAATGATTACTTATTTCTCCATTTTCAGAAATCCAACACCAACAGTTGATGAGTTATTGCCCATTAAATGGACTCCTGTCTCAGAAGGAACCAGACCTTACATGATAATAGATTCCGAACTCAAAATTGAAAATAGAGTTAATAAGGAGAGAATGGCATTCTGGGATCTATTTTATGAAGCTTTCGGACAATATAATAAATATCTCAAAATGTAAATCTTACATTAAATAAATATATTTATTATTAACAAGGCTGTTATTAAATCATTTTGGATTAAAAAAAAAAATATATATAAAAAAATCACTTAAAACAAAATTTATTTCCATTTTACAATAGTTTCATATAAAACTTATGTAAACATCCAATTCAGACTAGACTCTTAATTAATAACCTTTATACATAATAAAACTTTCAGTCTTAAATATTTATATAATTTCATATACAACGCCAGACTAAAGTAAAATTTTAATACTTTTGACAATTTCAATAGTGTAGAATTTTGTAGATTCCTAATTTAAAAATCTCATACACCTACGGTATCTTACTGTGTACATTGTTCAAGGCACATTTCAGCACCAAATCTAGCATTTTTAATGAATTCTATGATATTTTCGTATTTAATTTAAGGTTGACCAAAAGGTTACCTTAACATCGCATGTAAAAGTAAAATCGTTTTTCGACATTTCTTCGTCATTATAATAAATAATTGGCAAAGGGAAACTTCCACGTAAGACCCACTTATCCAATACGTTTCTTACATATGGGAGTCATACTTAAGCGGGCCATAGACGGACCGCATGTTGCTGTCAAGACCGAGAGCAACATGCGGTTTGCTCAGGAATTGCTCAAGTGGCTATTGCGAATATGAATTTAGTATGGAAACTACAGATCGCCGTGCGGCCGCAGTTGCAGTCGGTCGACGCAAGCGGTCCCAGGCCCTTACGCAATTGACCCTGAGGGTTAGATCTACACTAAAAGATAGCAAAATAAATGTCATATAGCAACATTCCCAATCTTGTTTTGAGCAATGACAAAAATGTCAAATTTGTCCAACTTGCCAAAGTGCCATACAAATCTATTTACGTTTAATCATCAATAGTTATATTGGGAATTGCAAAGTACCGACGCAGTATTTACAGAACAACAAATCAGGATAAACCACACATACATACGATTCTCTTACGCGAGCGTTTTTAAAATTCCTGCTTATTCATAAAACTAAATCAGTCTAATGGCTCCGTTTTAACTAAACTTGTGTCTCTTTTCATCACAGCGTGAACACAATTAAACAGAAAGAGACGACAAAGTGCCTTATAGATTAGGCTGAATGTTTATGAACAACAGAAAACTAATTACACTACAGAGTAATAAAAATCTTTTTCTTCGCCATCATATGAGCAATGATGACCCATAACGCTGTTCCCCAAAAGGCTTCCACCAATCGAATCGTATGTGTCCTCATAACGGGGATTCTCCAGTGGAAAGGGAAGAGATGGGCACAGATAGAATGGCCCACGTATAGGGCAATTGCATTGAGGCCCGGGGCCCTGAAAGGCCCTCCGGCCCAGAGGCGCCACGCGTCGGTAAACGTGTAGCAGATGCTTAGTAATGCTAGCGATACTGCTGATGTGGCTAGAACGAATGATATCGACCTGAAAGAGAAAATTAAACTATTGAATGAAAACCGAATAAAGAAGGAAATGGCGCTTCAATTTTATACCCGTAATTAAAGATATTTGCCGGTTTTCTGATAATGTTTTCCTCAAGGGAAGTTATAATTTCGCTTATATAAACAAAAATCTAACAATGTTTTCAAAGAGAATTAATAGAAACCGGAAAAGATTTATTAATTGATTATGAATTAATATAATAATCCATGCCATATATCGTGGATGTAAGGTCATGTAAAAGGTTAAAGGTTAACGTTACACATATTATAGAACTTTACATATTATTGTTATAATATTACTAGAGAGTGTATAAAATAATAAAATATAATATATACAATAAAAATACAATTGTAGCAAAAACGGTGATTTAAATTGACGGAATTTATTTCATACGTAAAAGTTAACGAACCTTAACGTAAAAACCTAAAATAAACTATAGTACAAAATAATTATAAAAATCATCTTTTCACAGATACATAATACATACATATACGATAACTTTACATACCACAAGTTCTTATTAATAGGCACAACTCCGTAATCCCTAGAGAAGCCGGCAAGAAGAGCTGCTGCAAGGGCGAAAACCAAGGCCCAAGCCAACCATCGAGACACGCGCGCCTTGTGCGATCTTTGAAGCAACACTGTGGCACCGGCCTGCACACCCAGCAGTGCTTGGATTGCAGATGTAAGGCATCCTAATTACACGACAGGAAATATCCAATTAAATTATTTTCAAAATGGTCAATTCTATATAAGCTATTCCAGACGATTTTAAAAACTATTTCAGATTTTCTATCAGTGATTACAGAATCTATGACTTAAGTCCAACGACCAACTTCGTTAACGGGTCTTTATACGACGGCCACGATTCCTTTTGCCTTAAGGACTCCAGTCGAGGCTTCGCTTAGCCATGTGACTTGGATGGCCCACCGATTTCCACTATATAAACCTCTTTTAGAAACTTACTCTCGGGCCAGAATATTCCAAGGATTCCAAGGATAGACTCTATGCAAATTGGTGATTTAAATCAGTTAAAAATTCTGACAAAAACTAATAATTTAGGCAAAAAGGCCAAACCTCGCCTTTTCTGTGCTACTCTCTGCTTCTTCATAAGTCCCAATAGCGATTTTAAATGTTTAGTTTTTGTAAGCGACTAAGAGCTGTTTTGAACGCACTTTATAGAAAATGCTTGCAAAAACTACGAAACGCAGTTCGAAAATTACAGAGTGCAGGCGCTATAGATTATGAACCATAAGAGCAATTCCACACAACAGTTTCCTGGTACACTTCCTAAGAAGAGTCCTAGGGTGGAATTTAGAAGCGAGCCTAGAGCGTACTATGAGTTACGGCCGTCAAAATTTTTGACGTTCAATACAATTTACCGCAAACGCCCGCATTATAGACTGCAATGAAACTTATATCAAGTTTCAAGAGCTGTCAAACCACTTATTCTGTACGATTGATATTAATTGACATCTAGTTTTTTATTCTTACCAAAGTATGTTTTAGGTTTTTCTCTAAACTTTCGGGGCGTAACTCCGACGATTCAAATAATCGCCACGCTTACAAAACTAAGGTTTTCTAAGAGTTGTCCTTGTCTCGTACGTATAATGATGAAGACAGAATTTTTCAAATTGAGGTTCTAATAAAAAAAAATTTATTTGTCGTACCTAAGATTCCCTCAGGGTCAGTAACAATTCCTCCATAGACTCTTCTCGCGTCACTGTGTTGGTAGAGATGGGAATCTCCCAGCAAGAGACGATCGATGTATCCAGAAGCGCCACCACTGCACTCTGGAGCCACCCAATCATCGTGTTTGCCACCAGGTCCCAGATATCCGCTGGAAACACATATAAATTAAAACAATTATATTAAAATTTATCGCAAATTTTTATGTATGTGCATTACTGTCCAACGGCTGTAGCGGATATTTTTTTTAGGACAAGGTTCAATTTAAATATTTAAAAAATCACGTTATTTTCAACTCATATATGAAACGCGAGTGATACAAGTGTGATATTTCATGTTATCTTACATTGGTTGCAAGAGATCGCTGGATAGATAAGGCTACCCGTTGCCATTCTAAATATTTAAGTGTTCTCATTGAACTGATTTTGTTTTGCAATGAAGTGTCCAATTACATTTATTAAATAAATTAAACTTACGCTGGACAGTCTGGGTCATGAACAATGAAGGTAATAGCACTGTGAACAGCAATTAGTAATCCAACTAAGATCCAGCACCACACACACGACAGCACGTCCTTTAACGCCTGACCACAAGCTCCCTGAAATTATTTGTCCATAAAAATAGTGATGATCGCTATATATATTAATATTCTATGTTTGCGAATTAAATTTTTCTCACTGATAACAATACAAAACCTAAGGTATAGTCACAAAACCACCTCGGTGCCTGCCGTGCGATTCTGTTAATCCGTGACTTCACCTCGCACTAACAACGCTCCCTTCCATTTTTGGAATCTCATGGTATTCTGTTAAGCAATTCCCCTTTTTCTTCCGGGGGGCGCCCCCCCCACCCCAAACCAAAAAAAACCCCCCCCTTTAATCCCCCCTTTTTTTTTTTTTTTTCCCCCTAAAACCCCCCCCCCCCCCCCCCCCCCCCCGGCGGGGGGGGGGGGGGGGGGGGGGACGCGAAAAAAAGAAAAAAAAAAAAAAATAATTTTTCTCCCCCCCCCCCCTCCCCCCTTCTTTCCCTTTTTTTTCCCACCCCAACACCAAACCCCCCCCCCCCCCCCCCCCCGGCCCCCCCCCCCCCCCCCCCCCCCCCCCCCCCCCCCCCCAAAAAACAAAAAAAAAACCCCCCCCAAAAATTTCCCCCCTCCCCCCCCAAAAAACACAAAAAAACACCCACCCCCCCCCCCCCTTTTCCTTTCCCCCCCCCCCCCCCCCCCCCCCCCCCCCCCTTTCTTTTTTATATTTTTTTTTTTAATTTTTTCCCCCCTCTTCCTCCCCCTTTTTCCCCCCCCCCCCCCCCCCCCCCCCCCCCCCCCCCCCCCCCCCCCCCCCCCCCCCCCCCCCCCCCCCCCCCCCCCCCCCTTCCCCCCCCCCCCCCCCCCCCCCCCCCCCCCCCCCCCCCCCCCCCCCCCCCCCCCCCCCCCCCCCCCCCCCCCCCCCCCCCCCCCCCCCCCCCCCCCCCCCCCCTTCCCCCCCCCCCCCCCCCCCAAAAAAAAAAACCCCCCCTTTTTTTTATAAACCCCCCCCCCCCCCCCTTTTTTTTTTTTTTTTTCCCCCCTTTCCCCCCCTCCCTTTTTTTTATTTTCCCCCCCCCCCTTTAAATTTTTTTTTTTTTTTTTCCCTTTTTTTTTTTTTTTCTCCCCCCCCCCCCCCCCCCCCCCCCCCCCCCCCCCCCCCCCCCCCCCCCCCCCCCCCCCACCCCCCCCCCCCCCCCCCCCCCACCCCCCCCCCCCCCCCCCCCCCCCCCCCCCCCCCCCCCCCCCCCCCCCCCCCCCCCCCCCCCCCCCCCCCCCCCCCCCCCCCCCCCCCCCCCCCCCCCCCCCCCCCCCCCCCCCCCCCCCCCCCCCCCCCCCAAAAAAAACCCCCCCAAAACCCCTCCGAAAAAATAACCCCCCCCCCCCCCCCCCCCCCCCCCCCCCCCCCCCCAAACCCCCCCCCCCCCATTTTTTTTGCGGCTTTTTTTTTCTTTTTTGTCCCCCCTTTTTTTTTTTTTCCCCTCCCCTTTTTTTTTTTTCTCACCCCATTTTCACACAACACCCCCCCCCCCCCACCCACACCCCCCCCCCCCCCCCGCCCAAAACCCCCCCCCCCCCCCCCCCCCCCCCCCCCCCCCCCCCCCCCCCCCCCCCCAACCCCCCCCCCCCCCACCCCCCCCCCTCCCCCTTTTTCCCTTTTTTTTTTTTTTTTTTTTTTTTTTTTTTCTTTTTTTTTTTTCCCTCCTTTTTTTCCCCCCCCCCCCCCCCTCTCCCCCCCCCCCCCCCCCCCCCCCCCGCCCCCAAATTCCCCCCCCAAACCCCCCCCCCCCTTTTCCCCCCCCCTCCCCCCCCCCCCCCCCCCCCCCCCCCCCCCCCCCCCCCCCCCCCCCCCCCCCCCCCCCCCCCTCTTTCCTCCCCCCCCCCCCTTCCTCTCCCCCCCCCCCCCCCCCCCCCCCCCCCCCCCCCCCCCCCCCCCCCCCCCCCCCCCCCCCCCCCCCCCCCCCCCCCCCCCCCCCCCCCCCCCCCCCCCCCCCCCCCCCCCCCCCCCCCCCCCCCCCCCCCTCCCCCCCCCCCCCTCCCCCTTTCCCCTCCCCCCCCCCCCTCCTTCCTCCCCCCCCCCCCCCCCCCCCCCCCCCCCCCCCCCCCCCCCCCCCCCCCCCCCCCCCCCCCCCCCCCCCCCCCCCCTTTCCTTTTTTTTTTTTTTTTTTTTTTTTTTTTTTTTTTCTTTATCTTAAACCCAAAAAAAAAAAAAAAAAAGTAAAGCAATTTCACATTACTTCTTGACAAGCGGAGGGAGCTTGTAGTTTATTGTTTATCAGAATGCCAAATCGTAAAAATACTGATTCACGACTGATTTGAGCGCGACCGCCGCTGCGAAAACCACTGTGAGAGTTCGAAAAGTGAGTTACAGAATCGCAAGGCTGGTCACCACAGTAAATAAAAATATGAAAATAAATACAAAAACATAATACAGATTAGAGGAGATATAAAAAAAGCCTAAACAAGAGAATTGAAGGAATCTTTATAATGATTTCTGTTTTCCCCACTTTCTCCGTGCTAATTTCCGATAATTATTTTTCCTAGTAATAAGAAAATCTTACCCGTGGTGGTGTGTAGTATTTAGGGGCAGTAAGGGCATAGAAGCCTGCGGAGATCAAATACGCCACGGCCAATCGTTGAAGCACTCCAAATATTCTCAGCTGACTCAACATGTTTGATCCATATATTGTATTCAGCGAAATGCCTAATAGGAACATCATTATGGAACGCTGGAAAATAATTCATATTATTAACTTTACATAATATTGTGAATAAAGAGAAGAAGCATTCTCCATTTCCTTAAAGTAAATATCATAAAGCGAACTAATGAAACCCGGAAATAATCTAAAGACGGCCTTACACAATGCCATTGGCATGCTTTGTTAAACTTTATTTGAATTATGAGTAAGTATGAAGACCTATACCCCCCAATGAAGCAAGGGGCATTCTTTTCTTTGTTTGTTCTATTGATTGTTTATAAACAAGTAGGAAATAGGCGATTTGACACATGATACTTTTTGGGTAATAAAATGTTTTTGTACAAGAATTAATTGCGCCAAATAGATCCATGCGTGCACAGCCGGATTTGAACATACGACACACTCTAGGCTATCCCTCCTCATACAGCAAAACTAGCCCCGAGCCGCAGAGTAAATAAGATAATATCATAGTGTCAAAGACAATCTCCATATCTTGGCATATCACGCATGAATGGTACCGTTACATAAAATTAACTTGCCTAGAAACTAAACCAGGGCACTATCCTTTCTGTGGGTCAAGCCAATTACTAGGTATAATACCTACTGGAATGCTAATACGTTTAACTCCCACTGTAAAAGACATCTTGATTATATGCCGAATTAATAAATATTAAATGAAAAATTATGGCCAATCTCCAATGATGGATTCTTTGCCTAAACCTACAAAATCGATTCAAAGTCAAAGTCAAATCGTTTATTTCAATTAGACCATCTAAAATGGCACTTTTGAACGTCAAAAAATATAAAGATGATTCTAGTTGCCCCTTCCAATTCTTTACAAACGTATAGAATTTAATAGGTATTAAAGTTTTCGACTTCTCTAAGTTCTATCAACTAATAAAACTTTTAATTGGAACACTATATTTTTGTATTACTGTATATTCGATACTTTTTTAAGTGATTTATTTGTATATAGTTATTATATAAATTTCTATTCTTCGAAGTAAACGTTTCTATGATGTGTTTTATCTCACAATCTTCAAGTTAATGTGATTGTTAACAATCAGTTCGCGGTAGTCGGAACCTAATCAAAGGAACGGACTAGAGAGCGTGCACGCGTGAATGGAATCCGCAATGATTGAGAAAAAACATTTCTTTTTATCTTACACATACAGACGGAAATAAGTGATGTAATTAATGATTATGTATTACAGCGTCTAATCTAATATATAAAATTCTCGTCGCGGTGTTTGTAGTTAAACTCCTCCGAAACGGCTTGACCGATTCTAATGAAATTTTGTGTGCATATTGAGTATGTCTGAGAATCGGACAACATCTATTATTCATCCCCCTAAGTGATAAGTTGTCCACCCCTAACATTTTATTTTTATTTTTTAGACCATTTTCTTTGTTTTTATTTTTTTATGATACAGCATACAAAAATACATACAACCCCTAATTTTCACCCCTCTACGTTCAACCGCTATTTTAATTATATAGTTAGTACGCTCTTTTATTGAACTAAAAATGTTTCCTAAATATACATGGCAAAATAACGTTTGCCGGGTCAGCTAGTTTAATTATAAAATTAGTTCCAAGTCTTGACAAACTGTTGAGTCGAAAAATATTTTTATCTGTTCTATTGGATATATTTTGAAACCTGGGTTTGTAGATAAGATTTTCAATTCGAAACAGTTGTTCTATGATATTAGTATAGGTTTGTTGAGACTTCTATCCAGACACATTCTCTTATACAATCTCGATCCTATGACCTCAGGGTTGAGTCGCACGCTGAAGCCACTAGGGCAACACTTTTGAGGATAAAACCCAGTTGAATAAACGCATAAAAAGTACACAAGTAGTACCGTGATATTAAACTACGATAAATAAATTAAAAATGAAGTTGTCTTGAAAACCAATAATTTCACTGTTCATTTTTCTTTGGCACTTATGGATCTATCATGTGCACGTTCTGTTGCGCCAGGTCTCATCTTCGACCCAGTCTTTTTTTTATGGAACAGGAGGTAAACGAGCAATCAAAGGGGAACTTTCAGGGAATGGTACGCTCTTTTCTTGAAGGCTCCTAAGTCCTATCGATTTGAAAATACCTATTCTGTCAGTTTGTTCCACAAAGAGATGGTGCGCGGCAGAAAGTGTCATAAAAAGCGCTGTGCTGTGGAACGCTAGACGTCGAGATGGAAATAATTCTCGACGTCTTGGTACAAATTAAAAGCTAGGCTAAAACTGATATATCTTTTTGGATGCATTTGCGTTGTTAAAGTAAAACTGGGGCTCTCGGTCAGAATAGTATCGACCACAATAGCAATTGTACAGTTACACAACAATGCCCGAAAGGTTAAACAGCTCATCCCGTATTATCGCAAATAAACGACCCGGACCGGTTTGAGGCCCGGCGGTTATATAATTTATATCGAAGTTACACAAAAGTTTTCGCTTGCTTCTCTCTATATTATTGCCCACGATTTCGTCGAGTTGGTTGGACTTATTGTCACTAATAGATTATAGGTAATATTATTATACAATTATAATTATCAAGATTACAATAACGGTTTCAGGTTTGTTATCTCTATTTCAACTATTTAGCGTGTTTAAAGTACATCAAAGAAACTTTCACATATTTTATTTCTATAGCAATATAACCTATTATTATTTTTGTATCTATAATATATAAGTATCTTAAATATTCCGTTTTTAAATGAAATAAAAATAACGAGTGTTACTAATATCCTTTTTTAAATATGTATATCAATAACCTGCCCTCTCTAGAATTAAGTTCATGATTATTCAATTCAAGATGTATAATATAATAAATTCTCGTTTATATCCAAAAAAAATTACACACGTAAACTGAAGACGATAAAGATTTTATCCGTATTTGACAGTATATTGGAACGGAATTATGAATTCCATAGAATACAGAGCTAGAATTCTAGTTCTAGTTCTAGTTAGGACAAAAGGGTCTTCGAAGAAAAATCTTTTTAATTTTCACACGTAATATTACCACATGAACATGTCAACTGGTGTAATAAATATCGTATTTATATCATAGTCAATTGCGCATGAAAAATTCGTTACGCTAGAGAAAATCTTAATTAATAGGTTTCTACGTTATTTTAGTGTAGCTTTCCTTTGATTAAGCATTTTTTTAATACAAAATAATTGAATTTTTGGTACTTAACTGCTTATAATTCAAAACGAAAATTTGCTATTTAATCGTTACTAATATTTTTTTCTACATTACAGCTAGAACATTAAAAAGTAATATTAAATTAAAAAGACGACCATACTACTTCCATGTACATATATTTTTAGAATGATTTTATATGTATAACCATGACTTAGGTTCGTTATGGTTAGCAAATTTGGTTTCCGAAAGGCGCAGAAGCTACTAGTTTTTATAAAATATGTGTGCCCCCATTTCCCATGTTCCAATTCCCCAAAACTGCCAAGATACGTACCCTAAATATGTGGATCAAAATTTTCCATCGCGGGATGCCTTTAGCGAAGGCACTCTTAACGGAGAGTGGCACACACACTCCCATGATCCAGAGGAAGGCAGGGAAGACCAGGTCACCAGCAGCCAGGCCGTTCCAAGTGGCATGTTCCAGCCACCAATATCCACCAGCGCCGTCATTCACGAAAATCATGAAGATTATTGCTATTCTAAAAAAGAAACAGAAAAATTGCTTTTCTGCATTAAAACAATGAAATACAGTCAAAATCTGTTATAACGACATCGAAGGGACTACTCATATTTGGTCGTAAAAACCGATAGTGGTAACAGCCGATGACGTTGTTATTAAGAACCTAATACAATAGAATTCAGCCGGAACCTTTTTTGGTCAATGTTCTAAACGATGTCGTCGTAAACGGTTTTGACTGTATGTAAAAAGTAAAAATACTTTAAAATAAGGACCATAGGGATAATTTAGCTAACATATTTGTTAAGCTAAAACACCTCTTTATAATTTTTTCTAACTTAATTATATTATATTAATATTATATTTGTTCAGTGTATGTTTAAATATTGTTAGAATACTAGTCAAATCGTTTATGTTAGTTATTTTTATGTATGTACAAGTGAGAGCCAAATAAAGAATTCTAACCATAGATTATATACATAATAAAATCCTAAACAACAAGGAACACGCAAGATACTCATGGTTCTATAATCTATGCTTCTTAAACTAGTTAATTGCAGCGATCTAGCAAATACATATGAAGTAACCAGTTCTGGAGCGTCTATTCCGTGGGAACACAAAAAGAAAAACATTCACGACCAATGATATGCTTATAGACTTTTTACCCTTTGTTTATACGATAAGTGTCATTGAATCGTATTGTTGGTTAAAAAGTTTAGTTGTTTTACGTTTGTACTTGGAACTCTGCAACTCTTTTAGAACAAAAACGTTTGTTTCTAAGAGAGTTATAAATCATCAACAGACATTACTGAAAACGTCATTTTCGGAATCCTTATTAGACAGATTGGGGGAGGGGTAAAAATGTGAATGGGCAGGGCAGGTGTAACGGTGCAGTGTGTTAAGTGTTTTCTTATATATTTTATTCACATAGTATGGCGATGACTGTAGCTTACTTGCTTAGACGCGACCTCCTCTATTATTTGGTACTTGGTCCATATATATAAATGCACAAAACCCCCTAGTTCCAATATTTAAAAGGCGTGCAGTAGGATAAATGCTTTGCATTTAAAACCAACCCAAGAGAGGTTCACAGGTGTGGTGAAATAAACAACTGAATGGTACTCACCCTCTAAATGTGTCTAAAGCTCGTAACCGTTGCTGAATAGCAAGCTCTTTGTCTCCATATCGCAATTTGGCAGACCGTCTCACCCTCGACATGATAAGCTTCAGTATTCCATATACCACCCATACTCCCAGAAGGAGACCCAGCATCAACAACAAGGCTATAAAACAATAAACAATAATGTATTGTCAATAATTAGTATTTTCATCCAATGGCTTAGAACGACGGGTAAGAGTTCTTTGCGCTAAGTACGACTTTTATATGTCAAATTCAATATAACTCTGATATACGACTTCTCTCTAGTCATCAAGTCATCATTGTGTTCAGAAAAAAATTGTGTTAGATCCGTAATGTTTATGGCAAACGGCATTTCATTTATGGTTTAATACAAACATTCTACTAATAATTGTTATATAAATAATTTTAATTTTATTTTTTTTAAATAACATAATAGCTTGGTATTTTTTCTACTTTCAAAAAACTGTTACTTTATCTCTCAGTTAGCCACTCAGAGAGGAATTTGATAAGTGAAGTGAAAAGAATTGTATCTATTTATCACGATATTTATCTCGATTAAGAATTTTTGTTACTGCATTTCGATAGCATATTTCAAGTAATGTACCAGTTAATATTTTATTGATGGGATTTAAACAATGAATTTCTTATTAATTTGTGCGTTTAGTTTAATAATTTATACACAGTGTAATGTTAGAATTGATCCCCTAGTGCTTATCGATCAAGGTCTCGTGAGAGGCTTGATTTCTAGCGACGGAAGCTATTCAAGTTTTCTAGGAATTCCTTATGCGCAAGTGGACATAAGCAATCCTTTCGGGGTAAGTTGTTTTGTACACGATTGCATGTAACTTTCACAATTATTAATAGATTTTTCATTTTTTAGGACGCTCTGCCTCATCCAGGATTTGATGATGAAGTATATAATGCCCACGATGGTACTAAACAATGTCCGCAAAGTATAAAGACATCAGAGCGAGCTCGATACAGTCCTCAATCGACTACATCCGGCGAAGAAACGTTAGATTGCTTGCGATTAAATATCTACGTACCTACTAATGCCAGTTCGCAGAATCCTTTGCCTGTACTAGTTTGGATACACGGAGGGATCTACGCTGTAGGTAGTGCCGGGATCTACGGCCCTGAGAATTTAGTGAAACAGGGAATTATCGTCATCACGGTAAATTATCGCTTGGGCCCGTATGGGTTTATGTGCCTTGACGTTCCTAATATCGCTGGTAACCAGGGTCTTAAAGATCAACATTTAGCTCTACGTTGGATAAGAAATCATATACGTGCGTTCGGAGGAAATCCATATAATGTAACAATTGGAGGGCAAAGCGCGGGCGGAGCATCCGCCTTATTACATATGTATTCTAAGAAGGAAAAGTTGTACAACAAAGTAATAGCTCAAAGTGGTGTCCCGCAAAACCTACTATCTTTTGTTGAAACAGACATTAATTCTGCGATTAAATTGGCTTCGCATTTGGGATACAATGCTACGGATACAGAAGAAGCTTTAGGTTTCCTCGCAAACGCATCTCACGAATCTGTGTCTAGGGCTGCTGCAAATATGGAATTAAAATTAAGACCCTGTAAAGAAAGATCTTTTAGTGGTATTGAAAGCTTTATTGACACAGACCCATACACACTCTCCAATAAAGCGAAAGTAAAGGACACGCCTATTTTAATTGGACAAACCAGTAAGGAGAATTTAGGCTCGCAAGCTAACAATGGAGACGATTATTACAAATCAGATCCATTTTATGATAACATACAAGAATATTTCAAGATGAACGAAGAAGACTTATTAGAGGCGGCACAAACAGTGCGTCATTTTTACATTGGTGACCAACCTGTATCTAGTGATGTAGTTTCTCAACTAGAATCTTTCACTTCAGATTTTATTTATAATCATCCAGTGGATAGAACTGTAAATGATTTATTAAAAGAAATGGCTTACCCGGTGTATGAATACGAGTTTCGGTATGTCGGAGATAGAGATGTAGAAGGCGCACCACATTGCGAAGAATTGAAATACCTATTTCAGTTTTATGATGAAATAGTTGAGACAAATGAACAAAATCAGCTTATGATTAAACGGATCACAAAGTTGTGGTCTAACTTTGTAAAATACGGGTAAGTGGTTTAACTGATTTCATAAAAAAATACAATATTATCACTAATAAATAATGGGAGAATATGTGGGTCTTAGAATGGATACAAATTTGAAGTTGAACTATCATATATCACACATAATTACCAAACTAAAACCACTTATAGGCAGATTTAAAAAAAAGAAGAATAATAAAAATAAGAAAAAATAATAATAATGAAACATAAAATTTTATTTATTTCCTATTTTAATTCGCCCAGCATAGCGGGCGGAAAACGGCTAGTTTTATATAAAATAAATATGGGCTACAGCAAAATTTGTAAGATACAAACTTACACTACTCGCAATACTCGTCGAGCGAGTGCTTATCTTGCCGAAGCCGCGCACAAATTATTTAAAGAAATCTATTGAGTGTGAGGGTGTGCAATTATTGATTCAATTACCCTCTAAAAGTCGTAATAGTAGCGTGTTTAATCAATTCAAAAGGGCATTAAATATACATATTACAATGAGCCTAATAGACTAAAATTGGGATAGCTGATGGCGACGCGTATCTCGTGCGTATATTTAATATTTATATTATATTAAGTTTCTCATGTAAATAAAAATACATTTTTTGTAATGAGAAATAAAGTTCTTTAAACATTATATAATATCGCAAATTTTTCAGGAACCCGACACCTGATGATGATGAATTATTTCCGGTTAAATGGACTCCAGTGTCAAAAGAATCCAGACCATATATGATAATAGATTCAGAACTCAAAATTGAACACAGAATCAATAAGGAAAGAATGGCGTTTTGGAATCTCTTTTATAAAGCTTATGGACAATATAATAAATTAAAACGATGTAATTAAATAAAACGTATTTGTAAATATATCTTATATAGAGGAACGGGAATAAAAGTTTCGATTGTTTAAATACTATAGACGAATATTGTCAAGTAAATATGTCACCGTAAAATTGTAAACACCGTTAGATTGTAATCTATCTCGCGAGATTATGAACTGTCGAAAGATTGTGAACCTCAGCGTACTGCTTACAATTTAACGTATTATTATTCGGTAGATTGTAATCTATCGAAGTGAAACCGTCAAATTGTGAAACGGATCGCACCTCGCGCGCTATTGGTTGAACAGAATATGCCGAATAATAATACGTTAAATTGTAAACAGTACGCTGAGGTTCACAATCTTTCGACAGTTTATAATCTCGCGAGATAGATTACAATCTAACGGAGTTTACAATTTTACGTTAACATATATATTCAAAAACATATATACCACAAAATATCGGATTTTTTAATGAATGAATCGTTTTGAAATGCCGAATTAAAACTACATCCATTAACGTAAATTCAGGGGGCAGTATCTTAAGTATTTAATTTTATTTAACTTAGTATTTTCTGCAAAATAAACAATATTTTAAATCCAGCTCTCAGTGGAGCGGAAAATGTTAATCAAAACGATGAACTCGGGTCACGATGAGTACAATAAGATCTTGGTCCGCCTACACTACGTTCTCGCTAACACTGTCTTCTATTGTTTACAATGACTGGCAAATTGAACAATAAAATTCAGAACCAGCTGGAACCTGTAAGTTATGGTAATTTCTTCAAAACCAAATTTTAGATACAATAGACTAGATATTGAAAAGCTGAAAGGCTGAAAAGTTCGCAGGCTAACATAGTTTTTTTTTTATAGAATTTGATTTGATTATTCAATAAAGTTCGAGAGTGATACAACGATTATAGTGGTCATACAATTTTTTGTTACCATTTTTATAGTACGATTTGTCTTAAGCCTCAAAATAGGCTTCAGTTTCGGTGATTTCCTGTTCATCAGCGCTAAATTGGTCAGCGAGTATACTCTTGAGGTCTGAGAACAGGGAAAAAGTCTCCGGGGGCGGGGGGGCCAAATGTGGAGAATACTACCATATGCCATGGAAATTTTGCCATCGTTTTCATTTATTTGTGACACGATGCGTTGTCTTCTTCCTGTTACTTTGCCTACTCTTGTACTTTTTGTTACTATCGCTAATTTATACGCCAGCCTAATGTAGTATACTCTCATGTAAATGAATGTTATTGAGAAATAAATATCTTAAGCCGTTGATAAGAAGACACCTATTATAAAATATACGTATAATTTGTATTTACAATTTATCAATTTGTATTTCCTCCAACTTCGATTTTGTTTCCTTTGGAGTAGACTCTTGGGCCGTGGGGTTCAAGTGCACAGGCGCTTATTAAAGATTCAAGTTGGCGCCTGGTAGATAGTACCGGTGTCCCCAGAGCTGCTTTCCTGGCTCAACGAATAAGTATCGCAATACAGCGAGGAAATGCTGCCAGCTTTAAGCTACAGCCACAGGGACCAAACTTTTTAACTTTGTTTTAACTTTCTTTTTAATTATTTTTATTATTACTAATAAGAGCGAGAGGTTAAGAAAATTTTAAAATATTAGAAACTACACATTGAATACCCAAACTAAGACACAAAAGACAATCAATAATAAACAATCGGTTTTGTTAACCACAACTTTCTCTCAATACGTGCCGTGTTCCGCTGACTTTTCCCATTTTCTTAATTTTCTCTGTCCCTTAGTGCGTGACTAGATATATACCGATATAGTGCCTTATTTTAAAAATAAGGTCTGTTCCACGATTTTGTTTTATTTGTATACGCTAGAACCTACAATGCCTAGACCTAAGCGGGCTGCCGTCAGAACCGGGAACTCCAGAGCAAGCACTTTCTTCTAATAATTAGAAGAATTAGATTAATAACATAATTATTATGTATTAACACCAGCAATTAATGTCAAAAGAAATATTATATTATGGACATTAGACATCATAAAAGCACCTATATATCGATATGATGAAAAATATTATTCTTTATAACATAAAAAAACTATTACTATTTTTCACGCTAATATTGTAATAAATAATTGTTAATTTTAGCGGATTTTAAGAAAGGCGCGGGAAGGCTAAACAGAAGTGTGTCAATTTCATACCTATTATTTGCATACTGGAAATATATTGCATAAATTCAACTTATATCGTCACTGATCTTGAACCAAATTCATGTACATTTATGTAATATCAATAAGGATATTAATAATATTGGTCGTAGAAGGAAAACATAAAAATCTCATAAATACGAGAATATCAGCAATTTAATACTATCCTTATCCAATATGTGTTTTTTTCTTATATGTGATAAAACACGAAAGAATTATACGTGTTACTTCATGAGAAATCTCTGCCCCTTTTGGTTGATCGTTTAGGTGGAACAATAAATATTATTATAGGGTCCTAATAACGCATTCAATTCGTAGTAAACGCTATGAATGAAGATCATCCCAATATTTGCACACAAATTAACACATTTACAAGGAATGATAAAACTAAATATAACAATAAAGGAACTGTAGTAAATGTTATTCCTTCTCAGTACAACTTTAGTACATCATCAGTACGCTCGCTGTGGACACTCGGGCACACCTTGTGACCACAGCTCTGAATTTCAGTAAGTGTAGCTAGGTTACATCAAAAAATTTATTATTGATTGTAAAGGGCCAATATCAAGATAAACCTCTTCAGATACTAAATCAAGAGACAAGGACGATCTATCTGTGTCAAGGCACCACAAAAGGAAAATGGCAAGAATTTTATTGTTATTCAAATCGCATCTGCATTTAAAAAAGGTTCTTAAAGTGATACATTTTATTATTAATCTCGACTTCACAAGGTCACTTTCGTGGCTATAATATGGTTGATACTTAAGAAATATTGGACAATTAATTTTGATTACGAGTTTTTTCTTACCTTTACCAAATATGGGAATATACAAAAATATGTCTTTGTGATGTCGGTGGAATCGGTTCAACAACCTAATTCTAACAAATTGGGACAAAAGTCAGAACCATGGCTTTATTTTACTAATCTAATAACAGTCTTGAGATATTAATAACGTACAGAGTCAAAACTTGGCAGAAAAAAATGTATTGAATTTTAAATACGGAAGCCACATTTCGCGCTAATATTGCACTCAAGTCTTACCCTTCTAGCTTTTTTGCGTTCTAACTCCGGCTATTCCCTAATTAATTATTTTATCCAGCTAAAAAGAGCTAGTAAGGCTGATAGATAACACCAGCGTGTCTTACACCCAAAAATCGACGACCAACAAGTCACGGAAGCTCGACACGTACTATAGACAACGTTTTATCAATGAAACAGGCGCTGAACATATGACTGCTTCATGCCCCTATTATTAGTTTTCTTCATAGGTGTAATGACAAAAACAATATATTGTTGCTCCAGATTAGACTCACAAAGTACGTATAATCCAAAGTTAAATAAATTACTTACGCATATAAATGTCAACTGGTTCTTTTGTGGTTCGCATATCACATCCACCACCGGTTACATTCAGGGCATATACACCAAATTCACCCAAATTCGGTCTCAGCTGACATAACAATCCCCTGTTAAAAAACAAATAGTATTTTTATACCGTAATCATATAAATTTATAGATATGCTGTTTGGCCTAGGATTCTTGCTTGCTTGCGTCTGTAATATCTTGGTTGTCATATAATTCATGTGTATGAGTGTAATATTTGTAACGTTATATTTTCTTGTATTTTAAGCATGTTTTAAAATAATTTTAGAACTTATGAATACAAAACAAAATCATTTCAAATATTGCAATCGTTTATAGATAAGGCTGTGCAGTTTGATTGTCTAGCCTTCCTTGATACATTTATCAAATACATATTGAAATATTCATAGTCCATTCACTATATAAAACAAAAATATTTTTTCGAACCAGCAGTACCTGAGAACACCTTCAAGCAAACAAACTTATCACGATATAAATATTAATTTACCAAAATATGTTATCAATATTTAACTTTCAAATCGAAGTTTTAAGTTGATAGACATGATGAAAGTAGAAATACTCGTACTACACTCACGCTCACAAATGTTTTTTTTTGTCTGGATCTAGATTCTATTTTCAAAATTGCAATCGTTAATTCTGCGAGACGTTGATTGAGAGACATTTTATTTAGTTACAACTAGTTTAGTGTTTTAATTATTTTGTGTAAAGTTAAAATTGACAATTATTGAAATGCTATATAATATTAGATAAAAATTTTTTCTGCTTTCATTTGTTTTTATGAATATTTCAATTGATTTCAAAAATATAACTTCGTCGAATTTGATCCTCGAATTAAGTTTAACATAACATTCAACTAGTGACGAAATGAAAAAGAAATTGTAATTTAATGAGTCAAAGTAAGTGGCGGCTCATTTGTAAGCACTAAACGATTTGTATTACATAACTTGGCTGGTGTGCAACTGATTTCACCAAATGAAGAATTTAACTAAACCACGAAATGAATTTTAAAAACACGTTTCTGGTACAGCACTTATTAAAAGGTGATTTACTTCAAAACTAACTTTAAATGCACAATCTTTCCAAGATTCGATACTCAGCTAAACAATTTTAGTTACGGATTGGTAAGCAAAGACGTCAAACCAGCCTTACAAATATGGGATGAAAAGAAACACACACAAAGAGATTTCGCCAAAAAATATTTCTAATTAGTTAATATCTAATTTTTATACAAATATTTGTCGTTACTAAATAAGTTAGTCGCCACTTAGATTTAAAATAAGCTACAATTTAAAAGCTTCTTGAAATTGGAAACTTAGTAGGTTTGCTTAGTTGTTATCGACTATAATGTAGCTAAGTTTGTTTAAGGTTGCAAAAAACTTATTTCACTATTAAATTTTAAATAAATAACTTACGTAGTATTTCTCAGACTTATATACTGTTCTGTCGTGTCTGTGTAGACGCGCCATGTTGATCGCCTGGCTGTGTCCACAACCCACCAGCTATCGAAGCCTGCTGATAATGACTTTTGAAGCTCGAACGGACACTGAAATACATGTGTTTATTGAATAACAAATATTATACTGTGCTTAATATTAATTAATAAACTTAATTATAATTTCAGTTATTTTATGTAATTCATTTTAATATTAATCTTTGGAATTATAAGCATTATGTTTGTGCACACCTATTATCGAGGCCACACATTGGTTCTAATTTGTATAACTTGTTTCTTTCTCTTTCTTTGTTTTTCTTACGTGGCTTTGTTGGTGCGGTTTTAAAAAATAAATAAATTTACGTTTAAATATCTTATAACGTACAGTTGTTATAATTTATATTCGATTAAGATAGACTATTTATTTAATTATATAGGCCATTTCTACATTTTATAATTTTGGTTACGTACTTCGTATTTTCGTAAATTGGTGTTACAGGGGTAATAAATATTCAACGGGTAAGGAAAATATTATTAGCTCCTATTTTGTAATATTAGTGCATGATGGTACTGCTTGTGTATGAGCATATTAAACCGAATTTAATAACAAATAATTAAGCTTGTTTTGAACAATATCACGAAGCTTGAAACTTGACTTCAAATATCGCTGGCGAATTACGCGATTTAGTATCGAGAAAGGTACGTAATTACATAACCGGGTGGATACTGGATACTCGAAATGGAGAGGAATTCTCGAGAAACAAGTTACAGGACAAAGTTCTTGTAACAAAAAGTGTATGAAGCACATTTTTTGCAGGTTATGCGCAGGAATTGACTGCCGGTACAACAAAAATACTGAGTCCCTATAAAAAATAGTTTAAAGAGGAAATTTTAAGGTTATAACGCAAGTCTTGATTGATTTATAATACACATTTATATATAAAAATATGTGTATACATCAATGACTTAACGAAAGAAATAAACTTTATTTATATTACTAGGTACATCACTTAAAAAAGAAAATATACAATAACAACGATTCGTTGTGTAGCCCCCCACACTAGGAATTCCTGAATTATTTATTATTTTATAGAACAGTGAGCTAATCGGCTTGAGGCTCATCTGATGTAAATCGATGCCCATGAACACTCATTGAGAGGCTCGCGAGTGCGTTGCCGGCCTTTTAAATATTGGTACGCTCTTTTCTTGAAGGACCCTTAATCCAATTGGTTCGGAAATACTTTAGTCGTGGTGCGCGGCATAAACTGCCTTAAAACCGTGTCTCTTCTCCCTGTCTCTTCATCAGATAAATAACATAAACGTAGCAGCAAGTAATTTCTCTGCGCTCGCGTGATCAAAATATTTGACACACATTCCTATTACTTTTAATTGCATCTTGCAACCGCAATATTATTAGAGCAGACAACAAAAATACACTATGAAGTATTATAAATATCACAGTATTATATTAATCTAGTAAATCTATTATGATGCAATTATATTAATTTATTAGTAAGAAGTTCCTACTTATGGAATCTTCATCACACAATAGGAAATATATTTCCAACATTTGTTAATAGTAAACGAAATACGAATAATATTACTTTGCCATAACAGAATAAATTTTAAATTAATAAATAAAAAACAGCAACAAACACGTGTTTTCTATAAATGTGAAAATATATTCTAATATTTTTGTATTTATTTCCAATTAATTTTATTTTTTTTATTTTATTTATTCTATACAAGATCCTAAATAGAAAGAAGTTGGCGTGGTGGAAACACAAACTGGACACAGTAATCATAAATTGAATCGTAAATTGAAACCTTAAAATCCCGGGGAAAATTCCAGGACACGTCATCGCAATTACAGTGCATTGCCCTATAACAAAGCGCGTTTTCCAATGTCCATCAAGAATTTTGCACTCATTATACCTGAGTTTTTGATTTATGCTTGCCGTTTAATTAATGATGTAAGCTTGACTCGATAATGATGCTACATCTTATAAGAATTTTAATTAATTAAAAAAAGTAATTATTTCGTTATTTAATTAGTACAAGTAGTCCTCCTAGTCCGCCAATTTCTTTTAGAGATAAATTACTCGTCACAACGTTGCAAAATAATTATGTTTTTAAGCTAAATAAAAAAAAATCACCGAAATACTTTCAAATCCTTTTATGATATTTTAATGACACATAAATCAAATATAAAGAATTCCAAAATCAATATTTGCCTAAACTGTATAAAAGTCATAACAGGTTACTTCACTAACACCACCTCACTAGAATCAATTCCAATCTGCTATCGTGAAATCGACAACAAAGGCGCTGGGATTACGAGTGGAAAGCGATCCCATAGCGTCGAATAATTTAAATGTTACTATTGTAAATAGCCAAGTATGACTTAGGTACCAAAACTTTATCGATACATGTTAGTTGAAGGTCAATATGAGAAATCATGCATATAAAGTAACGGATGTTGGTTGTTAAATAACAATTTGCCAATGAAGCAAGCACGTAATACGATGTAATTCATAAAAAATCGCTAATTTTATTCATTCTTTTACGTGAAAATTGTTCATTATTTTAAGTGAAAATGGCAATCTTTTTATACATTGTCGCTGCACAAAGCCTAATGTAAGACTAATAAGTAATTTATTAAAACTTAATCTAAGTAAGAAAGTAAAAAGAAAGAAAGAAGAAAGTGTCCAATAACACTACTTAATAATAGAGACATTAAGGGGAAGACATGACTTTGTGTGTTTTTTTTCCACTTACCGCTGTTTAGCACTCAAGACTTACGTGCACTCAATTAAAATGACTTAAAACAGTAAAATAAGTACATCCATATTTTTTTGATTATTTCGTTTTTCATATATAAATATTGGAATTGGTGATCAATGTTTTATTTTTATTTAATTGTTTCTATTAATTTATATAACCTACAAGGGTTTTATAGTTATTATAGTTTGAATTTGATACAACGTATTTGTTATTATCTAGGATACGATTACAAAACAAATGTACGGCATGAGGACGTCACATTTCTGTGTCTATTAGATTTTTCGAGCAACCACTTAAGATTTGGAACTATTATATTCATCCCAAATTTTTTTTTTATCGCTTGGAATCGGTAATTAAATAAAAGTCGAACCAGTATTACCACCATATATACCTACTTAATGTACGATTATACCCTTACACATTTTGTATTTGTATTCTCCCATGATTCACGGTTCAATAACAACTAAACAGTGGGAATGTTTTATAATAAGCTTGCAGTTTGTAAATAGGAACCCATATGTAATGAGTAATAGCAAAACATAAGGTTTTGTGTAGCGTGATAATTATAGGTGGCAAATAGTTGAGTTTTTATATCTTTACATTACTAGGCGTAACTATTATAATTAAATATTATAAGATTATTTTATTATTCAAAACATTTAGCCCAAATATGTTTTAGGATATTTTCCCTCTGTAGCTTGTATAAGTAGCCAATGAATACAAGTTTCGTAAAAGATACGGATCAATTAAAAGTAATTATCATGCTGAGACATAACGACCCGTTTTCCCGTTTTTAAGTAATAACTGCTGAATATAAAAAAAACACATTATTTAAATTTTTACTTATAACATTTCTATCGTACAATATTTGCATGGCATTTTGTCAATTCACTGTTAGAACTACCAATTTAAACTTCAAAAGATCCTTCAACGTACATTTAACTTTGTCATCGTAGGAAATTAAAACAGAATAATTTATACCCGTAAACTAGGAAATGTCTTTTTCGTTCGGTATAATTCAATTTCCGAGTTACATTAAATAGAAAGTGAATATTACAAAAAAATACTGTTATCATAATTATCTCAGTTATCATAATTGCCTTGACAATTAGGAGAAATAGAAAAGCAAATCGATCGACTAGACTTCTTTAAATGCCTGATATTGGAGAAGCTTTAGGTTCAAAATTTGAATCGGATGAAAAATATATGCGCCATTGCAATTTTACTTAAAGAAAATTGATGGTAGGTTAGGATAACGAGTTGGCCGTGAACAACCCTTCTTGGATGAGTACGTAAGAATGATACTTCGGTCGCGTCGGATATCCGTCCTATTGGCGTATGAGAGTTATGGAATATGAAGTGCACTTGCGTCTGCGCACTTTTATCCGAAAATATCTGCGTAGTTTTGAAAATGCTTAGCTAACGAAACTGTATTAATAGCAATAACAGAACTTTGTTAAACAAATTGTATCAATAAATCTTTCTACGATTTTGTATAATTGAAATTATCATTTAGGTTGTAAGGTGATTTAACCTATTTGCCAAAGAAATTGGAGAAAATTTCTGGTGTTTCATAATCACATAGCGATATGCTTTACAACCTACTTACCATTACATTACAAATTTCACAATAATTTGCCGAACCATTTTGGACGAGAGCAACCACAAAATTGATTTATACTGATTAGATTATCCTGAAAGAGCTCTATATCCATACCTTTCTGTCTTGCTTATATAATTTGTATTCATATAATGTTATTTGTTCCACTCGTAAAATGCAAATGCGAAAAGAGAACTTAAAAATTAATCTCATCTTAAAGTTACACAAAAAGAAGTATTGATATTATTAATAAAAGAAATTAAGTACAAGTTACATTTGTTACGTACTATTTTATTTCTTTAGTAACAAAAATACCCTTGGCTAGATTTATATCAAGAGCCAATACCAAAGTGTTTACATCTGTTCATACGAAGGTTACAGGTTCATAAACCTATCAATAGACTATAGATGTAGAAACTGTTTATTGTAGGACAAATACTGATAGTGTTACCAATGTTAAGTAATATAACGCAGGCCGATTTTGGCCTTGTTGCGTGTGACCATGAAGTTTTGGAGTACATATGCAGGTCAAATATTTAAACATTAATAATTCTTGCGTGAGCAATCAGGATATTTATAATATATATATAAATTATCAAAATATTTATGCGGGTTTGGCGTGACGGGGTAACAAACTAAAATATATTAGCTTATTATTTAACGACTGTTTAAGTGTAAGTTTAAGTAAACAACTTTCTCTTTATGTGTTAACTGATTTGGATTATATGTATAATTTACGAGTTGTAAAATAACCCATAATTATTCTATATAGTTTTATCGTTAACTATCAAAAAAATATACAGATTTTAAACTAATTCAAAATTTACTCACCCTGAAGCAATCATCAGACACGCTATAAACAGCAACACTCCTGTCAGTCTCCGCAACAACATACGCCTGGTCCATCATCAGGGCACTGATATTAAGACCCTGGTGCTCCTCAACTCCAGGGTCCTCCATCCAGGAGCGCACCACATCCTTGTACCACTGCCAAGTGTCATTGGCGACCGTTGAGTCATTCATTTTTATTACGCGTATAACATTATCAAACGTCTAAGCCGTGAGAGTTGCGAACTGGAACTGCCGGTACGACCGGTGTCCACGCGTTTTGTGAGGCTTTCTAAGAAAAAAGAACTGCACTGCAACTGCAAATGTATTGCTCGCGTTGTTTTCTCGCTAGGAAAAATTTCGAAATCAATTTAAGATTTGTTTACCGGTTTTTTCTTCTACGTTAAATAATCGTGTAGCTTACTTATTACAATAATATTAGTCATTTTTTACAATTAAATTTTCGTTTCTATGTACTTGAGTTAAAGTCATATATCCCCCTAGTGGGGCAGAGGGCATCCAGCGTAGAAAACCAGCTGCTCTCTTAATTTCCACATTTCAGCTTTCTTCGCCTCTGCAATGATGCTTCGTTGCTAGGTCGGTTTCGCGCGGCCACGTTTCCATTTGCCTTGAGGATTCCAGTCGAGGGCTTGCTTGGCACTGTGACTTGGATCCCTCCGAGCGTATGGGTTGGCACACCCATTTCCACTTTCGGCGTTTCATAGACCTGTCAATTGGCACCTCATTGTATAGCTCCCATAGCTGATGATTAGAGATTCTCACGGGCCAGAATATTGCAAGGAAAACCTGGAGTTGTGGTGTGGAGCTCTTTCTAACTAATTTCAATGAACATTTCAGTGATATTCGTATTTTTATTTATTTAAAAAGTTAAAATAACTAAAGAAAAATAAAATAAAGAAAAGGTTTTACCATTTTTGTATACACAAAGCTGTTTATGTACTTTTATAATTTTGAAGACATTATTGTTACTTACAGAGTAGACAGTAATTATCTTATCAATTAAATTAATTTGGTTTTTTCTTTGTAATAGGAGGCAAACGGGCAGGAGGCTTACCTGATGTTAAGTGATACCGCCGCCCATACACTCACATTGCCAGAAGGCTCGCAAGTCTTGGTACGCTCTTTTCATCAAGGACCCTAAGTCGAATTGGTTCGGAAATACTTCAGTGGGCAGCTGGTTGAATACGGTCAAGCGGAAGCAGCTGGTACTGGGGAGATCCCAGAGCCCAGAGGTGAGAACAGTACTCCATGTCATTTCGGTTGACATTTTCAATCGAATTCATAACGACTGCAAAAAACTTGTTTTTTCCGGTGAAAGACTAAATTGCACCGTTTATTTTATTAATATCCCAAAGCCCTTAAACAAAATCGTGTTTGACAGCAGGTACATATTTTTATAAAGATACTGTACCACGAAGTTTTAATATCCATTGATTTAAATATAGATATACATATATCATCAGGCGTTTATTATATCATGTGTTGTATTCACGCACAATGTAAGCCCCAATGTCGCGTGCAGCGTACCTTGCGGTCATAATATGCAATACACGCTGGCCTTAACAATTATCAGTCGACCTTCTATATTTAAGAAACTTCATCAGTAGGCCATTTCTGTTCTCATTTAAACGTCGTCTATTCGGTAATATGTTAATTTTATTTCTAACTGTGAGTTTTGTTTTTGTAACGGCAGACGATGGCCCGCCAGATGGATTCATGTCAGATTGTAAGTTATTTGTATAGAAATACTATCTACTATTTCATCTAACTCAAAAATAGGAGGAATTTCTTAAATCAGAATCTTTTATTTTCTCCGGAACTCTTAAATGTCTAAAGGTATTTGGAAAATTTATTGGTCGTATGTTTAAGTCAAGTTGTTTCATCATGCAGACCTGGTGTAGTCGAGGGAACTTCAATTTGTATAGCCCCACTTTGAGTATTTAAATTTTAATAGATGCCTGGGTCAGCTTATATGGTGTATAAGTTTTTTGTAAAAGAGTATTTACAAAAAGATTAATATATTTTCCTATTAATTGGAATTATCACAGTTTTATATATACCGTGGACTGCGAAGCAAATTCAAATTGAAAAATCATTTAATCATATATGTAACAAACACATTGTGCACTTACGATCGTCAAAAAAAAGAAATGTATATGAAATGCTTCTAACTTTACATTTAGTGCCAGTTCTCAAGGGCGCACCAATTCCAACTAAGCGCACCAATACATCGATCCTGACCCATCTCCGTATACGGACTCGCCTCTCTACCATACGCTTTCAGCGAATTGTATCTTATTTCGGCCATACAATGCGCAAAGGCGATGAGAACTTGGTGAAACTGATCGTGGTTGGTAACACAGAAGGCAAAAGATCGCGTGGCAATTCACCAACCAGATGGACCGATCAAGTGAAAGACTCATCATCCTCAAAACTGTACACTGTCGTAAGAGACGCGCTGGACCGGTGGAAACAAATAGTCCGCTCCAGACGTTTCTTGCTGACCACGACGCTCAGACATTAGCTGCCGATTAAAGAGAGAGATCATAGTTTTAAGATCTAGAAATCTCCATCTCCATTAGATGGAATTCCTATAGTTTGATTGGGAGTTTATGGGTTTATATTAAAGCTGTTTAAATATTACCAGGTCCTGGAATGACTCGCAACACAACCATGTCAGAGGAGACAAAGGATTCCTTAACAGTGCTGGTCATGTGGCCATCTGACAGTTGGTTCGGTCATGATGATGCAACCTGCAAGCTAAGCGTCACAGGTGCAGCCTGTGTAGAAAAAAATATTGACTTGAAGAAGCAAGTTTTGGTAATGTATATTGAACATCGTCTTATCTTATTTATACAATAGTCGACTTTCTTTACATACCTTTTAAGTTGGGCCCTCAGATTTCTGTATTTGTTATTGATTATTTCTAATACTAGGTGGTCAAGCTTCTGTCCTGACATTGAAATTATGAATTACGGTACAAATTGTTGTGCCTGTGTAATTGATCTTCATTTCAACTCGAATTTATTTTTCCCCCGCGTTCTTATATTAAAAACTCCGTATTAACAATACTGACCACCTCTCGTACCATGTAATAGGGACTTTTTATTGAAGTAAGTGTAATTGTCTTCTTTGAATGGTTTAAAAAGGTTTAAAAATAATTATACATCTTCAGGTGTTGATAAGTGGTTACCTCGACGCATCCTTCTCGCCAATCGTCCAAACGATAGTGAAGCCATACCTCGAGCGCGGAAAAAATATCATTGTGGTTGAATTGTTTCCTATACTTGTGCGGAGCTATCCCCTGTGAGAAAAATCTTCATATTTATAGTGTAAAAGAGGGTAAAGATTCAGAGTCGAGACAAACGTGAACCATGACTTGTAACAAAATTCAATAAGTTTTTGAAATCTATGTGTGTCCATCACCACCTAATACTAGGTAATACTACCGCCCAGGGACACTCACACTGCCAGAAGGCTCGCGTTGCCAATATTTTAAGGATATATCGACGAGTCATATTTAGCGTTAAGTTTCGACTCCTTTTCCGATTTTTGCCTAACACTCTGTCAAACATATTTGTTTGCAATAAAGTGCGTATCGAAACCGCTTATTATAGATAAAACATTCGTACTTATTAAACAATTATTATCTACCAGAGCCGCGCGAATGACAAAACCACTCGGTCTGATCCTTGGTGAATTCATGGCGGAATTAACTCGTAAAGGTCTTCGGCCAGAGAATCTAGAAATGCTTGGAGGAAGTTTAGGAGCGCACATTGCTTACTACGCCGCTACCAAGTACCATCACATTACGAACTATAAACCAGCTAGATTAACTGGTGAGTGGACAACAATTTGCATTAATATGTTGAGATTTGCATACTTATTTTGGTATATTCGATATGTGAGAATAATTTAATTTGTCTAGTAGTTTGTACGTTAATAATCGCTGTAATTTTTATGGTATTTTTCTTCCAAACAGTTTATTATAATTCAGAACCTAACTTATTTGAATATTTGATAAAGATTCTAGAATGAACTCTCTATTTATCTATATAATGTCCTATTGTCTCCAAAAGTTGCAAATTGCAAATTACACAATTCTGCATCCAATTTAGGGGAGATGATGAGATTCAACTCTGCTGATCAGAACCAGTGCTTTTACTTTTAAAAAACTAAAATAAGTATTTAATAAAGATTCCAGGTACATCGTGTTGTATATTATATAAATCTTGTGTTTGTAATTAAACGATTTTGATTAATTTTTTTGTGTGTGTTCAAGCGGATTCGAGAATGATAATTTAGATTTACAATTGATTTTTTGTTTATATTTTTGTATTGAAGACGTGTGTACAGGACAACTTCTGTCGCTAGTTTTAGATAATATATATTTTTTTATTTATAAAATAAAAAAAAGTATAAAATAATAATATGTAGTATCGTGTTGATCTACGAATCTATCTTTGTGCTTTGAACGAAATAAATAAATAAAAAATATGTCTTGTTGTAAATAGGCCTAGATCCAGCCGGTCCATGTTTCCGAAACCTCCCGCGAGAAGAACGCTTCAACTCAGGCGCAGCTCATCGCGTTGACGCGCTCCACACAAATATCGATGGATTCGGTATAGCTGACGCTGACGCACACGTTGACTTTTACGCAAATGGAGGTAAATGTCAACGAAACTTTTAAAATACCAGTCGCAATTGCTACGCGTCCTAGATTTCTATGGAGAGCGCATTTATTTATTTATTTACAGCCCATGCATGGCCAAATTGGAGTAATTATTGGAGTATCCTTACCAATATCGTGCCCCTTGCAAAATAAACATTCAAAATCTTGCTTGCCTAACATGCATTTACGAATAAAGCCGTCATATACTTTAGTGAGGTAATTAGACATTTGCCTGGGGTCCATTATGTTTTTTATATCAGAAAGAAAAAACTTTATTCTTACATAAAAAAGGATATTTCATTAAAAAGAACGGGCACTAGGATTTCTTGTGTCGTGGGACGTGGGCTAGTCCCTTTCTTTTGGCATGCTAACGGTACCTACTTGACAATAATTTTTACATTACACTATTTCATAACTATTATTGCACAATAATATTTTCCGTTTCAGCATAGGACAGGTTCAGATGTTGTTTAAGATTACTAGTGAATGTATAAAGTTTTGAATCTTTAGTGAAAATTTTGTTTTTAAGAAAGTGGTTAAAGATGAAAGGGGTTGGTTTTATGGAGAAAAGGCATTGGTAAAAGTAATCAGATTTCCGGGCCTTCTGATCTTAGCCAATTATTACGTACGTAATTGAATCCAGGACCAGGACCTTACAAATAGTTCCAGGCAATGCTAGCTTCTCTACGTAAGACATAGTTCTTGTACAGAACTTTCACTAGCAGACTTTTTAAACTAGGCATAAGTTGTTACGTATTACTTTGTAACGACTTGTGGTCTAGACTTTGCTGGTGATTATGAATTCAGCTTTCTCTGAACATACACTTCCTGTTACAATTTTAGGAGAGTACCAACCATACATGATGGGGAACTTCATCATGCCATGTTTCCTGTTCTGTAGCCACGTGAGAGCTGCAATCTATTGGATGGTTGCTAACGAAAACCCAGACCAGTTTTTGGGTGTACAATGTGCCACGGTACACCACGCGCGTCATGGCAAATGTTACGACAAAATTTCAAGCAATGTTCTAGGTCCAGACACGAATTTCACACGCCCAGGAATTTATTACCTTCCCACAACCGAGAATTCACCTTATTACTTGGGCGTTAAGGGCCTTAAAAAAAGAGAATATGCCGTAAATAATTATTTGTTAAAAATAGCGCCGGATAAAGATCTTGTATTATATATTGACTTTTATTTCCCTCGCGTCATTTAATCATTCAAGGATACTTAAAAGGTCGAGATTTCTGGTAATACACTTGTTTAACAGCTAGTTGTCATTTAATTACTATACCATGATGTCTACCTTGGTTTAGTGGTTAGCATACGACTGCAGCACATGGGGTCTCAGCTTCAAAACTTGGGTGGAAACTTAAAAGTTGGCATTGTGGTGAACTTATTTTCGATTACTGTAGTTGAGGTACACAGCTGATCATATGGGGAAATATACTTGTCGAAAACTGCAAATAGTACAATATTTACAATCATAGTACCTGAGTAAGTGGCTCTAGTCTTTATTTATCAGAAATCAAAAAATGCCGTAAAACAGATAAGGTAACAGGTAAATAAAACAAAGAAATACATCGCAGCAGTTTATTAAACATTAAAATGCAACAAATTATTATGTCTCGTTTACGCGTTGCAGAAAAATTGATACAAAATCTATCTAAAGTATGTACACGTTAGTTATCAGTCGGTGCTCAATTTTAACAAAATTTGAGCAAATACTGGAAGCGTATCTTAGGAACGATGGATGCTAAGGTCTATTAAGGAAATAACGTCTATGGTATTCTGTAACAAGCGCAGATTTTTTACCCAAAAGAAAAAATAGAACATCTGTTATATGTAACCGCACTGTCGCTATCTTATAACACGATACAAAAATGGCATCACTACCGCGGAGTTGCAGAGTACCATTTCAGGCTTTGCTAATTTTACCTATGTTTTACCCGTCATTTTTGAAGTATGATTATTTAATCGTGCCATACTTGTAACACGCTTGTGATGTCTATAAAGCGTATAAAATGACTGCTAATTAACGGGAAGGGTATTTGATATGGGTCCGTACATTAAGGATTACTCATATTTAAATATACAGTATGTTTTTATTCAATAGTTTAAATTACACTATTGAGGGATTCATTGACTTTTAATCCACATTCTCGTCAATTCACAAAAACTTCACACTTTTAATGAAATTAGCCATCTATACTCTGATTTTTCGTACTCACCGTAAAACCACTATACACAATATGGAGCACCGTACCTAATAAAATGGATACATTTACTACCAATAAAGTGTATGGTTAGACTCAGATGTTCAGACTCGTATTAAAATTGAAAAATGTGCCCGATCAAAAAGGATTTGCCATCTGTGACGTGTCAAAACAAGATATCTGTCAGAACTCTACGGAATTAAAAATCAGAGTATTACTGTTTTTTTTTAAATAAACCTGATGCTCATCATTGACATTCGATAATGTCTGCTTATATTTGGAAATGGTTCTTAATAATTTTAATGGCCTTACAGTAATAAATAAAAGCGACTTAATATAGTTTAAACATAAAGACAATTTGAATAGCTATTACTTTTATTTGATTGACAATCGAGGACGCCAAGGCCTCACTTTCTTGTGTTAATGTTATTAGTTTTATTCAACGTCATTTATTGACAATTTAAATATATACATAAACACATCACTTGTTTATAATAACACCTTATGCACTATCGTCCTGCTCAACAAGACAAGTTTGTAGTGCATTGAAAAATGCACCTAAACACCAAGCAATAAATACTCAATTTCAATAAAACAAAACTCATTTGTGCTATATCATCCATCGTTCCTTTGTAAGTATTAAGCACATTTATTTAAATTATATAAATAAAAAATTAAATCTTAAAGCTACTTACTTTTCCAACAACTTACTTTATTAAATAACACAAAACACCATTATTCATATCCCACATAACCTCATAGATGAATATAATTGACAGTATAAATTTAGGAATATAATTTAATACCTGTGAATAGTTTCAAATGGATAATTTTATAAAATATTTTATTGGATATTTTATTGTCCGTTTTGTTTACATCAACAATAACAAAATGCTCGTATATTAACCATACTTACTGCGTTAGCACTTATTTTGTGTCCCCAAAATTTTGTAAATAGTAATATTACTAAATTTAGTAAGTACTATTAAGCACACAATATACTGCACATCACAATAGGCATCACAATTTTGCAGAACGTGAAAGTCATTAGCTGTCATTGTCAAGTTTGACACTTGACTTTGTTCAAGACTTGACACTGAGAACTGGCTTGTTCAAGACAGTTTGATATTTGACAATGGTCAAGACTTGACACTTGACAGCTTGACTGAGTCAAAACTTGACTTGTTATGTAATAGGGGCCTAATTGACGAAAAGCTGTAACTATGACAATAAATAATCCTCTAAAAATATCTATATATGTATAATATACGATATTAAAAACATCTTCACACCATTCAGATCTCAATACTACTTCAATAAGCTATATGTCGATTACGATATGTTCAAAAAATAGCATAATAACAATTACATTTATAAAATACATTTGATATGAAACTATTTGATAATAATGTTTCACAACTTTCTCTAATGATGTTATTTTAATTAATAAGAATAAAAAACTTATCATTCACATTCCACTCTTAAACACTTTGCGTTCTTTGTAATATTTTTTAATTATTTGATACATGATATAGGAATATGATTACATAATATAGGAAAAAGCATTTTTTTAATTATTATCAGCACCAATAAACAATACTACTGATATATAAGCGACATTACACAAAAAATCATTGATTATAATTTAAATAAATTTATCAAAAAATAAAATACATTGGAAAAATAATTAAATACATTGTTATTTAAATGCCCGTGTATGGCCAGTTTTTTTATCGAATTCATTTCTAGATATTGTACGAAATAAAAATCGTGGCACATTACTGATTCATTGCAATTTATATATAGGTATAATTAAATTGAATTCCAATCCGATAACATTTGTATCACATAAAATCATAATTTTTGGAATGTCAAATTTCAGGAACATAAATCGAGTTAAAAAGTTTAAAATTTGTAAAGAAAAGATACATCATTAAGTATTTTTGGTCTTTACCAAAGAAATTTTTTTTTTTGACGCGCAGTCTGCGTACGTTCATTAAAAAACAATACGCAGAAGTCCTAATATTCTACGGACCCGAATGCTCCTAGACAAGTTAAAGTTTACAGGTCTATATAACCGACCATATTTGCTACAAGTAGTTTTTAAGAAAATTCCTTATATTGCTCTTACATCATGCGTACAAAAGGGCTGATTGAAATTTAAAAAAAAACACAAGTAAGTTGTTAAAAAATTATCGACAAAAACTACAATTTCGAACACATTGGCTACCATTTCTATATAAAAAAGTCCGTACTCCACAAAGCGGAGCGAGCGAGTACTAGCTACCGGGGTATGTACTCCAGTGGGTACCAGGCCACCGTTTCTTGCCTTAAAGGCAGGGAACCTAAAGGTATCACCACACCACCCAAAAACTGATTCTCCTGTAAGGAATCGTAATGCCATACAGTGGCTTGGAGGCTTCTGTTCTTGATAACGTCCAGGGGTAAGCGATATTCCAACATCTCCATAAATGATGGGTGCGAGTTGCGTTTGAGCACGCGCGTTTTACGTTTCGTCTCTTTGGTAGGGTCTGGGACTAGGTACACCTGAAATTCGTAGAAGGAAATTCAAAATGTTAATGGTAAACAGTTTGACTATATATGATTGATTCGTAATATACAGTGTGATCTCTGTATAACGTCATTCGTTATAACGAAAAGCACTCTATAAATTAAAGTAGTTAAATTTATTTGGCTTAACCCAATACCCATACATTAATTCTTCCCTCCCTACAGCAAAAGCTCTCTATAACGAATAAACTTGCTCGGTCCCTTGAAATTCGTTATAAAGAGTTTACACTTTATGTCTTAAACAAATTAAAACACTTTAATCGAAATCTTACGGAGTGACTTCAAGTTGACTTAAAAGAAATATCATATTCTTAGTGTATTTTGTTATCAATCATTGCCCGAGTCAAGAAAATCCCCGTAAGTTTTATGTGTGGTAAAAATAATTCGTAAAATAATCCCTATTATCTATATTACAAGTGGACTTATCAATCTATATATACCTTGAATTCGTTAAATATTTGACTGTTGTTTGAATATTTCCGTGTGAAATATATCTTCTTAAGTATGTATTCAGATAGTACAGATTAATAATGAAGAAAAAATAGCTAAAGGATGTTAAAAATGTTTACCTTGACATATGGGTTGGGCGGCAATCCCTGTGGCGTGACAGCCAACGACTGCGCATGCAATATCAGCACTGACAGAACTCCACCCGTATATTGAACTGACAGCTTCAAAGAACCCGATCCACTGCTCTCCACTTCCGCTGTCTCACCTGGAATGGAATTAACGATAAGAAGGATGTACAAACTGTTTTTGTTTTTATTATGGCCTGACTATTTGAGTAAAAGTAGCCGAGTTTGGTTCTTATCGAATGCAAAAACAAAAGAAAGTCCTCGTCATCAATCGAACAACGCTGTTACAGAATAATGTTATAATGCATGCATATGTTCTACGATCAGAACATTTCAAAATCAGAGAAATTTTAATGAGAAAGCTGCAAACGCACACACATTTGTTTTTCTTTCCATCAAAATCATAATAATTTCCCATTTGCATGATAGACTTTGATGTAAAGCGGGCCATAGACGGACCGCATGTAGCAGTCAAGACCGACTGCAATATGCGGGCTCCGCACGGCGATCTGCAGTTTCCATACTAAATTCATATTCGCAATACACGGACCGCTCGAGCAGTTCCTGAGCAAACCGCATATTGCAGTCGGTCTTGACTGCTACATGCGGTCCGTCTATGGCCCGCTTAAGACTAATTAATATGACTCTAGATTGTAATGGTTAATAATTTTTCTCAATCAAGGTCATAAGATAAAGAAAATTGTACGAACAACGTTAGAATTTTACCGTCTATTTGAACGAATTGAATTTGTAATTTTTTTATTTAAAATGCATAAGCGGTATATATTATTACCTCTTCTCATCCTTTGTGGTTCGACATCTTGTTGGTCCCTCAAAAGTGGATGGAAAAATGTATAGACGAGATCCGAGTGTGCTATTTCGTCTGCGAGGTTGAAGAGTGACGTGAGGAATGCTTGGACATCACCGAAACGTCTCTCGGCCACTTGACGGATGTTTGAACGACCCACGTGTAGACCGGACGGTAAACTGATAATAAAAAGTTATATGTAAATGTACGGTTATAGGTTTACTCTGTTCGGTATCGTTAATCTTGGTATTTTATTATTTTTTTTGAGAATAGGATAATACATTTTGGTCATTTGGTAACTCGGTTTTGACTCATGCACGTTACATACAAATGCTGCTAAGTAGAAAGTTCCCTCATTGAATGTTACATCGATTTACTAAATATTATTGCGCTTAAGGCCCTATCCCAGCACGAATTGCTGTGTCAGTGTCTCGGGGTGGACTGAGGGGCGCAGTCGAGAGCTGGAGCACTGAGGCGCGCCGGCTCGTAATAACAATTAGTTATGTAAAACATGAAATTAATGTTATTTTATAATTCTTTTTCCTGAAATGGATTACTTGGCTTGCGATAAAATATATCGTGTAAATTTCTATATCAACGTCTATATACATTTTCGTCATAAAATGAATTCAAAGTGTCAAAAATTGGCTGTTTGGATTTTATTTTCTATCGAGCAAAGTTATTTAAATCATGTATCGATCTTTCAAAATGGATAGATAAACTACTCAACTCCACCATATATTTTTACTCCTACTTCAAGAAACGATAATGAAAAATGGAAAGAAACAATGTACTTTTTTGGAGTTAGAGACCAGATCGGTCCTTAATACAGAATTAATTGCCTGAAAAACAAGTTTTAAAGTGCGTCTACTTTCGGAATCACCGTATCAAAATTTTCATACAATAATGATATCATGTAAACATAATTAACAAGGGACTAGATATTCCACGTCGTTTCACAAATACTTCGATAAGATTACGATTATTACTATTATCTTTATATCTAATCTGAAGAATGGTTTAAAATAGTATAGCCAGCGTTGTCTTGAATTTCAAACTGTCCGTGCAGTCTAATAATTAATGTAAATGGATAAATATCAATTTATAGAAATTTAGTAAACAATGTTCAAGTTAAGATGTTCTCGGGCGTCATTCGATTTTGTTACGGGAAAACAACACGGCGGGGACTGTGATTTGAGTCCCGTGTCAGTAATTGGAGTTTATATGAGAAACGAGGGAGATTATAATGGTAAGATAATACTATTGATAATATTCATACAAAATTTATAGTTCGTAGACTTTAATATGACCACCGGTTTAGAGTAAAGTAAAAATCCTACTGGAAACAGAAAATGTATAATTATTGTAAAATATTCAATGAATTCAATAAAGATGTTAAAGATGTAGATCGTTCTTAGACAGGAGATCTTATAATGTAAAGAATGAAATAATTATTATTTTATTTCGTTGCAACAAAAATATAGGCAAACGTATAGATTATTGTGACTAGTATTATGTTTATGAATAACATGTATTCCTTCATTAAATGAAATAATAAAATTGATTTGTCGTTAACCTATTATATTTTTCTTTTTTAGATGAAGAGTTAAAGTACAATCCCCCAAGAAAATTGCTACCATCTATGGTACAACTTCCAATCTCTCAAACCAGATCAGAACAGACATCTAAAAGTACAGGTGACCTCACGAAAGAAACAATTCCCACACAAAACCTAACTCAAAGCTCGCATGATTTATCCCTGAATACTACACTGTCTAAACATCAACTTAATGAACAGAAGAAATTAGTAAAACAACAGATGCTTGAACAAAAGAAGCGAGAAAAAATTGCGTTTCAAGAAAGTCAGAGACAAGAAAAAATTGCAGCCCAGGAAAGGAAAAAACAAGAAAAGCTTGCAATACAAGAAAGACAAAAGCAGGCAAAGTTAGAAGCACAAGAACGTCAAAGACAAGAAAAAACTGCAGCTCACGAGGCAAAAACACACGCAAACCTAGCAAGAGAACAAGATAAACCGAAATCCGCTCTAAATAAACTGAAATTGAAAAAGAAAACTGCTCCAATCCCACCACAACCTTCAATTAACCAACAAATACCTAATCAGGTTCAAATTAAAGTGCCTCAGAATCCAGAAAACCAAACAAACAACAACGAAGTAACGGAACCGAAACCGCGAAGGCCTGCTCAAACCACCGCAAGGAATAACCAATCAAATTACTCAACAAATACTCTAGAAAGTTCTATAAGCAGATCTAGTGGGCCACCGCCGTATGGGGAATTCCCAGAAATTATAACAGATGTACCAGACAGTAACATAACATTTGGCAAACCGGTTGCTGACAGCAGTTGGGACTTGATATCACAGCACAGGGAGCAGATGAGCAAAAACACAACAGAGCCAATAGTACCAAAGACGAAACAAGGCGTACAGTACAAAGTGGGAAACTTACGTCTAGGAGAAAATAGTGATGCATAACTTTAGCGTATTTTTTGGTAACAATTATTTATATATAATGGTAAACGAACACTCTCTTCGACACTGCTCTAAAAGAAATTTTAATGATATGAAATAAATATCCTATAACTACTAACAAGCTACGTATTATTTTTAATATTCTTTGGTTTGCACGACACTTTAATGCAGTTTTTCTGATTTTATTGGTCAGTTATCCGTTCTTTAGTCCGTTAGCTAGTCCTTAAAGAACAAAAGCTACTAAAATGTGTGTAAATGACAACAACAAAATATAAAATTACACAAAGACGAAATTCCGTCTAGTCTTGTACGATTATGAGTAAAGCTGACACATCTGTGTTTCCTATATGAACCGCACTTACCTGTGCACTTTGGCGAGTGGGAAATGAAGACATATCTTCTGATAGAGCTCGGTGAAGTGCTTATAGCTCCGGTAGAGAATCGCGGGCGTGGCCTGGCCTTGTCTGTACACTCGTAGAGCGTATACGTAGTGCTTTTCGGGGTCGTAGCGCTTTTCGTAACTGAGACACTCAACGCGTACTATGCGACCTTCTTGTGCCATACTGTAAAATAGATGAAAGTGTATTTAAAAACACTTAACCAAATTTAAATGCTTTTTATTTGTGAGAGTGTTGATAAATTGACGTAAGTTATATTTTCTATTTCATTAACTCTTAGGTTAATTGCTTCAGTAAAAAACAATATTATTTGTAGAAGGAACGGGGGAAATTGTTATGATTTAAAATGGAAAACATATGATACTGTTTAAAAATGAATCACCACACACACAATACAAATCTTAATATTACTACTTACATTCGTAGTATTTAATGTATTTAAAATATATTTTTTAAGTAACAAAAAAGAAAAGTAAGAAATACTATAGTTAAGGAAAAACAAACTCTCCGGGCACAAGTATCTGCGTATCATATCTGAGTCTGTGCCACGAAATAATGTATAAAAATTATATTCAAAAGCAATCGTCATTATTATTATTTCTTGCATCTTGTAAAACCTATCAGAATTCAAGTATAATGTTGTTGAAAACTATAAAATTGTTCCTTCAATCAAATGCAACAATATTAAAACAACTTTAACGAAATATTAAATAACTTACGAATAAGTTCTCGGCATGAAGGACAGCAGTTCCGAAGTGTTAGTCCCCTGGTCTCCACTCGCACGCAATTGCGCCAAATTGTGTAGGAAGAAGTTGATTGGTGTAAATCTAAAAATAAAATAATTTGTGTAATTCTAATTAATATAAATCTTGGAAAATTTATATAAATACGCCTAAATCATTTTTAAGTAACAAGATCTGGGGAAAAAACTATAACTTTTTACAAATAGAAAAGCGTATGTATTTCTTTTGTCAATCAAATTGTATTGGTATAAATTTCGCGATGTTAAAAAACCATGAAAAGGGCGTCGCGGCACGTGTTATTTTATTGGAGTATAGGAGTTACTATAATATCTCTTAATAATTCCACTTTTTTTTATGGAACGGGGGGCAAACGGGCAGGAGGCTCACCTGATGTTAAGTGATACCGCCACCCATGGACACTCTAAATGCCAGAGGGCTCGCGAGTGCGTTGCCGGCCTTTTAAGAAAGAACATATATTAAAGACCGTGGCTGAATAGATTTTAAGAAAGTTTCATACAGTGTACAGGTGGTGAGTTTCAACTACATTACGTAATTTAAATATACATAGCATCTCATATATTATACGTACTTGCTCTTGAGCGAGGAATGTATGAGTCTGGCGAACGCAGCCGCGGCCTCGGCGTTGGTGGCGGCGGGCAATAACGCACTTCGCACGTAGTTTACGGCTGTGCTCGTGACGCCTGTCACGCCTGACATCGCCATCTGTTTGACATATATGAACAATATGTTTGACAGCTTTTAAAAGTTTTTATATTTATACAGCGTAGTCAATATATTACCAACTAGTAGACTCGGCCAAGCGTTGCTGTGGCTAAGATTTTTGTTACATTACATAGTAGTAAACTATTCAAGAGAAACGGCAGGAGAACACCTATCCACCATGCTTTTTTGATGGTTATGCCATTAAAATTGTAGCTTATTGCGACATTTTTTGATAGATAGTGATGTGTCCTAAAAATTGTAATACATCATTTTGTTCTATCATTAATAGTTTTCGCAGCGCACGCGATTGTAGGAAGTTTTTTGTTTATTTTTTTACACCTTGGGTTAGATTATTCAAGTTTTAGTAAGCATCCCTATTTTTTTTGAAAATGAAACATAGCCTATGTCACTCGGGAATAGTGTAGCTTGCCAACGGCGAAAGAATTTTTGAAATCGGTCAAGTAGTTTCGAAACCTATTCATTTCAAACAAACAAAAAATCAAATCTTTCCTCTTTATAATATTAGTATAGATTACCACAAAATCGATTCTAATGAATTTGACCTGCTGTTTATTTTTAAGTGTTTCTATCGTTATTAGTAGACTGTTGGATTGTAACAATTATATCGTGGATATTCTTGTTTTTCTTATTATATCTTCAAATTATATATAGTGATTTAGTTTGTGGCAACTTGAAAAGAAAATCAAAAAGGCTTACCAAAGCAAAAAGATCCAGTATATGATCGTGATGTGCTCGCACTATATTGAAAGCCATACAGCACAATTCCACAAAATGCTGGAAGCGCTGCGTGGGTCGATCTCCGCCATTTATTACGTACGCCATGTCATGAGTTAATACAAATGGCGCCCGGTCACTGCATAATGATAATATTGAGATATTTAGATATATATTAGATAAAAAAAGTAGTGTTTAAATGAGGAATTATGGGACAGAATTTTTTTCCCTTTTGTCAAGAACAGAAAACTTGTTTGTTCTACATTTAGAAAAAAACAATAAATTACGTACGTACACAATTCTTGTAGTGTAACCGCTACGTCTACCTTAGTATATTTCAAATACTTAAACATAATAGCTTAATCATTTATCTATATAAATATACCGGTTTTATGGTTTCATTAATTTGAAGACTGAAAGACGGTTCTTACTTAAATAAATTTACAATTAGCATTGTTTTTATGTAGTTGCATTATATTATAAAATAAAATAAAAAATAAAATATGTTTATTAAGGAACATAAGATACATGTATCACTTATTCCACGTCATTAAATTTGAATTTGTAGGCATCCCTACTCATCGGCAAAGAAGATTATTTTTTCTGGAAAACTCCTGTAAATACTTGATTAGGCTAGTTTCGTAGCGAATAAATGTAGGAAAGAAAAATCTATTGCGCACTTAACATTATTCATGTAAAAGCAAACAAATATACACACCGTTTAAAATTTCCAAACATCTGCGCATCACCAAGAAACTTTCCAAAATCAATATGGAACAGGTGACCCGACGTCTTCAACATGATATTATCGTTGTGTCTGTCACATATGCCCAGCAAATACGTCGCTACACTGTACCCGGCACAGGAAGCTGAAATTTGATGACAATTATGATATTTTATTTGAAATACTATGAAAAGAATGGCGTAGATTTTATACAAAGACATAATATTTATTACTAACGAAACACAGACACAGTGAAATAATAATAATCAAATTTTTAATAAATTTTGTAAATTATTAATAAAGTAGGTAAATTTTAAGTGTGTAATCTGTGTGGTTGTAACTGGCCCTGGCTCAGCATTATGCTGTGGAGCAGTGTGTTCCACAGCGCTGACAAACAGTTAGTTTGCGCCTCAGACGCAAAAAAGAAAAATAATGTAATAATAATAGTAGAAAAAATAATAATAGTAAAAATTAACAGTAAAGCAGCCTTGGAAGATTTGGGTGTAAAAGTATATAATAATGATAATAATATAGTAAAAAAAAATTGAAAACTGACAGTTAATTTAAATTTGTAGACATTTAGTAACAAATTATATTTTTGTCGTTGAATAGCAGCGCCACTAATTGTACATTAAGCGCACTGAAATTATCTGTAGGTAATAAACCTATCCATAATTATACCAATAAGTAATCCATCCAAAATTTACACACACATTCAGAAACATATTTCATGCAAGTGACAAATTTCGTTTCATAGATCATTTTTTTAAGTCTAATTTCTATTTAAATAAAACCGACACTGGTGGTTAATACCGTATCAAATAAGCAAGTTAATAAAACAGTATAAGATTGGAATATTTAATAATATAACTTATTAAACCCTAATACTACCGCTATTCCTTAGCTCCTAGGTATTTGTTTTCTATTAATTTAAATACCGTATTAAATAAGCAAGTTAATAAAACAGTAAAAGATTGGAAAATTTAATAATATAACTTATTAAACCCTAATACTACCGCTATTCCTTAGCTCCTAGGTATTTGTTTTCTATTAATTTAAATACCGTATTAAATAGCAAGTTAATAAAACAGTAAAAGATTGGAAAATTTAATAATATAACTTATTAAACCCTAATACTACCGCTATTCCTTAGCTCCTAGGTATTTGTTTTCTATTAATTTAAATACTGTATTAAATAAGCAAGTTAATAAAACAGTAAAAAATTGGAAAATTTAATAATATAACTTATTAAACCCTAATACTACCGCTATTCCTTAGCTCCTAGGTATTTGTTTTCTATTAATTTAAATACCGTATTAAATAAGCAAGTTAATAAAACAGTAAAAGATTGGAAAATTTAATAATAATATAACTTATTAAACCCTAATACTACCGCTATTCCTTAGCTCCTAGGTATTTGTTTTCTATTAATTTAAATACCGTATTAAATAAGCAAGTTAATAAAACAGTAAAAGATTGGAAATTTATTAACTTATTAAACCCTAATACTCCCGCTTTTTTTTTTTCTTGTGTCTATTAATTTAAATACCTTATTTTAAAATTTAATAATATAACTTATTAAACCCTAATACTACCGCTATTCCTTAGCTCCTAGGTATTTGTTTTCTATTAATTTAAATACCGTATTAAATAAGCAAGTTAATAAAACAGTAAAAGATTGGAAAATTTAATAATATTACTTATTAAACCCTAATACTACCGCTATTCCTTAGCTCCTAGTTATACATGTTTTTTATAAATACTAAAACTAACCAGTAAAATTATCTCTAGCCCGTTGGTACTCAAGTTCCGATGGATTGTGCTTAGCGAGCCACTCGGCTATGGGCTTGTCCTTGAACGAGCCCGTGAGCCCCCATTCCGTTTGTATCGCGCGTAATGTTTCCGCTTCTGATACTATTTCTATCATCCCTGGAAACAAAAAACGTATGAAAATCCTAAAATTTAAAAAGTATGTAATACAAACAAATAGGTATAATAATGATAAAATAATTTAATCATATTAATTTAATAATTAATATTATTAAACATATTAATTTAATCATGCCTTCAAGATTTATTATTAAAAAATGTGCGTGCGTACAAAGTACACATGTCAGAAGTGAAACTTCTTTGGCAAACTAATTTTTAAGTCTTGTTCATATTATTTCTTCGATAATAAAAACACGCGGCATTTTAATTTACAATTCATCATTTGAGATTTCAGTACCTAAAATATTTTGTATAAAATATAAAATAATAATCTATATATATCAAAATGTTATGTTGGTATGTACGCTTCAAAAACTCAAAAAGTATATTCTTTTTTTTGTTTTTTATTTTTTTTTCCACAAGTATTGCAAAATTAAACTTAGAGTGAAATGTATTCTTTGTTTTGTTTCTCATTTCTCAAACATTCAATCACAATGTGCCAAAGTGAAGCGTGGCAGGGAACAGCTAGTATTTCATAAATTTACTTTACGAAATTTTAATTTGAAAAATAAAATTTCTATAAGGTAATTCGCCCTTCTCACTCTCTTTCTCAATCTGTCTCAATCGCTCTCTCCCTTTTCTTCGACAAAGACGCTGCACATCTTCGTGACGCTAATATTATTATTATTGCGTTTCATCCGTAAAAAAATTACCCTCATGCGCCTAAAGAAGTTTCACTTCAAAAATCTGATTTACTTTGCATGACACCGACACACTCATACAGTTGTTATAAAATAGTAGTTTTAAATTGTTAGTGCAATGTCACTTTTATTTCTATTGAGTGTGATAATGACAAGGGAGTTACGTATTGGGGTTTTTAATATTTAGGGAGTCTAAATTTGACTCTTAGAGAAATAGTTATATTACAAACCTCTTTTATTACTGGTAGGAAGCGCTTGAAATGTGACAATCCTGAGATCGAGACCTGCATTAAGCCACAGACTATCCATCACTTTGATCACTTGTAACACTAACGCGTCTTGTCTGAGATCATCACCGACCTAAAAAAAAACTAGTTTAAGTTAATTACATTTAGCCTCCTTATATTTTTTTTACTCTTACGGTGCGTACAGACTATATAACATAACATGTTATACAACATTGCTATACAACATATTTCAGATAATGTGGACACTGAATGTTATAAAACATGTTATAATAACATGTTATTGATATGTACCACAATGTTATATTGTTATGTTATTGATATGAACCCAGCATCTAGGTTTTTTTTTTGTTTTGTTTTTAAAATTACAACAGTCGCTGCCGCAGCCAGCAAAACGTCCTCTCGTGTCGACTTTGTGGATAGCACTGGAGAATAGGGATGTGAAAAAATAATCGATTATTAAAAAAATCTATTAAAATCGATTTTTTTCGCGATTTTTATTTTTTATAATTGATTATTTTTATAATTGAAAATAAATCATAGTCGATTTTTCCACTGCCACCTCCCGACATTATGTTTGGTGTTTCATAACCCGGATCTCGAACTATTACGGATATTTGATATACATCGATGTTTAGAATGCGATACATTAAATACGATTCTTTGAAGATGTATTGATATACTCGATGCATTGATGTTTTTTTGTAAAACATCGAAAGGATGATAAAACCAGTTAATTTTAGGTACAAAGACTCAGGTTTGAATGGAACACTATAATTTAAAAGTAAAATAAATTTATTCAGCAGCATAAGATAACATACAATTAAAAAGACAACAAAAATACTGCAATTTGCTACTGAAAAGGCATAACTAAGCATTTATCAAATTTCACCTAAAATCTATCAAAACGAGATTAAGTTAATTTCTATTGTTTATTTTTCAGTAAAAAAAACCATGAAAAATAAGATATTTAGGGTGATTATTTTGAAATTAATTCAAAAATAAGGAAAAAATCGATTATTTTTTAAAGAAAAATCGATTATTTATTATTTATTTACAGCCTTATATCAGAAATACTAAATATATACATTATAACTGTTATTTTTCTTAATCTACGATAACTGATTCTGTGTGCCTACGGGCAAAGGCCTCCCCCATTGTCCTCCATTTTTCCTTATACTATACCAATCTCGTCCAGGTCTTAGTCTTTTCTGCCATTTCCATGATTTCATCGGCCCACCTTTTGAATTGCCTACCTCTGTTTCTTTTATGGCCTCTTGGTTGCCATATTTATTAATCGATTAATAAAAAATCTATTTTTTATGCAGAATGTCACATCCCTACTGGAGAACGACAAACGACAATGGTTATATAACATTGTTATATTGCATTGTTATTCTAATGTGTACAGTATTGTTTTATGTTATAATGTTGAATAACAAGGTTACATACTGTGGACGTGTTATAAAACACAAGTTATATAACATGTTACATAGTCTGTACGCACCCTTAGCAGGGTATTTTTTGTAATTTGTATATTGGTATGTTATTTAAAGCTGGCGGCTTCAACACATTTACACTTTGTGCTTGTGTAGTGTCTATGAATAAGCGCGAGGCGTGATGTCAAACTGAAATACATCATGAAAAGACTGTCCGTCTCTCTCGCGCTCGGTCAAGCTTATGAGTATAAAAGAGACAGTTATTGTTTTGCTTTTGCTACTGTTTATGTTGATCTTTACTATACATGTTGATCTTTTTTCAAACATTACCAGGGCAATCTCGTGAAATGGTGCACAATGTTTTTAATTATTTTAAGAATCTTAATAAAAACAGTTTAATGAAAAATGTTATATTTCATTTGACATCAGATGCAGAAAGCTGAAAGCTGATTTGATTTTTTTTTTTGATTTGTTGATAGCTGGGTTCACCACCATACTCCTGAATCAAGCAACAGTCCAAACAATGGAAAATATCTGGATCACCTGCTCCGAAAACGGCTAAGGTCGTTTTGTCGACCAACAAAGTCATGGCTAGATGGAGCGTATGTCGAAAAATGAAAAATTATTTACACGAACTACTCTTTCACGTTCTTGGTCTGGCTTAGAACTTTTGGATCCACCCTCGTATGCACCTAATATTTATATGTATTTGACACATTTTTATTTATTTACAACCCACCCAACCTGACTAAAACCAGAGTGGACTAAAATATATAGCTTGGCAAAAAAATCATATTTTGAAACATACTGTATGTGAAATTGCATTAGTGTGAGTACTGTAAACCCGCCAGCTTTCGATAACCGACCTATACCCACCTTGAACATGGCAGGTACAACTGCGTTGTCTACACCGATGAAGTTGATTTTTAATGGCAACGTATTAGATGAGAAGTACGAACATGACCTGAAATTTATAAATATATTTATTTAAAAAACTAAAACCTGTTCTGGGGCGAAATTAACTATGACTATGACAACACTAAATATAGTCATGCAAATTGGCTAGTGCACAAATATTGTAATATAATAAAGTCTATTGCAGAAATATTTTTTTTTAAAAGTATTGTGAAATAAATTTCGTTTAATGACATCTTGAATTTTTCTTGAACGAAAAAGAAGCTGTTTGAAGAAATTAGTTCCAATAGTTTTCCGTAATATGGCAAGATCTATTTTATTGACAAGGCTTTGATTGAAAATAATATAAGATGGGTTTATTAACCAATCATATATTATTTGCTTTATATCTTCTCTGGACATATTAAAAAACAAAATGATAACTATTTTTGAAGTTATTCTTCTTTTGGCGCGTAAGGGAAAAATGATGAGAGTAAATTTTTACGATACGCGCGCACACCGTCACAAAAAACCGACACCCTGAAGCTAGCTATAGTCAACATTTTAGTGTTTTTGAAGTTATAATTCTATTGGCGCGTTAGGGAAAAATGATGAGAGCAAATTTTTACGATGCGCGCGCACACCGTCACAAAAACCGACACCCTAAGCTATAGTCAACATTTTAGTGTTTTTGAAGTTATAATTCTATCGGCGCGTTAGGGAAAAATGATGAGAGCAAATTTTTACGATGCGCGCGCACACCGTCACAAAACCGACACCCTAAAGCTAGCTTTAGTCAACATTTTAGTAGTTTTTGAAGTTATAATTCTATTGGCGCGTTAGGGAAAAATGATGAGAGCAAATTTTTACGATGCGCGCGCACACCGTCACAAAAAACCGACACCCTAAAGCTAGGTATAGTCAACATTTTAGTATTTTTGAAGTTATAATTCTATTGGCGCGTTAGGGAAAAATGATGAGAGCAAATTTTTAAGATGCGCGCGCACACCGTCACACAAAACTGACACCCGACACCGGTAAAATAGTCTGGGCCGCTAGTTAGCGCTTGCTCTGTTTTATCTACAAGTTGCATTGTGTAGAGTTTCAAACTCAAATCTTTCAAACATCAGAGTCATGTTTATTTAAATCAAAATAATGGTTTCTATAGAAGAAAACCCGTTCCAATGTGTTTCCAAACACACACTTTTTTTGTATTTTTTTATTATTATAACAGCATTTACGACATGAAACGCAGAGGAAATATACATTTAAGAAACGATGACAATATTGTTTTGAAAAAGTTAAAATAAAATTCCTTCATATTTAAATTAAGTTTTTGTTAAAGTTCTATCGTGTATTTTATTTTTATGTTTGTATTTTTTAAGTCAGAATTGTCTGGAAGAATCTGATTTTAGCAGTAAGACCATTTATCTAACTGTATTTTAACTCCTGTTTAGTGTTTATCACACTAAAATTACAATCTTTATAAAAAAAATACCGCTTATAGTTTTATAAATACTCACTTGATATCGATATCGTGAACATAACGATGTAATGCGAAAGGCAATGCAGCAGGTTCTTGACGCAAAAATGTGGCCAGTTTCTCTCCTCCCATATATAAAGCTCGCTGTCTAAGGTTTTCTTTGGCGCATTTTACTGACATCGCTACTTCTGATACATTCTGAAAATAAATTATATATTACCTTTCTAAATACTGCATATACAATATAATTTATTATTATATTGCTTATGCAGTATTTGATCTGGCAGCCCTCAATTAGGTCACGGGGTTATAAAATCGTTGCAAGTCAGACAAATAAAACTCTATAAAACATGACGTTTAAAGTAAAGTATTTAAATCGCAAGTGAGCAGTGTTGGCCTAGGTCGTAGGTTCGATCCCGGCTGTTCACCAATGGACTTTCTTTTTATGTGCGCATTTAACATTTGCTCAAACGGTGAACGAAATCATCGTGAAGAAACCGACATGTCTTAGACCCAAAAAGTCGACGGCGTGTGTCAGGCACTGGAGGCTGAACACCTACTTGCCTATTAGATTGAAAAATGATCATGAAACAGATTCAGAAATCTGAGGCCAAGACCTAAAGAGGTTGTAGCGCCACTGATTGTTTTTTTTTTTAATTTTTTAATTTAAATCGTAACTTTAAAGGCATGAGTAGAGATGTATAGCTTTGTATGGCATAATAGATAAATAAGAAGGCACAAGCCTTCTTCGAGGATAAAAAGCAATCACACTTAATACATTTTGGAAAAAATGGTGGTACTAGCCCGTCCAATCCGTTTATCTACCCATGGTCTATGAAAAATAAAATTATCTCTTTCATACAAAACTCTACAAAATTATGTTCCGGCTCGAAGGACATAAAGTATCCACGTACTCGCCGGTGTACGTTGATTGTATAAAAATGATGATAGCTCAAAACATCGACAGTGCCATCTTCTTTTCATTACCTTAACAAGCATTTGCTGCCTCAACAGGGTGTCCCTAAGTGCGTCTCCACAAACAGCAAGCAAAGCTTTCAGCACCATCCTGTATCTCCAAGCACTTGTAATACTCGCGTCTGGAGATTCACTATCACTGCCGTTCTCCTCTAGACTTATCCCCAAAAACTCTTCACTTGATGCCTGAAAACAAATATTATTTCAAATTAATTAAATTTAATCAAATCTAAAAGAGATTAAAAATTAAAATCATAAAAGATTTTTTAATTAAAAACAGTATTTAAAAAGTGGTTGTTACCTGTGGCACATTAGGTAACGAGTGGACCAAAAGCCAAAACAGTTTGTGTGCGATTCCTGGTGACGACAAAGCTCTTGACAATAATACCTCTGAAAACAATGGGTTAGTTTTCCTTTTTTATTATTAAGTAGACAAAAAACCATACAATTTTGTAGATCATATTATGGGGTACCTACAACGTGTTTAAACATCAAAAACCTTTAAAGGAATCCATAATAGGATCTTCATACCTCGAGAAATGGTTGCAGGTTTAGAAACCTTTTGTAAAAAAAAAATATTATGATTTAAGAGTGACGGAGAATTTAGTAAGTAAATATAAATTTAGAACCATTAATTTTTTATAGTTCAATACATTTATTTCGTGTATACCAGACCAATTATTACAAATAATAAACTGTTATTTAATACTTTTTTGTACATTTTGGAGTCAATTTATTTTAAATTGTTAAACAAAACTTAAAAATAATGTGCAATACTGAAAAATGTTACTGAGATATTTATTTATAAATTATATAACTCATAATATTTATCTTTATATAAAAGCCTAAATATTTTTTTTTTTACAATAATACTTTTTTATAATTGTCTTATATCATATCATATAATATGTCGAATCATATTTTATGGATATCGGCGGAAAAACAGAAATCACTCCTAAAACTTCTTTCAAGATATTAATTTTATATCCGTTTTCATAGCAAAGTGAATATTTACCAGCTAAAGTACTACACTCGTACGTCTCGTAACGAAGCGCCTGCGCAAGTTGTGGTAGAACTCTTATAAAATCATCGTCAGACATGCCTTGTATCATTTCACCGGCTAATTTGCGAACTGCCAGATCGGGGAAACTGAAATTTTATCAAATATTTTTTTTAAATCTCTTCACCAGAGTTATGTAACCTAACAATAGTTAAGTTACATATATATGTCGGAGATTCAAGCCGATGAATAGTTACAAAATTGGTATCACTACCGTCGTCCGACATTATTAGTTAATTACTTAATATTTAAACACAGTCAGTGCGCACGTCCGCCGCAGGCGCCGATCGGAAAGCAACTCTAGAACTTCACGACCGATTCTACGCACTACTGACAGCTTGACTTTGACAATTGACACATTGACACTTTACATGTTCTATTATAACCTAATCTCTGGCATATATTTTAGTAAATAATTAGAAGGTCAAACTAAATGTAAGCAACACTTGAGCCCTTTAGTTTTTCCCACACTCATAAATTATAATATCACATTCTATTTTCCAATAATGTCCAATAGGTCCGATATGTCGACACTTATATTAAAGTGTGACTTAGATTTAAGAAGACAAGTTAACTTTATGTTAGTTATAAGCTCATGTATTATACGATTAAAGCCAGTACAAAAACCGCTACCGAAATTAACTCCAGATTTAAATAATTTTTAGTAAAAAGAAAAATATTGTTTCATAAAATCGGATTTGAATATGGATTTTGTAGATTAAAAAATTACCAATTAACAGTGCTATCATGAAATTAATTTTCGGGCTTTACTGGTAATTTCTCTTTAGTAGTCTTGGGGAGCGTTCAAGTATTACGTAACGAATTTGGGGAGGGGGGGTCCTTTAAAACGTTACGATGCGGGGCGGGGATTCAATTACGAATGATTGTTAATATTATTTTCGACTTTCCGGTACTTTACACCAAATAATGGTACAGAAAAACGTTACGGCGCGTTACATGGGGGGGGTCAATAATCTCCAAAAATTGCGACGTAATACTTGAACGCTCCCGTGCTTGCTTGTTTCTTTTTTTATTTATCCAAGTTAACACTATTTGTTTTATATAGATTATGTCATATATTATGTACATATATCCTGTTTTGAGAATTAACATACTCAATTCCATTAAAAGTTCATTTTAGATATTAAATATTTTAGACTTACCAAGGTAGAAGAAGATGCATGGCGTTAAGTGGTGATGGTTTCTCCCACAACTGCATCAGACCTATCAATTGAGCTCTTTGTTCTCCTGCCCAGTTGGTCGCAGCTAATAAAACCAGTGGCAAGGCACCAGGGAGCTCCACTAAATACTGCCTTTTTTCCCACATTATCTAAAAAATATTTTATTCATACTCAAAACTCGAAACTAGTTTCAAAATAAACTTATCTGAACAATTATTATAATTTTGTAAATATAATGGATTTCTTAAAGAAAACACAACTGTGTCGCTTCATACGTAAGACATATAATTTTAAGATGTATACAAAATTATTGAGCCGTGTTGGCCTAGTGGCTTTAGCGTGTGACTCTCATCCCTGAGGTCGTAGGTTCGATCCCCGGCTCAATGGATTTTCTTTCTATGTGCGCATTTAACATTCGCTCGAACGGTGAAGGAATACATCTTGAGGAAACTAGCTTGCCTTAGACCCAAAAAAGTCAACGGCGTGTATCAGGCACAGAAGACTGATCACCAACTTGCCTATTAGATAAACAAATGATCATGAAACAGATACAGAATTCTGAGGCCCTGAACTAAAAAGTTTGTAACGCCCATTGATTTGATTTTTACAAAATTATAAGTATAGTATCTGTAGGTGTTTCTTTTTTACGTTAGTATGGAACTATACTAGGGTTGCCTGGAAGAAATCGATTGTTAGCGATAAGGCCGCCCGTTGGCTTATAACTTAGGTAACCTGCTCTTTTATATGTATGTTTTTGTATACAGTAACGAAGTGTTACAGTGTTCTCACCTCCCTACATTCGATGGGCATCCTCTGATAAGCCCCCTGTTCAGTCAGATGGAGCAACTGCGACTGAGTGTGACCGTCGAGGGACTCAAACGATGGTAAATCCTTAACTGATATGGATTTCTCTTCCGCTTCCACCCATTTCACACCCAAGCGGTTGTATGAAGGGATTTCTGAAATTAATAAAAACACTCTGTAGATGTTATATATTTGGAATATATTTAGAAAGTTTGAAAGCGTATTTTTCGTGTTTACCACACAAAGATTTTTTTGAACTCTTTAATGTTAATGAAGTTCTAAGAGTATTAATAAAGGCATCGCGCGGATAAGACGCTAGTGTGAGCCATAGAGTGAAATCATTACAATTTTTCATTAATTTTTTTATACAAGGATGTATGCAATTTGCAAATTAATTAATATAACAATATTTAAATATTTTTTTAAACAATACAATACTATTTTACTTAACAGGTAAGCAAGTAATCATTAATCAAATTAGTATCCAGCATATCCATAGTATCCAATAGCCCAAATTGTTAAAAAAAAAATACTAAAATCGAATCCGTTATACTAGCCCCGCACGTTGATATTGCGATGAAACCTTGTCACAATAACAGCTGCGTGACGTCATCCACCGCAAAAAATTACAGACAACAAAAAAGTTAGTAATAATAATAATATTCATTTGTTTGCTTGAATGTAGGTGAACAATCTGTATCGGTAATCTTCTTTGCTCATTTTAATAGGATAAATATGATAACAAAAATAAAACAGGATAACGATAATAAAAAGCAATAAAAAACACGTGGTAGATGTACTCAATACGCGTAAGCGCTGGCTGACCTTGCGCACGGTACTGACACTGACAGTTCGACTACGTCACTAAGATGGCCGCAATATTAACGTGCGGGACTTATACTAACCAATATTAAGAAGGGGGTAGGGCGAGGGGGGGCGAGGCGGCGGGGTGCGGGGCCGGGCCGAGCCTTCTATCGCAGCAGCTGGGCCACAAGGGAAGCACGTAGCTGCCTGACATTAGCATGCTGGAAACAGGTATTATTTGTATTTTACAAGGTTTACTATCTAACAGCAGTGTTGGCCTAGTGGCTTCAGCGTGCTACTCTCATACCTCAGGTCGTAGGTTCGATCCCCGGCTGTGCACCAATGGACTTTCTTTCCATGTGCGCATTTAACATTTGCTCGAACGGTGAAGGAAGAAAACATCGTGAGGAAACCGACATATCTTAGACCAAAAAAGTCGACGGCGAGTGTCAGGCACAGGAGGCTGATCACCTACTTGCCTTTTAGATTTAAAAATGATCATGAAACAGATTCAGAAATCTGAGGCCAAGACCCAAAGAGGTTGTAGCGCCATTAATTTTTTTTTACTTATTTATAGTTATTTATGGTACAAAATTAGCCTCACCCATCATAGTCAAACATCTGTATAGCCGCCCATCCTAGTTCCGTTTGTACATATTGTACATCTCCAACCGCGCTACCTTCTTGTACGTTCGCCTCTGGTTCGTGCGAGTCCGTACGCTGCGTACGACCGTATAACGTCAGTACTAGACGCGATTCACGAGGAAGGGAATAGATTGGCATGTCTTCCATGTTTAACCTAAAATGCAAAAGTTTTAGCCGTTTCAGCAGGAGAATCACAACTTCTGCTGGTACAGTGAAGGAAAACATTGTATACGTGTGTCCGGCACAAAGGGTTTATCTATAAGTAATACAATAAGTTAATTGCCAATGCTCAGACTTTACTACATTAAGGGTCTGTTTCACAATGTATGGATATAGTAACAAATAGCTATGCAACACATAAATTTAAATTATTTGGAAGATAAATTGTGCTATTTGACATTCATCGGATTCTTAACTTATGATGAAAATTATGTGACGAATAGCGCTATCTGACAGTCGTGAACCGCAACAATAGTGGTTATCCTACCAATAAGTAATAAACAGCTAATTTGGAACTTATGTAGAACTTATCCGTACATTGTGAAACAGACCCTTACTATAATTAAATAACCATACTAATATTACAAATAGGAAAGATTTTGTATTGAATAGACTCCAAAACTACTGGACCGTTTTGAAAAATTCTTACACCATTAGAATCCTACATTTTCACAGATGAACAAAGGCTATTGAATAATATCAAAAAGTTGGGGAACCATATGAAAACTGATAATGTAACCCAGTATGTAAAAAAAATCCTTATATCGCGTACGCTGCGAAAACTATTGACAATAAAGCAAAATGATTTACTACAGTTTCATAGAACACACCAATATCTACAAAAAACTCCACGATACCACATGTATATTATATATTTAACTAGCAAACCGGCCAAGCGTTGCTATGGCTAAGGTTTTTGTTATTTTACATAGTAGCAAACTATTTAAGGGAAACGGTAGGAGAACACCAGTCATGGAGACCACCATGCTTTTTGGTGGTTATGCCATTAAATTGTAGCTTATGTGAAACGTTAGTACTTTCAACACAGCGCCATCTGTTAGAATTGTGACTATGAAATAATAAACAAATATTTTGCAATAAAATAATATTGCGGGTATAAATTGAGATGTAAGCTATCCTATCTTTCAAGTTGGATCAAACTACACACGGTGTGCAAGTTTGATTGATATCGGTTCGGTAGTTTCTGAGTCCATACCGGACAAACAACGTGACACGTAATTTATATATATTAAGATTAATAAATATCTAGTCCTGCGAAGCCGGGACTGAACGCTATGGAAAGTTATGGTAAATTAAGGTATACCTACGTGTCAAACCTTTACGTTGTTCAATAAGTATACGTTTAGAATGACTGAATTTGATAACCTTAAGAAAAATAAAGATGCTGTACACACATGTGTATCGAATGGTTCTAGTTTTTTTATCTTACTTACCATATATCAAATATGATGCGCGGATAGAAGCCACCGTTTTCGATTCCAGAGGTGTGAGTGAGGTGTAAGGTCTTGAGCGGTCTTGTCCCGTAGTATATTTGTGCGTGAAATAGGAATTCGTCGTGGTTCCAACAGTGGGGTAGACAATGCACTGCTTCGATGCAGAACAATGTCGTTTCTGTTATTGTATCTGCTGGGACGGCTTCTACAAAAAAAGTGCGTGCGTACAAAGTACACATGTCAGAAGTAAAACTTCTTTGAAAATAATTATTACTAAGGTAAAAGCCCCAATAGATGATCATGTACCCCCAATAGATGATGATGATCACATTTTATTTATTTATATAATTATCACTTAATGATAAATGAAAAAATCTGCGTTTACTGCACAAGTCGTTATGCGATAGAATTGCCATCTAAAGTTCTAAAATGGAACTACTAAACGAATGCATCAACCACTAGCGAGTATTTTTTCTCGATCTCCCTTACTCTCTCTCTCTCAATCATTCTCACTATAGCTCTCTCCCACTGTGCGTGATGCGACGTACGCTCTATCTCACTCTCTCTAGATTTTTCTTACTTGCTTGCTCCCTACTCCCGCTGCATGGCTATTTGCTTCATGCTACATTCGCCCTTTCTCACTCTCTCTCAATCGCTCTCTCCCTTTTCTTCGACAAAAACGTTGCACATCTTCGTGACGCTAATATTATTATTGCGTTTCATCTCAAAAATGTCAAATTCATCATAAAAAAATTAGTGTGTTTTCTTTGCATAGAATATTTTTAATTACACTGAAATGTTCAAATATAAATGCGAGACAAATAAATTGCCTTAATATACAACATATATAGTTAAAACTTTAGTACTTCATAATGTATCCAGTTGAACAACTCATATACATGCAAACCAAGAACACAGTTCTTTCTCGGTCTGGCAAAATATTCTTCGTATATAATTTGGATTCAACCGGAACTTGACTGTTACGGGTAGTATTACACATATTATTTTTAATTTAATAATATACTGCTCAAAACAATTAGCGGAACAAGATTCTTCTCCTTTCTATTGCTTAAACTAAAATTAGATTTAAATTAACTTTACGCTATTTTTTACCTTGTTAATTTGTTAATTACTACAATTAATAAAAAAATTCAATTTGTATTTTTTTATTAAAAAAAATTAAAATGTGCATTGCAGACGAAAAACAAAGTGACGTCTTTGAATTTTCATTACTTTCTAATCACAGAAAACACATTTTAATGTTAAGTAGTTTTTTTCAATCTTTTGAGTATTAATAGAAATTGAAGTGAGCCTTTTGAGTATTGTTATTCATTGAAGCGAGTGAGTTTAGGTCATAATCCAGATCTGACTGAATTGCATGTCTCCCGAGCTATCCTTTGCTTGAAAGGGTCAACTATCTTATTTATCTAGAGTAGCCCCTTCTTTTCTACAGACTTTGGAAGCATACCGTAGACGGAGAATACTCACGAACTCAATCAAGAGAAAAACTACACGTTCAGATCTACATCTCAACTGTGCTTTACGTAACCGCACCACAACTCAAGATCTACTACACTAAGGACGGCTACTGGTGTAGAAATTTCGGACCAGACGGTAAGAAATAGGTTGTTGGAAGCCAATTTAGATCACCCACCAGTTCGGGCTGTGCGTCTAACAATTCAACATAGACAAGCTCGCCGACATTCGCCAAAATCACCTAATTGGCAACTTCGACATTGGAGGCCAGTCTTTTTACCACAATCACATTCCATCATCTGTTCATGGTCGTCTCCGTGTTTACAGACGCCCAGCAGCGATACAGTCGAGAGTCAATATGAAAATTTGGATGTGGCTCTGTGATGGTTTGGGGCGGAGTTAGTTTGACGAGCCAAGATTCGTCTTGTTCCCGGCGCTTGTGTGCTCAAACTTACATTGAAAATGTGCTCAAAGATCATTTTGGCCCCACATATGGTATGGCCCAGATTTTCTTTTAATGCAAGATAATGCCACCCATACTCACCATCACGTCAGATTACTTACGACACAAAATCCTTAATGGAGTGGCCTTCCTGCCCTACCTAAATCCTATTGAAACATTTGGGACTTGCTTGACAGGCCATCCGAACGTCCATTGCACCTCAAACACTGCAGCAGCTCACTGAAGTGTTGATTGAAGAAGGGAGCGAATTCCACAAAAGATATTCAGGATCATACGAACATCCCGTCGTTTCAAGCCTATTAGGGCTCATGAGCCCACGTTACTAAAGTCACTAAAGACGAATATTCAAACATATAAGAATATTTCTTTGATGGTCCTTTTTATCACCAATTAGTTTTTCGTTACAATGCACATTTTAATTTTTGAAGTTATACTTCTTTAGGCGCGTTATGAAAAATTTATGAGAGTGAAATTTTACAATGCGCGCCACCCGTGACACAAAATTAGAGTGTGATTATAGCGTGCCGACAATAGGAATAGACAATCTACAAGTAAAAGAAATAGAATATGCGTAAGTTCGTATGCCAAGAATTTTGAATGACATAATGACATTTGTCATTTACCTTTTAAACAAATAAAGGAGTTTTAATTATTTTTTCAAAGAAATTTAGCAATGCTTTTTGAATTATATATAATCAGAAGTGATTTAAATTGAATATTTAAACCAATACTAATTAATATTTGTGAAAAAACTTGCTCATCAACCTTCTAAGTCTTCATTACAATTGAGGTTAACTATCAGTTTGTATTATTAGTATCGAGTAATGTTTTGATTAAAAAAATTACCACATTGTTTAATCAAAACATGTAATTTTTCTCTAGCAAATATAAGGACAAGAGACAAAAACATTGATGAATCAGTGTAAGTCACTAAATTGAAAACAAAAAAGAGTTGTCATCTTATCGCTGTGAAACATCAAAAACTGAGGTGGAACAAGCCAAACTATTTTTAATAATGCCAAAGAAGTATAACTTCATACGCGCGTACATAAGTACACGCACCCTTTTTTTTTTTTAATAAAAAAATACAAATTGAATTTTTTTATTAATTGTAGTAATTAACAAATTAACAAGGTAAAAAATAGCGTACAAGTTAATTTAAATCTAATTTTAGTTTAAGCAATAGAAAGGAGCAAAATCTTGTTCCGCTAATTGTTTTGAGCAGTATATGTTACCAGACCGAGATTGAACCACGAACTAACCGTGAACGGTATTAAAGTGTTGTTAAATATTACTTTTTGGCAAAGGAAAATTTGCTTAAAAAATACATCAGGGTCTGAATTTCTGTAGCAAACTTGTTGTCGATTTGTCTAGTCTCACTCAACTTGTTTCAATTTATGCCAAGAAACAAGTTTTCTATACAACAAAGTAAAATTTAGATCGAAGCGTTAAAATGTACCACTTACTATTTAATTTTAATATTAAATATATCTTACTTGATGGATCAGGCGTCATTATAGGAGAATCTGGTAATCTGAAGTCCAACAAACTGCTCCTAGTATAGAGTGCCAGCAATCCCCTAACAGCATCCCGAACACGCACGCACTGTTGTACGAGCGTTTCGCGCACGTTAGCCGCGCGTACAGATACGGAACAGTATGGGCCGTTGTCTGACTGGATTTCAGGACGTACTGCGCCTGTTACCTTTAAAAAAATTTAACTTAATTCTTTTCTAAGCGATTTTGTAGAACACGAAGTCGTCTATACAATAAGCCAGCATTTAGGTAAGACACTAAATTATTTCCTAATGTTAGTATCATCCGAAGATATATCTGAATGCTATTCATCTTACTTTGATTCTGAACACACTTTATGGAGTCAATCGCAAATTTTATGCAGAAAATTCATACAAAAAATTTAAAGGTATTAAATTCAATAAACAGGAAATACACGCGAACTACACGTCGACGGCAGCCGTCGACAAGTCAAAATTGAAGCTCTACGGCAGCCGTCAGAGGCTCTCTTTGTACAGGAGCCAGTTGCAAAAAGAATTCCGAAGAAGAAACACACGTGCATTGTGGATCCAATGTATTTTGATTCATAGTTTACAGCCGCCCAAGCTCTAATTTTTATTGTTTTGTTACTCTTCTCTTGTTTATAATTCCAAATACAAGCATTTTCCTTTACTGCCATAATAAGCATTTCAACATCAATACTGTCACTGGAGATCATTTTATAAAATTGAAACGGGTGCGCACTCCTACACTATTTGCAGTCTGATTGACAAAATGGCGGGGACGGCACGCTACAAACACAAACAACTGCAAGCGTCGATATAGGTCGACGGCTGCCGACGGCATCGTGCCGCTCGTGTGAATGAGCTCTTATAGTTAATTTCCTTTTATTGTGTTCGGAACAAGATCAAAAGAATTCATTCGTATTCATTTTAAGATAGCTTTTGTGTGTTTTCTAGATTTTCCGGGTATATCACCATCATCATTCATCACATACCAATAACCATCAACAAAAAAAATTCAAATCGAAAAAAAAATGAAAATAAAAAGTCTATGAATTTTACATTGTCAAGAAACATTATCTTTCAACCCATACCTGTGCAGTACAAGCTTGAGCGAACGCGTTCAACGTATGCGTGACGTGCAACGTTTCAAGTCCACCTGCGAGTGCGCATATCGCTTTTACGGCTTGAAACACGCCATTTGGCGAACAACAGCCTTCAGCGCCTACCACACCCACTGCCCGAGATAATTCTCCTTCTAAGGTCTCTGAAACATTTACTAGGTTAATCCCGAGAACAAGAAAGCTTATCATTTTCTAAAACCATCGATTTATATTATATATCCTCCAAATTCTCAACGTACAACAATATAAAGACGAGAGAAAAAACGTGCATGCAACAGTTGTAATGTCGCTGATTTTTTAAGAAGTTTTGGCCCATCATTAGACTTTGACATAAATCTTTATTAAATTTTAAAGTCGTTTTACCTAACACAAGAGTGCAATTTACTTTAAATTGAGACAACCTGCCACCCCCAATCAGCGACATACAAGGCAATAATAATATTATATAAATATTATATTTCAAAATAAAATGTAAAAGTTACGTTTTTGGAATGTCACTCAGCTGGGTTGGGATTTTAGTTGCATTGTCTCATGTCTTATGCCTGTTTGTTTGTAATTTAAATTTTAGATTTTTTTTTAAAAGTGTGCTTTAACAAATGTTCTTTTTCTCAAAATCCAGCTTGAACACATGCTTAATAAGTACACGAATTTAAGAGTTCTAATTAACGATTTTTACTTCACTCTAGCTCTTCTATTATGAAGAAATGCATAGAAAATACACTGTGTATAACGAATAGTTTTTACTATGTAAAATAATACACATACCTAGCAGAATAGACAAATTATCAAACGTCAACACAAGCGTCGCTCCTTGCACTGGTATCAAATCATCTAAAGTCAGATGCGTGTCCTTCGCGTCATCTCTTTCTGTCCTTGCTAGTGACGTATCTTTCCCCTCACTGAGGCACAGACGTACGTCCTTTTCTAAGCGTACACATTCACGTATATAATCGTATTCGCTTAGTGAACTACCCGGCGTTAAGTATTCTTTGGCACCCCATACCTAGGATATTAAATATTATTTAAATTTGGAACAATTAAGAGCTACCCGCCTTCGATTATCAACCTAGGCTAGCTACAGATTGATTGATATCTCTAACACATGCTCGAACTTTCAAAGAATATCTCTAATACATGTTCGAACTTTCAAAGAATATCTCTAACACATGCTCGAACTTTCAAAGAATATCTCTAACACATGCTCGAACTTTCAAAGAATATCTCTAACACATGTTCGAACTTTCAAAGAATATATTTAACACATGCTCGAACTTTCAAAGAATATCTCTAACACATGTTCGAATTTTCAAAGAATATCTCTAACACATGTTCGAACTTTCAAAGAATATCTCTAAGACATGTTCGAACTTTCAAAGAATATCTCCAAGACATGTTCGAACTTTCAAAGAATATCTCTAACACATGTTCGAACTTTCAAAGAAAATATAGTCCAAAAAATCAATATTCCGTGTCTGCCTAACATAGTAGTTTACACCAGAACTTTTTTACTATATTTCTAGCGTTATAACTTACCCTAAGCATATATCCTGACATATCCTCTCGAATATCTTCATCAAGAGAACACACTACTGTAAGGATTACATGATCTACTGTTGACTCCGCTGAAAATAGAAGAATTTCTCATTATATCACAGCGGAAACACAATTTGATAGATTGTACTATAGAGTACTTAGTGACAAGGGGTACTTAGGTACACAGTGTGCCGACTTAATGATTGCGAATAAAGGAATTATTATTAATCAAAAGATCATCAATTAATTATAATTGCCTTCATACAATGAGAGAATTAATATTAAAACATATCAATTTGTTTTCGTGTTTAATTGAGGTTTTCCTTAAAAATTAAAAAAAATAAAAATGTTTCCTGAAAAGATTTCATACATACCATCAGAAGTGAATGTGATGGGTTCATCCGTGTGTGAGTTATAGACTAGAATCTTTATACTGGTATTGGGCGGGTATTTTCCACCCGACCGCCCGGCAATCACATGCCCTGGGTTGGTTTTTTCATCGGTGTGTACAAACTTTTCTGTAAAACATTATTTAATTTATGTGGAGTGATTTCGTTTTAGGATACAATACGTTATTTTAGGACATTATTTGCAGTATCATGAAGTATGTTATACAAAAATAAAACACTGTGTTACTATACGCTTTCATTCAAAACTTGTTGTGCTATGCCTTTATAGAAGTTAAAAAAAAATACATATATGTATATGTATGTGTGGTTGGACAAGGGAATCATTGTCGATTTTTTTTGGAAACAGGAGGCGGGTCACTTTGAAAAAAATGCTAACCACCGCCTATGGACCTTCGTATGTGTTGCTGACCTTTGAGGGAATGGTAAACTCTTTTCTAGAAGGCTACTAAGTCAGCTGGTTCCACAAAGACCTATTGATTCTAATGAAAAAAAAAATATACTAGCATCTCTGTTCGACCTTGTCTTATCAGACTGCAATCCCACCAAATGCTCATTAAAGTTTATTAAATACTCATTAAAAAATGCGCTACGTAGACGACCACAAAGATACCGAAAGTCTCATATCTCGCACACGTTTTGCATCATCCTTGATACGACTTGTTGCAACTTATAATGTTCGACAATATTCAAGGCAAGAGACGGGCTGGTAGAAGGAATACATCGTGGTTGCGGAACATAACGTAATTTAAACTAAATAATCTACATAAACACAAAAAGAGTTATATAGGACTTCTAAAACCTATACAAGAACACTTACTTCTAACATCTAAAACCATTTTCAAAAACGCCTTGTGCTCGCTGTCGTAATTCCTTGTGTGTATCTTTTCTATACAGTCGTATAGCTTATTCTGAAATAAAAATCCAATTTGAACTTTATTATTTTACATTACGGTTAAAAATACAAAACCTTTACTAATTGCTAGATATCTGCAGCTTTGTCTACATAGTCAGGACACAATACCATTTCTTTTCACTGAATAAAAATTCATTAAACTCCAGGCAGTAGTTCAGGGGTACATGGATAACATTCATGGAATAAATCCAGGTCTTTACAGGACACATGGACTAGTAGGAGTGAAAATTACTTTATACAGAAAACGTAAATCACATCTCAATATATCTACCGTACCTGACAGTCATTGTTCTGCATGATATAGGATATTAAACAAAGTATGAAAGTATCGACTCCAGCGCCAGATGCCGGGCTGATTTGTGAATCTAAACCATACGGGGCGCCACCCAAACGCATACGAAAAACAAAAAAATTCAAATCGGTCCAGCCGTTTAAGAGTTCAGTGACATACACACGCACACTAGAATTATATATATAAAGATATGTGTGTATAGTCCGATTTAGTGAACTAGAAGAAGAAAGAAGAGAATATGATTATCAGTTCGGAAGTTCGGCTGATCTATTAAGCAAAAATAAGACGTAAACACAATCCGCTTTACACGGCCCCATACCGCATAACGTTACTTTAAATTGCATTTCTCTTTACCGTAGTCGGTCGTTTAACTGTTGGAGCAACACTTGGAATTGATTTTGGAGGTGGCGATGGCAACACCGTTTCTTTTTTATTTATGGTCCCATATATCGGGGCTTCTCGTAGCTCCGTCTCTCCATACAAGAAATCCAACGGATCGTAATCTTCATACACGCTACGTACGCTTGACGACGGACTACCTGCAGCATAGTCTGTAGAGAAATGCCAATTAAAATACAAAAAACAAATCAAGCTTTATAGTGTATTATATGTATTGTTAAAAAATATTAACACAAAAAAAATGTGATTCCAATTTGCAATTTGTTTAAGTCTTGCAATGAAGCTTATGGTAGCATCTCTATTCTTTATGGAAAGTAACTAAATTTTTGTTAAAAAACTACATTTCATGATTATTGTAAATGAAATATAGAAAACACAACAATATAGATGGAACTCAAGTAACAGACTAATCTATTGATTGATATACAAAAATACAACACAAAAACAGTAGGAAAAAAGTTTAATCACTAAAACAGATAAAATCAATGAAAACTATGATTAGTACAGAACATAAAATAACTACCATAATGGTTGGAACACAAATTATTTAAATGAAAGCTAACCATGAAATTAGGACAGTACAAGCGTGGTAAATGAGTAGTTCCCAAATTAAGACGATGGCAACCCAAAAAATATTTTAAGACTTACAATGCGCGGAAATTTAGTTTAACAAACTATTTGACATATTCTGAAATGTCTAAAGACACTCTTGTTCAATGCGACACAAGAGAAAATAAGACTAAAAAATTCTTCTAAGTAAATAAAAATACTCTACTCTCTGCAAATCTTTGCTACGCAATATAATTTTACACTTTTCGCTACGAAAGTAAACTGAAAAAAAAAAGCAAATTAAAATTTTATACCAGGATACCCAAAATGAGATGATCCCACTCACCCGAATGATTTTGCTCAGTTAAAAGCGGGTCAAAGGCTTCGAGCACACTGACTCTTACGCTACCTTGCGGCTTCAGTCCGAAGTCTATCAAGTTCTGGGATTTCGGTAAACTCCCTATTGTGTCCACGGCTTCGTTTGACTATGAAGAAACAATCTTATTAACTAATGTTTCGGATAGCTTTTACAATGCTAATATTAATGTTTATATATTTAAAAAAATAGCTGGGGTGGGTTTTTTATATAACAAGGGGCAAATGGGCAGGAGGCTCGCCTGATGTTAAGTGTTAACGGTTTTTGGCAGAGTTGACACTGCCGGCCTTGTAAGAATTGGTACGTTCTTTTTTCTTGAAGGAAGTCGAATTGGTTCGGAACTGCTTTGTGAGAGTAATAGCGCGTTTCGATTGATTGCGATTGTGTTCTGACAGACTTTGGTTTTAAATCCTCACCCCAAGCTAATTTTATAATAAATAAGTCATGTCTCTATCGTACGGGTGTATTTTTGCTGACATTATTTTATTTGGATGCAATGCAAAATTTATTTTTAATAAAAAAATAAATAGTGCGTTCAGCCCCTCCGCGGGGAAGAAGTGAAACTTCGTAATGTGGAAATGAAAATAGAAGTTTCACTTAAAAAAGAAAATGGATTTATATAAGGGTTGCCCGGTTATGTGCTGTTGAAAACAACACGACAAAATGAATGACCCTATCGCTTCACTATGGTCACTTTAGAGATACAGTTGACCAACCACAAAATCTAGCGTTAGCTTTTAATATCGTACATAATATTTAAATCCCCTAGCATTGCTTTATCCGAAAGTCGCAATAATATTGCTGAAAAAAACAGTTTTTGGCGATATTTTAATTAAGAAACTAAGAATTTTTATTGAAAGGCATATTCTATAAAAAACTCTCCACAGTTTTGAATACAGTATACGACCAATTTAATTTTGACCTACCTCAACGCTGACCTCCGAATTCCGAGCCTTTTGATCGTTGACTTGTGTATTATTATTTTCAATTTCCACTTTTTGTGCTGGTTTTGTGGGGTATGTGTGCATTTGACTTAATTGTGGGTAAATTGGCCGTGTCGGTCTTGTTATCATATTAGTTGTGTTGTAATTGTATTGAGACTGATATGGAATGTATGGAGCGGCCATTCTTGTTTGAGTATATGGTACTGTTGGTGCATAGACTGGGGTTTGTGGTGCTTGTGGCACATATGGAGGTGGCATTTCTTGCACTGGATAGTAGGGGTATGCGGTAGGCATGCCATAGGGCGTAGACGGAGGATATGGAGGTACCGGCATGTATGGAGTTGGATAATTGTAAGGGTACTGGCTACTGGGTGGGTAATTGTAGCCCGGCCTTTGATTATACTGATTGTTCATTGTGGCTTGTTCGGGGGTTGCAATTGTTAACTCTTCTGTTTGCTGACCCAATCTGAAAACATAAATAATATTAATTTCGGAAAGTAATTAATATGCATACTACAAAGTTGCTTAATATGCAACTTTTCTGAAAAACATTCATACTAATGTAGTATGAATGTTATTCAGAAAAGTGAAAGTGGTCACTTCAACATATATGTAACTTTTTTGTAAGAAAACCATTTTTAAAATTTGCTCTTATTTTATTTAGCTAATGAGGTTTAGTCTAGCTTTTATATGCATATGTGTCGCAGAATCATTTAATAGAACATCTTTGGAGATTTGTAAAATGGAGGAACATTACCAAATATGGAAAATAATTGTTATAGTATTTTATGTAATTTGTCTTAGTCAAAACATAACAAAACTACTTAATTTCTACATATTCAATACATAAGATATATTATAAGTAAATTTTAAAATACATACTTAGAGATCTGGTCAATATAATCCTTGAGGTAGGCATGAGAGTCCTTTGGTGCGGTTTTACTTGTGGGGCTGGTAAATGATATAAGGTCTTTGCTCTCAATTCTTGTAGGACTTGTGCCAGTCGACCTTTACAATAGAAATTTTTTTTAAAGATTATGCTGGTACAGTGTAAACTGTTTATAACGTCATTCGTTATAAAGAATTTACACTGTATTTATATAAAAATTATAAATAACCTTGTTGCAAGAATGAATATGCTCCATGACCCACTGATTAGAATCAGTGTTTGCACAAATTTTAATCAGATTTCCTGATAATAAAAACACTTCCTCGCTATGGATGTTTGTTTGCCAGTAACTTCAAAATGGAATGGGAAATAGCAAAGAAAGCGGAACATTTCCATACAGCAAATCATAGGATAGTATTGATCCTCTTTTTATTTACTATTTATATGAAATACTGCTTAAAACGCAGTTTTTAAACATTTAGTATTCAATATTTTAACTGTATTAACAAGTTCCTTTAAAATTAAACAGATGGAATGGTGTGTGAAGCTCTATTAAGGAGTTATAGAGCTTTCATTCTTATAAAAATAATAAGAACTTTATTTATGACAAAAGGCTTTGTGACAGAATTCATATATCACGAGACCCCACACTAGGGAGGCCCTGTGTTGTGGGTAACTAGAAAACAATTATTATGAGGTATATGTTTAAATTAGTTATAAAAAAAAATGATAATAAAAAAATAATAATAATAGTTATAAATTTAGTGTTACAAATGAAGTGAATGAGTGAGTGTGTGAATAGGTGTGTATGTGCATGTATTCGAGAGTGTAGCTGAAAGTTGTTATGATCGTGTACTGTATCTGTGTTAGTTTATGAAACCTCAAAGTCATACCAAGTAATGCCTCCATAGATTCGAAATCCAATTTGGCTAGTGTAGTTTCTATGTGACTTGCTAGTTTATATCTGGATAGTTTTACGAGTTTTATGATATGGTACTTCAAAGGTCGCACGTACCTAGCGCTCTCAGTACTGGAAGTACGTCGTGGTGGTTTCCGTGGAGGAGGTGGCAACGCCGGTAGTGGTCCTTCACAGTCCTCCTTGCGACGTATTGTAGCATTCCCCGCGTCTTGCACATTATCTGTATGATAATGCGTATCAACCGATAATTTTCGATTATTTTTATCAATATTAGATTTATGTCTATACTAATATTATAAAGAGGAAAGGTTTGAATTTTGTTTGTTTGAAATGAATAGGCTCCGAAACTACTGAACCGATTTCAATGTCATATGTTTCATTTTCAAAAAAACTAGGGATGCTTACTAAAACTTGAATAATCTAACCCAAGGTGTAAAAAAATAAACAAAAAACTTCCTTCAATCGTGTGCGCTGCGAAAACTATTAATGATAGAACAAAATGATGTATTACAATTTTTCAGGACACATCACTATCTATAAAAAATGTCGTGACAGCATGTCTCTATCTTTTATAGTTACGTCACAATAAGCGTCCTTTTATTATTATTTTTTTATTAAAATACCACCGCTAGAAAAGGCTCTTTATGTGTACCTAGGTGTTGATCCTTATCAAAATAATTACCAACGTTTCACATAAGCTACAATTGAATGGCATAACCACCAAAAACGCATGGTGGATTGGTGTTCTCCTGCCTTTTCTCTTGAATAGTTTACTACTATGTAATATAACAAAAATCTTAGCCACAGCAACGCTTGGCCGAGTCTACTAGTATGGTATACAAGTAAGAAATAGTTATTGTTTTATACATTAAAATGAACTAATATCAACATGATACCATTATGTTTTTTGTTCTCGATTTTTGTACTGTATTGCACTGTACCCTGCAATTTTATGTACCTTTTCATTTGCATATTATCTAGCTGCATATGATAGGAAAATTTTATATTAATTTTCAAGATTGCAAAATAATTGCACTTTTTTAAATGGATGGAAATTTTATATACAGAAGTTATGTGGTTTAAATTTAACCGTTTTTCCATTAATAAACGGTATCTTCATTTCCATATATAAAACTTTCATTTTATTACCTTGCTCATCATCTGCTACTTAAATGAAATTAATTCAAATTGAACTCCCAGACATCATATATTGACAGGAAACATAAAGCTCTCAAACCCTTGTAGTACAAAAAGTTAACCAATTTAATATTAAATTTTATGATGCTACAGTGCAAAAACTGTGTGAAAAGCGTCTGAAGTTAGAAAATTAAGCTAAAATTAGGAGGAATAAAAAAGGATTGAAATCTTTATATCACAATAGTACTTTAATTTTAATAGCAAGCCATTAAACACAATTATTAGATGTTATTTTTATTACAGCATTTAAAAACTACTGTAGCAATTATCAAGCAAAAGATGTAGATTAAACCTAAATAGTTTCGTAATATGAGGTCAGCGATCTCACTTCCTCTCAAATTGATAGCCTTGTTATCAATTTGTAATACACTCAATTCACAACATACTAACTGGCTAATATTTTTTATGATACTTTTGTTTTTGCAACTACAGAATTTTCTAAAATGATGAAATGTATATTGACCGACATAGTTGCTCAGCAAACAAGCCTTGAGATTAAAATAATACATATATGTTTGATTTAGCATTAGATAACACTTAATCAGAAATGTTTAAAAATTTAGAAATTTAGTAATTAACATAATGTTTCAAAAAGTAATTATTTCTACATTCTATATTATTAACTAAATAGCCTACATGTTGCATATAAAATCTTTTTATGTCTAGAGAAATACCCTCAAGCTTTATGACACTACATAAATTCTTTATACACATAAGATCTGGATAGTTCCTTTATTAACAATGTTATGTTGTAGATCATCGAGGTATTTCAATGATTACTAGTAAATTATAAATACAAAGTTGGTTACACTTACAACCTTGTTTAATACCATCATTATAGCAGTAGCAGCAGATAAACAATGGAATAAAAGTGCAGCAATTACTTAATCTCAACAGAATAAAGATATTGTATGAATTACCTTGTATCTACTTATCATATCAAAAATAAAAGGAATTACGTCAGTTACCTGAACTAGCTAAATGCTTTTGCCTTCGAAACTGATCCAATGCAAGACTTTCTAAACTAAGAGCCTGCGCCTTTTCCAGATCCTCTTGAAACTGAAGATCGTATTCGGACATTTTTGATACACGTTAACATACTACTGAAGAAAACATTTCCAGAATATTAACGTGAGAAAAGTATAACGTTTTAATTAACTGTTGAATGTTATGCTAACACTACACATGTTAGACAAAGGAACCTAGGCACTTCACGCACGATTTGTATTTTTTGTACAAAATACTTCTCCAAATATAACTTTTACTCGTAATACTTTTGTTATTTTCAGGACATCATGGAATAGGAATTACAAATAAAATATAATAACAATTTTATTCTCGAGAGTTGTAAATTGTAATCGAAATTCATAATCATGTCATTTTTGGTTGTCGGCTGTCATTGTCAAAACAACTAGTGAGCAAATAATCAAAGTCAATTCCACTGTTTTGACAACAAGTAGGTGATATATTATACAGTATATACAGATCGATTGCGTATTTTCACTGCAGTCTGATTGAATTAGCAATAGATACTACTAGACAAAACAATAGATACTACTTAAGAAGAGTTATTAGTTTTTGGCCATTCTTTCGATTGGCATCATAAAAGTAGGGGTGTTTTTTTTACATTTAAGTCGGTTCGATTCCCAGACGAGGCAAGTAATTTTTAGAAAATCTTTGAATGCAGAATTACTAACTTATAAAAATAACATAATGTCTTCTTTTAGTTTTATCTTTTATTGAAGATTGTAGAAAGTATTAATAACCTGTGTTATTGCCGTACAGATAAAAGTCACCGGAAAATGACTCTTTTCGGAGGGAAGTAATTTACCTCATACACCTATGTGTTCCACAAAAAATGTACGGCATACTGGAAAATGTTACCTATTTGTGAAGTACTCTCAAGATCATTTAATTTTATGTTGTTCTATATCATCATCACCTTTATGCTAATCAGAGATATGTTGCGACCCTTGGCTTTCGACCGCTCCGCTGGAAATATGTACGGCGTTTACGGATAAAGTATCTGTATATGTGTCCAAAAGGAATTACACCAATGCCGTACAGTAATAAATGACCTATATTGCTTCTGCAACTATCGTCGAACTAAAAATTTGCACCGACTTCCGGTACCATCGCTTTAGTACGGCACTAGGTTTTTCGACATTTATTTTTAATCATCTATACACTTATAATAAAGCCGTACATTAATAATTAGTCGAAATTGCTCATTTGTATCTGAGAAATTCCATTCACTCACGTGTACCGCTCTATAGTAACAGCGTTCTAAACGTAATTCACGTTGGGTCATTTCACAGGTATTTTTTGTTCATGGGCTTGTGGTCTATACATTATATATATTATATAGTTTAGTTGCTTATATAATAGGAAAAAATGTAGGAATTTTATTAACTATGAAACTCTAGATAAATAAATTGAAACGTATTTAAATGATTCACACAATATACCTAATTGCTATTGTTATGGATTTGAAAGTGGTAAAGTACTAATGAATTTAAAAACCATGATAGGTATAATTAGTTATAACCCGCAAAATATTTTTCTTGCTGGGATAGCTTTTATGAATAAATGTTTCTTGCATATGATATCTGTAGGGTTGTCTCGGGAGCAATAAATTATGGATATGCAGAAAAAACACAACAATTTTCAATATTAATTTATTGCCTTATTGTACAACATAAACATTGTCTTACTTTCTCAAGTCCATCTTGCTGTTAAAACAATATTAATCACATTATTTTAACAAGATCTTATTTTTTCTCTCTATAGAACACCGGTATGTTCTGAATCTAATACGTATCTTCTCTGGTAAATCTCTTAATATTTTGGTATGGAGCGGTATCCATCAAAAGGTGCCATCAATAATGATAACAACTTATTATAATTACTCGTCACCGTCACGTATATTTCGGTGCTGCATCTTGAGAGGGTATGGAACCGTAAATTAGAGCGCCCGGTTTAGCTCATGTGCAATGTTTGTTTGTTTTTGGCGTCAATCATACATTTAAGTTAAAATGTATGATACTTATTTAATGATTATAAGACCTATGGACTCACGGATGTAGGTATATTAAATTATGTATAAAATATTATTTTTGAAAAACAACATTTTCAAGTCCAATAAATGAAATTAGATATAGCAGTGTTTGAAATTGCATAGGTAGGTACCTACAACTTGTTACGTATAGCTAAATTGTGTAATACATAGTATTGTTTGACTTATCAACAGTTTCACAAACTACAATTTATTATCTATTTAGTTTTTTATTATTTAAATTTAGTTATATATTCATATATTATATTATAGTTTAAAGTTATAGAATATACATATATTCCTACACCTAGTTAGTTATAATAACAATTACACTATACATATTTTTATATAATCCTTTTTCCCTCCATTCATATATCAGAGTATAGGTTACTTACCCTTCGACAATACAAACGTTTTAGTGACGTTCATCAGAATCATCATCATCTTTGCCTTAGTTAAAAACACGATATTATGATAAGCTTAAAATAAAACTCAATATCTTTTTACCTTATATTTATTTTATGCATTTGTAGTAGCTTCTTTGATGGTTTAGGGTTAGGAATCGGTCTAGTTACAGTAACGTACTTGTATCTTACTACACCTGAAAAAGGTATATAATACATCAATATTTACTTCAATTGCTAGATTTAGTAAAACTCTTCCGAAATACCTGGCAATACGTATGTAGGAAATGTTCCCTGCTTATTCCCCCTTCTATCTTTACAGCGCTGTACATCGTTGTTCTCTGAATTATTGTATGTTAAACTATTTTGGTTTCCACTGCAATCTTGGCGATCTGAAGTAGTTGCTTTAGGCGCTGGCGGATGAGTTACCCGATAAAAGACACTATTTGCTTTTGTAACCTTTCTTTTTAGCTTGGGTTTCGGTGTTTTCACGACGGTATTAGGGTCAGACTGCTGTGAAGGGTCTTTCTTGCCTTCCGCAACCATCTGAGCGAATTTAATTACATTTTAACATGTTTCTAGATAATCGTCTATTACCCTAATTTTCTATCCTATTTACAATTTCGCTACTTCTTCTGATGAAGGGCAATAGAAATACCCAAAGTTAAATACAAAAATTGAATATGATGAAAGTGTTTGACTGTCATTTAAGAAATATTTAGTTACCTGTTCATAAAATAAATCGTCCGCATCTTGCCGATCGCAAAAGTCCAGTAATTTATTGCACACAGCACGTAGATTTTTAAGACGTTGTTTTTTTTTTCTTGCCGACGAAACAGCGATCTACCTCATCAAGACGCAATGTCCTGGTGAGAAATCACCCTACTGGATTAAAATAAATACAAATATTGACCTAAATCCAAATAATTTAACAGATCTCAAAACAGTGTCCAATTTAATGAAACACAAACATAACAGAACAGTTTCACATGAACATCTTAAATCGAATACTACAATCTATAATTAAGTTTTTTACGTTAAATCAGTTTCAATTTTGTCCGTCAATCTACTAATATCGAGGCTATTTAACTCCTTGACACCACGGGCCTAGTGAGAAGACTTAAAAGGACAAAACCATTTGAACTAGTGAATTAGTGTTAGTGCACGCTAGTATTAAATACACAGTGAGTGAAAGAAAAAATATAGAACACAAGAACAGAGTGTCTTCCCTTTAATAGAGACTGTAAGTAGTGTTATTGGACATTTTCTTATGTAAAAATCCTTATTAGTAAATTAGGTTAGACTTAAATTACTTATTAGTCTTAAGTTAGGCTAGATTGTAATGTTCCATGATGTCTTAGTAAAGACACATGTATAAAAAAAATATAAAAAAATCTACTAAGGGCCATCTACAAAATATAGTAAAAACAAATCAGAATTATATACTTGATAACTTTAGGCTTGCTAACGACCTCGTTGGCATCTTTGTCTTCTAATGTCATAGCCGTATCCCAAATGTTCTTGAACAGTTTCCTGCGATCGGTGTAACTTTCCTCTTGGGTCATACCTGACTCCATTTTAACAGTTCATGCTTCTGTTTTTACTATTTTGCGCTGAAAAGCTTTTCTTAGTCTACTACATTTTTAATTTTAGGTGTTTATTCGTTTGAATTACATTTTAAGCTATGACAACATCATATGTCATATAATGATTTAAAACCAAAGATTTAGACTTTCTCTATATAACAAGGATGTACTGTCATAATTTGTTTCCATATTAATGCCAAGAAGGATAGACCATATATTTTTTAACTGTTCTTTAATTAATGACTCGTTATTTGACCATCTTTCTCCAAATTTCCCTTGTCCATGTAACCTTAACTCCCTACTTTCCCTCCCATCCAGCCCTATCGTCAAACTTTTAGGGAAATTTATTTCTGTTAATAAATTAAAGTTATAAGATTCTCCCCTCCATACTGATAGGGTGGACTAGTGGCTAGGAATTAAATGAACTCATACAAGTAAACACAATGTTTTCAAGTATTATTTGCATTTTAATTAATTCCTAGCCACTAGTCCACCCTATCACATACCTTGTAGTATAATGTTAACCTGTTGTATATTATATTATTAGATGTCTGTGTGTGTTGTGTTTATTGTGACGTCATTTTTGTTTTGGGTAACTCTGCTAAGTGTCGCCGCACACGGGCCACACGCCACAGCCACAAATGCCGCCACGAGAAGCTAGAAGCGGCTACAAAGCGCGCGACAGCCACTTGTGGCCGGTGGTCGACACTTGCGGTCGGTGGCTGCTACTTTTTTTAACCCTTGCCTGCAGTATCATAATGGACTCTGACGAAGAAGGTTTAATTGCGCTACTTTTGATAAAAAGACGTCGTCGTAGAAGACGAAACCGTAGTTATTGAATACACAGAAAGACATTAAATATCCCCTCACCACGACAGGTCGGTAATCGACAACCATTGAACTATACATTTGTTGGTGATGAAGCATTTGGCCTCAGTGAAAATATGATGAGGCCATATGCTGGAAAATATTTGGACTTAGACAAAAAAAAATTCAATTATATTTTAAGCCGTGCCAGACGTTGTATTGAGTGTACCTTCGGCGTACTAGCAAACAAATGGAGAATATTACATCGCCCATTAAACACTTCTGTTCATTTCTCAGAAGACATTGAGAAATCTTGTTGCATATTGCACAACTTTATTCGCAAAAGGGATGGTTTCAATTTTCGTCACACTTTGAAAAGAGTGGGACTCGAAAATATACAAAATACAGGCTGGCCAGTAACACGAGCGTCTACTGCAAGAGATACGTTAAAAGATTATTTTATGAATGAAGGAGCAATACCGTGACAATAAAATAGAATATAAATATATGGTTTTATATTATTTTATTAAACTTACCTTCAATGTTCTTTTCTTTGGCAGTTTTATTCGAAAAATTTCCCACAAACAATTCGCAGATTTCTTCCCAGGCCTTCCCTTTTTCTCTTCTATTACTAAAACTATCACTTTTTGAATCCCAAATCGCAGGACGGGATTGTATCTCTGATATAAATAATTCTATATCCATATTTATCTACCTATATGAACCACAGACTACGTGCGTTCGTTACCGTCGACTTCAGGTTAACTGAGGCAAGGGAGAGAGGGGCGCGGAATCGCGCGAGTGGCGTGTGGCGGCTTTTTGTGTCGGCGTTTAGTGGCCGGTGCGAGCTGCGACGATTTATAGCGTGTGGCCGCCACCGGCGCCAACCGTGTGCGGCGAGTCCATATAAAATGTATGAAAATTACAGGAAATATGCCAGTGGCGGCGTTTTGTGGTTGTGGCCGGTGGCCCGTGGGCCCTAAGATTAAATTCAATCCATCAAAATTCAAATCTCACCGTGTTAACTTAGAACCCGACATTGGCGGAATTGTGATTAACACAGAAGTCGCCATTATAAATAAAGTGAAGTGAATGCCAAGAAGTTCTTACCGAATGCTGAAAAACTTATTGACAGTCAAGATCTGTTATAACGACATCGAAGGGACTACGCATATTTGGTCGTAAAAACCGATAGTCGTAACAAACAATGACGTTGTTATTAAGTACCTAATACAATAGAATTCAGCCGGGACCTTTGATATTGGTCAATATAACCGGTATGTTGTTCTAAACGATGTCGTCGTAAACGGTTTTGACTGTATGCCGTTTTCGTTGTGGTGGGTATGATTGCAGGAGCTTACAAACATTTTGCAAAAAAGGGAAGTTCTTCTCGTCCGTTCTTCGCCCTTGATTTGAGAACTGAAAATTTAAATTTAGGAGATTTTTTTTACCGTCGTTCAGTAGAGTACATTAAATTATCTATTATTTATATTTAGATTGCTTCGTAAAGTAAATATATATATTATATTCCCTGTTCTATAAGCCAAAAATGATGAATAAAAATCCAGTTATTATTTCACAAACATTCTTACTTATAAATATAACATATGTTACAAAATATATATATGTACATCTTCATTTAACTTTAATGCGCGGCCCGCACAGGGTGTCACCTTCTTTGAAGTTGGTCTCTCAACTTAAAGAACAATGTACAAACAAAAAAAAAATTGCTAGCATAAAAATTTCTTTTTCAGGGATTCTTCCACTAGAATTAGCTCAGCAGCAGGATTCGGATTCGGGGATTCCCGCAAAATAGACTGACGCTGTCGTGGGGGATTCCCCGTCCCATACTCGCGATCTTTGATGTTTCAGTTGCAACATTTCTCATTTGATCCATGTCCTTTATCATATAAAATTTATTGCTTTTTACTTTCGATGGGGTGACACCACCAACTTCCGCACCGGGTGCCATCCAAGGTAGCTACGCCACTGTCAGAAGCTGTCTTTTATATTTCCTATATTCGTTACAAATTCACTATATTAGTACGTTTAAATTTTTTACCTCCAAAAAACCCAATGGACGATATCAATTATAGTAATTTTTTTACGTATAACCCTGAAAGAACTCTGCACAGTGCGTCGCAACAAGTTAATAACATGCCAATCGTTTGAAGCAGTTCAGTAAGCGTGTGGCCTTCCGACATATTGCTACATTCTCGTATCCCTTATAGGCTTTTGAAACTTTCTACCTGTCTTAAACCTTTTAAAAATTAACTATAAAAAAAATTCGCGTGAAAGTTAGTATTATTTAAAATTCGAATTCTACGAAAATGCCGGTAAACTATGATCCAAATATGCTATGGGTAGCGCTTAGTGAATATGGGGAGGGTAATCTGTTCAATGTTTACCCAAAGCTTTTAGCTGAACTTCTTATTCAAGAGGATGCAGCAAGGTTGGAAGGCGGTACGATCGAGGCTGAAAACCTGGTTCTGCCGAGTGATAGGGAGTGGAGACTTATACAATATTTCAACTTGGTGTCTATGCAGAAGATCCTTGATGGGGACGAGTAAGTATCAGTCTACCAGAAATTACGTCATCATGTTTAAAAACTGAAAATTCTGTCTCTGTTAGACATTTTCTAGTGTGGAATCTATTTGGAGTTTGTGGGTTTATTTAGTAAACTACAGATTTAAATAGCAATTTTTACTATTTTTCTAACGTCTAGATGACACAAGAAAGAAAACCAATAGGAAAGAATTAATGAAAAAGTCAAAAACAAAATTTTAATTCAGATGTTTTGAATTTGTCACCGTACGAGTCAAATTAAAATATCGCAGCATTAGTTCTTTTGTTATTACTGTTTACATATTCATATTCATAAATAAATAATTATAAATTTATTGATTGCTTTGACATTTGATTTTGACACATTTTCCATTTATCTGCGTTCAGAAAGTAATTAAATACTGCGTATAAGGGTTTCAATTTCCATTTAGTTCTTTAAAGACTAGTTATAATGTTGCCCTTGACCTGAGGTATTTATCACTTGCGTTAAACTGTGTATCTAAAGAAAAATATTCATTGTTCATAAATTCCTAATCCATAATACCTAATTTTATCAGGTTAAAACTAGTTTTTGACAACTTTACAGTAAAAAAAACCGTACTACACCCTTGAGTCTTGGCTTTAGATGTCTGTACCTAATTGTTTAAGATCATATGCTTATTCCATATAGGCAAGTAGTAGTAGGCATGCCGGCTTCATCGTACTAGCGATAGTTTAATGGGCATAGGCAAAAAATCCATTATTGCACAACCAGGGTTCTAACATACCACTTCAGGAATGAGAGGTGCACACTCAAGCCCTCTCTCCAAACCAAGCTCTCTCTAAAAACTGTGTTTGTACAATAATTATGTACTTATGCGTGGAATTATTGAAAGTTTTAATTGAAATGTCCTTTGATTAGTTTATTTATACAATATATGTATACTCTTTGGTAATATTAAAAAAAAACTTTGACATCATGTTTCGGTAAAACTCACATTATAAAATTATTTAACGTTTGTATATTTATTGTATCAAATATATAATTTTGTAAATATGTCGAAGGGCATTTAAAACAATTTCTGCTTGAAAATGGAACTGAATTTCTACTCAACTACATAACAGAAAATGATAGTGTATGAAAATAATTTTAGAAGCAGGTTTGACATTTTCTTACGATTTTCAGATTAATCCCGAACAACATTGATTCATTGTGTTAATAACAACGATAAATCTGTTTCCTTTAAAGGGAAGACAATGGGGTGAAAGATGGTAAAAACGTGGAAGAGCCACCTGAAGAGTGGGCGCCTTGGAGTCTGGTAGTATCCACAAAAAACCCCAATGCTCCGCCACCCGTCGCTATCAAGACAGCCCCAGGGCCCGCCTGGGATATTGGCCAGGTCATTTCCATTTTAGCCATATTCCCGAGTTCGTTTCAGTAAAAAAGCAGGTGTAACCAGAAAATCAGAACGAGTTCTTTTTTTGTTTATTTATTTTTAAAAAAATACAGAAATTTATGTGTTTGTGGAACACGAATAGGTCACAATTTCTCCACCGTAGCGTGGACATTCGTTACAATACTAATAATACTTAAAAACTTAACTAGTTTAATTAATTACTAATTTTAAATTAAACAAAATATAAAGTTCAAACAAAGCATTATAACTGGTTTACAGTCTTAAAGTCTTAGCTACAAAGTGCAACCGTGGAAACTCGGTTAACTACTAATAGTTTTATTGCTTGCTCTTTAAATATAATATTATAATGTAATTCAAAAAAAAATATGGTAATACAGTGGGATTTCGATAGCTAGAATGTCATGGGAAATACAAAAAAATCTACTTAACGAGTTTTCGACTTACGAGAACTTCGAGATACATATGATTTAACTGTTGAAATCTCGACTTACAGAGGATCGATTTCTAAATGTATTTTTACATTTGTAGAGTAGAATTTGAATAACACTTAAGTTTTGTAGTATATATTTTTTACATATTAAAACGAATAACATTAATTAAACTGTACTCTAAAATAAATTTCGAGTTACTGAGGCTTTCGACTTAACGAGGTTCCAGTTATAGAGATTCCACTGTATAAGGCCTAGTTTGAGGTACAGTTCAATTTTGAGGAATCAAACAAGATATTTGTTAAGAGAAACTCTCCAATCACATCTGCACTTTTAATTTGTCTGTTAGAAATGACAAATTGACTTGACTATAATTATAGGTTCTCAAAGCTGCCCGTATTTTGTGTAAGCCACCTATGGACGTCGAGTTCATTGATGAACAGGAAATGAGATGTGTCTATTCTCTGATTTATGATGTCTTTCGATGTAAGTAACACTAAACAAAACGTATTTACGCAATTTAAATTTCATTTGTTCACATCGACCTTACGTTATTATCGTACCAGTCTTGAATAAATCATTTAATTAACTTCTTTAATAAATATAATCGCGAATTTATTATTACTATTTCTCTCTAACTGTTTTAAACTCTAAATGTAGTCAATCAACTTTTATGTTACTGTACGAGCCATGGGGTTTAGTCAAGATGTCTTAACAGTAGTGTATGTAGAAAGTCGTAAAACTAAATTTGTATGAAAGTTTGACGACACGAACTGTCAATTTCATAAAAATTTAGTGTTCTGCTGTTAAGGCATCTTGACTAGGCCCCCAGGACTGTAAGAGCTTGTCCAGAAAGGGCGAATTTGCCGCGAATCGTTTCGCGCGAATTCATACGCGCGTTGGCGAAGTACTGGGAGCCAATACATCGCGTCCACAAGCATCGCGCGAATTTAGAATACGTGCGTAAATCGTGTGCACTTCGCCAGACTCGACTCGCGCGCAATACGCGCGTGTCGATACTAGGGACGCCTTGTTGCCAACGCGCGTATGAATTCGCGCGAAACAATTTGCGGCGAATTCGCCCTTTCTGGACAAGCTCTAAGTATATATAGCTTCCTCGGGTTTTCGTAGACTGATAAGCGTGTACTTAAATCGTCGGAGCTAGCCCCAAAAATGTAGCCAGCTGTAGGCACTCTCTGCAGAATTTTAGTTAGCATTGCATTTCATTACAAAGCACTTATTTAGCAATAAACTATTTAACATTAAATGTTGTATTAGAGTAAACATTTAATTTAACATAATTTAAAACATTGACCCAGGAACCGTACCGTTACAGCATGTGGCTTTTAGAAGTAGGTAGTTATTTTTGAAATAATCATTTCAACGGTTTACTATTGCCCAAAAAACTTGTCGACCTTAATATTTTTTAATTCAAGCCTGAAAACCCAGCTATAAATCTTCCACAAAGTTCCCAAAAAAGTTCCGCCATGGCAATAAAAAGTGTAAATATTCATCGCGTGACTGTAAATCACTAAACACGATCGTATCTCATATATCAGTTAATAAAATACCTGTGAATGTGTGATGCGAAAATTCCATATAACGTCGTCACGAAACTTAGCTATCGCGTGGTAAAGCTTTAGCAAGAACACGCCTCTTTGGAACTAGTTAGTGTTTAATTACGTATTTTAACTAGAGTACGGTTATTTATAGTATATGACAATTATGACATAACATTAAATAATAATACTTAATTGATGTATTTCGCAGACGAAATATTGGTATACGTAATAGGAGTGAGTAAACCCTAACCTGAGTTTAGGATTTACTCACTCCACTTATATTAGGTACATATATTAACAAGATTTGTGATTGCTACGAGTGGTACGAGTAGATTGTAGTAGGGGAGCCCACGAGGCTGGGGATTTACTAGAGACCTATTGGGATGCAAAGCTTAGATGATAAGAAGAAAAAATGTTATATATATACCTTTACATCGGTGGGGGAAGCGGCTATAGATTTTTAAATATGTAAAAAAAAACTGTTGCATGGACATCCTCGAGCGCGTCAGATATTGATAGCATCAATGCCCTACGTATTTTTAATAATGTTCGTATGTTAATCTGATCGTTTGCATGATGCGGGTGGTTGTATTTAAGGGTTGAAAATGAAAAAAAAAAATTAATCGAGCGCGTCAGATTTTCTAAGGGAGTGTTAAGTGCACCAAAAAAAGCTCTCATTCACTAATCTGACGATTTCGATGGGACGCAAAGCCATTTTCATAATGTGCAAAAAAATTCGCCATTTTGAAATACTCAAGCGCGTCAGATTAAGATTTCTATGGTTCATCTTTATGTTCTAAACGTACTGTCTCATAATCTGACGATTATCTAGAGGGATTCGCCTGATCTGACAAAAAAATTTTAGAAAAACGGTTCACCTTAAAGGCCACCCCTGCAACTTCCCGCTAATTCCATTCCTGGGCGCTTAAAATTGTACTTATGATATTTTTGAGCTCAAAATATAATTTATGTGATATTTTGAGCTCGCTGAGTTCAAAGAAATAATATTTCTATGCATTTGAGCTCTCCCAGCTCGAAAGTCTGATAGAAGTTTCATAGAACACTATTTTTGGAATTTTCAAACCGCAATAACTTTTGAATGGATCAAGCAATTTTCACGCGGTTGGCGGCATTCGACGCAGTTTTATCATCCGCATAAGTATGCAATTACTTATGCGGATGATCGATGATCGAACGAGCGATTGATCGAACCACAAATTTCGGAGTAATCCCGAAAAAAGACTTTTTCGGGTTTCTTTCGTTCACGATACCTCTCGAACGAATCAACCGCTTTTGACCAGCAGATCGACGTGCTTTTTCAAGCTCAAAGGCGGATTAGTTTTTAAAGTTGATCTATAAAGCCGGTTAAAAGTTATTCCAAAAAAACCACTTTAAAAAAAAAAATTCTTATTTTTTTTGAGATTTTTCAAAATTTCTCAAAATCTATCGGTCCGAATCGGTTCAAATTCACAGGAAATGTAATTTTGAGGGAAATATTTAGAACGCCGATTAGTAGATTCCGATCGGTTTAGTCGTTCAAAAGTTATAAACAGTATGCCACGAACGAGTCTTTATGATCAGCTGTGATGGCGTCATGGCAACAGAAACCAGAGTGGGGACGGAGTGAGAGAGTAATAGATAGAGAAAGAGTGAGAGAGGAATAGAAACGCGGAGAAGGAAATGTAGGCATCACGCAGCTGCACGCATTTAACTTTATCGACGAATTTTTGTTATTTCGGCTTGCGGAAATCGTCAGATTATATATTTTTCATTATTCTTGCATTATTTCCTTCAAAATAAAAAAAAATTTAGCTACGCTCGAGAATGTCGAGATGACTTTTTTCTTTTTTACAACTTTGTTGCCCTCCCCTTTTTTAACGTCACTCTCAAATTGTCAGATTAGTGGAATATACACTTTTTAGGATGTAATTAACTCACCCTACCTTAATCTGACGCGCTCGAGAATTTCTGATGGTCAATTTTTTTTTACCTACTCTGATCCTGTATCCTTCACGGGCGGCCTTATATATGGGCCTCATGTTTTGTGGAGGTACTTAACCGGGTACAAGGTATCCCCCTGTATATTAATCTGCCGCGCTTTAGTAAATCCCGAAATCCCCGCTTGGGCTCCCCTACTATTGTTTAGGTGTCAAAAAAATCTCAATTAAATTAAAATTTGCCTTTTATATAACAAAATACGACAGGTATTACGACTGTTACTTTCTATATCGTAATTGGGTGCTGTGCTTGTTATAGTGTAAATTCCAAAGAACCACGGCGAAATATTTCTTATATTCGTTGTGCACTTATCAATTTATATCTTTCAATAACACATGTTATTTTTTACCATTTCCGTACTAAAAGTAATCGGGTCAGAGAGCTGTGCGAAAGATACTCAAATTTACATTAACGTTGTATATTACGAATCTTATGACCCATTTTGCGCAATAAAAGCCCATAACATACGATTTTTAGTACTCTTCACATTTTTTATGTTCTTCATTTGTATGCACGCTTTTGTAGTAAAACATGAGTTCGAAAAATGTACGCATGAAACAATTTTTCAGATAAAACCATATTGGATCAAGCAATAGACGATATTGATTTCTTTGGAGATTATCCGCAGGTGAGCTTGAAATTATTATTCACAGTTTTTCAGAGCTGGTAAAATATAACTATTCGTAATGAAAAGACACATATTTTTTATGTGAACATTGGATACCTTTTCAGTTCCGTGACGTTAACAAATAAAAGAAATAGCTCGATATTTCCATGACACTGCCTTTGTCATATTGGTATTATACCTACACGTAGACGGACTATGGTATAGACTAGGCATGTCGTATTTACAGTTTTAATTCATTGAAGATTGCTTATTATTGACCAAAATTCACATTCGAATGAATAATTCTTGAACAAAGTTACTGAGTCGTGACAAAATAAGCTACTTACCGATGAAAGGTTATGTTTGGTTCTTTACGTTCACTATAGCTTTTACAGCCAATTATGCAACAATTCACACTTTAAATACACCTCTTATAAGGATAAAGTTTTAAAATATGGGTTTTACTTGGGTTTCACAGATTTATCAGTAAGCGGTGAAAACTTGTTTACCACCAAGGGCTCGATGGTAAACAAATAAAACCAGATACGCAAATAGAGACAGAAAGACTGATACTCTGTTTCGCTCGCACTTAAGTATTTCACGTTAATGCCGTCTCTCTTTAGTTATTATTGGTATTTTAGAAGCTCATCTAGTTCTATACTCTATCTACGTACCTACAAATGTATAAATTTGATAATGAAATCGAGTAGCGATACAAAACTTCAAGACTGAGCCGTCAATACACGTCATCAAATTTTCATGTCTTCAGACTTTAAAACAGTTTCCCCTTGATATAATTGTTCAGAGAAAAAGATCCAGTTCGAACTCACAGTCTCAATGGAATTGACCTAATACTGTTTCCCAAATTAATTTATATTTGTGTAATATTTAAAATTATAGACGTTTTCAATTAGCTGTGAAAATTTCCTGATTAAAAACGTAATTTTTTGATAATGTCCGTTACTACATTTTTATATCTATATTTGTTTTTAATTTATTTTATTATTATTTATTACTTAAGATGACATGTGGAACATGGTGTAATGGTTGCAGCTCCTTACAAACGTTGTGTAAAACAAAAAACTTGGCGATCTTTCTACAGTTTTGTACAGTTCTTCTCTTCTGTTCTACGCCCTTGATTTGAGAACTGGCAGTAAATGTAAAATTAGAAGCATTTCATATATCTTTTTTTGACGTTCATAAGTGTACATTGTGTTACCTATATGAAAAAATGATTTTGACATTAACATCGACTTAATCTATATTGGTTTAACGAAATGCATCGAAGCTCTTGAACTTCAAAGGTCACGATTGGGTAACATACGGTACCAAGGTTGCCAATATCATTACCGTAATAACTTCCATTACGAATCGACAAGATGTAAAAAAGGCTGATCTAACTCGCATTATATTGATGTCGTGACTGTCGGCATTTTTACTTTGAGGACGCTCACGGAAATGAGCCGTATTTATGATTTGCTAGTAAAGTCGAGGTTGGATCAGATAAGTGGGTTGTATTAATAAGTTCGTGTAAAGCTGGGGAAGCGTTAAATTTGTGCCTAGCGATTGATGGGGTAACGCCAGCTAGGTGATAGCTTTGTTAACGATAGTTATTCACGATAGCCAACTAAAGAGAACTTCAAGCTAAACTTTGTAATTTAGTTCTATAAGTGTTATGCATTTTTAAATAATCTTGTTGATAATTTCATTAAACGTACGAATTGGGTTAAAAGAAACGAGAATAAAATTAATACAATTTCGTTTGTTTAGTTTACTAGGTACATAAAATCTTCTTTAACTAATATAAAGGGAATTACTTTAATATTTACTGAAGTAAATTTCCGCTGATAACAGGTGGAAATAAATCGACACGTCGCATATTATGCAATTCGCGTTTATATTCGTTAAATTAAAAAAAAGAGTGCCAGTTCTTCTATATGAATAATGAATAAATGGTTTTTGACTTTTGAAGTAAATTTGTAGTATGCCGGACATCGACACTCAGCATGGCTATTTTTAATGGAACTGGCTCGGAGGCGTTGGGTAGCCAGGCCAAGGGGAGAAATAGAAAGGGCCAGGAGGTTGTTGAACGAATCTGGTTATCCCTTTAAAGACATTGAAAATGCAATATGGGATGAGAGAGTCCACTTCGCCGCTGCCATAGCCAGAATACGAATAAAGAATAAAGCTTTTTCGTAAGTATTCACGTATACAATACTTATTTAAAAACCAGCGCTCGTATATATTTAGACATTACCAGATGAACAGCCCTTGGTCCCAGAAATCACACTCTCTGCCATTAACGCGTTCATTGCTTAGCCACGAAGGCAAAATTCTGACAATTCTAAATGTGCAAAGCAAAAAATAAAAATCTTAATTTCGTAATACACGCATTTTGAAGTAAAACTTCTTTAGGCGCATGAGAGTAAATTTTTTACGGATGAAATAATATAAGCATAATAATAATATAACCGTCACGAGGATGTGCAGCAGCAGAAAAGGGAGAGAGCGATTGAGAGAGTGAAAAAGGGCGAACGATATATAAATATACGAAAGTCAATTTTTAAAATTAAAATTTTGTAAAGAGAATTTATGAAATATTAGTATTTTATATTTATACAAATATATATTTTTTATATTTATTCGTCATTTGCTTAAATACAACCGACTCCAAAATAAATAGAAATGTATGTAATACCTACAGGTCGAATTTTGATCTTCCCTCAGGTTAATGAAACTAAAGTATTGTCTAACTTTCAGATTAGCCGAACTGCTTCCACCACATTTGCGCGAGGAAAAAATTTCCGCCTGTGTGAATAAGGACACTGTTACCGGTTGGGTAAATACCTTCAAAGCCAAGTATGTGATATTTAAATAATCGACTAAATCGAGTCGTATAACGAGTTACGTTAAAAGCAAACCTTTTTATTCCTTAATTATGAAATATGTTAAAAAAATAATTCTTATTTGAATTTATAAAGGATTTCGTAATTGCATATCTTTTAAAAAAAAATATTTTAATACGACTCTTGATGTTCCAAAAACCAACACAGACACAGCGCACGTTTCTCAAATACACACAGTGTACGTACACACCCATTCATATAGTCATACATTCACACATACTTAAGGTCTTTTACGAGTTTTGTTTAACTAAACGGTTTTTTTTTTTAATTTTAGTTAGGTACATACAGTGGTGACTAGCGTTAGATAAATTTTGTCACAACCATATTTCTGTCATGAATAAAGTTTTTAATGTATTGATTTGATTATTTTCAGAAAGGTCGCACTACTTGTAAAGCGACTACAACAGCTCGGTTATTCGTACAGCAACTCACGTCAACTATGCTCAGGAGAATACAGATTTGATAGGGTTTGTCCAAGGTATGTTTGTCGCCCAATGCTAATATAATGCTAACACACAGTAATAAATCAAGAACTTCTTTATCATTCAACCAAAATAATAAATAGATAAAGGGAGCGTTCAAGTATTGCGTAACGCAATTTTTGAAGATTATTGAACCCTAATTTGATTTAACACTAATTTGATTTGATTTAGATTCATTACCCTACGTCCACCGACAAGCACAAGCATTGGACAAACGGATTTGGTGAAAGAAGGAATTATAGTACTGCAGGTAGGAATAGCCGATGAACATTTTATTGAATTATACAATAATTAAATTTAATTCGTTGGTAAATTAATTAAAATACATCGTTTAACCTCCTAGATAATGAAAAACCTCTTGAGAAATGAAAATAATTGTTATAGGTTGGTATTAGAGAGATAAAACTTCTTGAAATATCTGTACATATTGTTTATAGGAGCGAGAATTCTGTGAGGGCGCGTCCACACTGTGCCGCGCTCTTCGTGCAAATTCGTTGCGAGGTGTCGTTGCTCAAACGCACGCGTCGTCGCCGCGTTGTTCCGCGTATCTAGCTGCGCAGTTGCGAGAGTTAGCTGCGGTTCTTAAAGCTCAGACCCCAGCAGCGCCTATTACCCCTGAACTTGGAAAACTGGTGGTTTTTGGAGCTGGTGATAAGTAAGTCAAAGTTATTGAAATTTGAAAATCATGTAGTTCAAAGATGTTCAACTGTACTACAATTACCACTTTACAAGACTGTTTTGTTTTAATTTTTTGTTACTTGCGTACTCGCAGAAATATTTACTCATTAATTATAATCATATAAAAAAATATTTAATCATTTGTAAAATTTATATAATCATATGTACACTAAATATACAGATATGTACGTTACCAAATACTGGTACTAATACTATTACTGGCAGTCGTTTGGTGTTAATTTTTTGTTCTGGACTAAAATGTCAGTGGCAAAGACTTCACTAAAACAACTCAGTATTATAATATTATCTTTACACTTTAGAGTGGAGAGCTACGTCTGTGCTTTACGAGAGCTCGGCATTGACGCGTCCGAAGCTCCGCATTCCGGTTCGCCCGTGTGCGTAGTAGGCGACGATGTGTATAGCGAAACGCCCATTGTAATCAGCGCCTTAGACGGTGTAGTGGCAGCCCTGGCAACTCCGCCTAATTCTTATTCCGCCGTCACAGACCCTATTGACTTAGTGTGTGGCCGTGGAGGCGATTTGGCTATGCTAGAGGTAAGCTAGAGATATGCATTGAGAGAATTTTCATGTATATTTCCATATCTTTCACATTTTCATACAAATATTATAAACTAAGCGACCAACAAATAAAAGGCTGTGTTTTATTTTTTGTTAGTTACGTCAAAACGTGAGACATTATTCCTCTTCTATATAAACAAATAAGTTCGGCGTGTTTATCTATTAAGCATAGTTCATAATAATATTTATTCCCCAAAATTTTTAGCCGATTAATTTGTAGATACGTATTTATTTGTTATGTACAAAACGTTCCAGGTGTTGACTGAATCAGAGATAGACACAAATGGTAAAGCGAGGGTCCAATCAATTTTAGAGGAACAAAAGAAGACATTGAAAACATTGCTGTCTAAGCCGCAGGTATTTCTTATAAAATAATTAATATGATTGTTTTACATTCATATTATTTTTCTACACTTTTCACAAACCTAGTTGTACATTTCAATCGTCAGGAAAAAACAATATTTCATAGGCAAAAGACAAAACACTGGCGTGTTTCGTTTGCTTGTGATTGGTTGGATGTTGTTAGCCAATAACAACAAACACAAATGAAACGATGGCGAACCATTTCGTTTTATGTTCTCGTATCATGTAGGTCATTGTTATCATCTTAGTTTAATCATAATAACCTTGTATATGTGAGAGAAGAAATAAAGATTATTATTATTATTATTTTAAATAAAAACGAACATCAAAACGTTTCTATGACGTACCTTATATTAATTAAAAATGATTCTGGATACATTTAAAGAAACAATGTATAACATACATTTACATAGTTCTACACAGGTTTTTACACATACATATTTACATAGGTTACATAGACCTTTTAATAGGTTTATCGTTTAGATGAATTATCCATTTAATTATTATATCTAGTGACACTTTTAGTAGCTGTTTATAGTTTTCCATAATACTGTTATTTAGATACAACTGATTTTGTACGAAACACATTCGGCTCTGGAAGCAGAGAACCAGGCCCAAGTGAACCGAGCTGTGGCCGAAGCCAACAGGTTGGCAAGAGAGCGACATGCGCTGCTCAAGAAGAAACATAGAGATCATAATCATGTGAGTATGACTGACTGGATTTTTTGTAATAATATATGGTTATGCGCGATTACAAGCCTTTTTTTTATTCATACAAAATGCGGTGCGATTATTCGCGTTAGTAAATACAATAAAATATTTATTTATTTTATTTTATTTATTAAGAAGGATTTACAGCTTATTACTAACTTACTTACTAAATACAATGTTCTTTTACGCCATTAAATAAATCTTTACAAATAGTTAAGTACTAATAACATTAACTGGATTGGTAACAATAAAGTGATTTTATTCAATTATATAAATATATATCAAAGAAAGTAATAAACTAAGTAAAAATTGGTTATGTAACACTTAACAGTTTAGTATAACTTTTACACTTATAAAAACTTATGGTTCATCATTAATTCCACTGAGGAGCTCAGATGTCATAGCTCTCCTTGCCGACTCCACACTTGAGGCGAATAGGTAAACCAGTTAGACTATTAAACTTACTCGCCGCCCTAACCATAAAGCTGTTCCTTCTGTAATTGGTGTTCACTTTAGGTGTGTACATATATATGTAGATTGTAGATGATAAATTTACACATCGAGTATTATGGTTTATGATTGCAAATAATCCCTACCTTGCTTGCTTTCATAAGCTCATATTTTTTTAGCTGTGTAGTCGTTTTTTTCGAGGTTACATCAGCTAAGCTATACCTATATATTTTTATTCAAGTTCATGTTGTGTAATGTAATGAGGTCAGAAAACTAATATGCAGGTATAATTAAAAATTTGACACACTTGTAAATTGACTCGAAACTTCCTTTCAATAAAATATACTATCAAGCTGAGTGACTTTATAAGTAAGCATATCTAGACTGAACCTCTTTTACAGACACCAAAATCAAAGGAAGCAGCAGAAACAATGGTTACTGATTCCTGCACTACTCTAGATGCAACTGCTCGAACAGACTTAGACACAGTGGACACTGATTCAACTTACGATCAATCACCCAAAAGACCATTGTCTTCACCCCCAACCACGGCCAGAAACAATAGAGAAATGATCTTAAGAAAACGGGCAGAAAGTGCTGATATCTGTTTCCGGCCAGGTAACAAGGCTAAACCGATACCGGAAATGGATTTGCCAGAAAATGAACGGCCCAGAGATCCGGATAAAGACAGCCCTGATGTTTTTGTAAGTATGACAAATATAAAACTCAGCTATTGTGTTCCAAATTTTGTCTTTATTTTTGACGGGACAGTTTGCGCTAAATGTTCTCCTCTTGTAATGTTTTTTGTTCTCCTCATGCTTTAGTGTTATATTTCTATATATTCTGCTAGCCCCCGTTAACTTTTTTTCGCCGTAATTTTTACTGAACCTAACTTTTTAGTAGCTTAGTTAACATATCGAACAATTTGCTATGCTACCCCATAGTGACCGGAAAAGCGAACAGCTTTTCCGAAATAAAACCTTAGTACTAAATGAAACAATATTTTTTCAAAATTCTTTTTTTTCAACTTTAAAAAATAAAACCTCGGCGTTTAAGGAATAAATATTTAAAAAAATTAGCTTCGCCTAGCAATTAGCAACAAATTTGGCGATTCATTTTTATTTATATAGATATCTGCGCCGGTATTCTGTAACTCCCAAATACTAATACTTATCCCGACTTTAATATTGTTTTAACGCATTATAAAAAAAATCTGTAGTACTTTTGTTTGTGTTTCTGAGGTAATATTGTGCATTTATACCTACAGCGTTGGAAGTATTCCGGCTTTTGATTAAACAATTGCTAGTAAAAAAAAATTATAGGCTTCCAACTAGTATAAAGCGTATTTTAGTATGATACTTACTAAACATTAAATGTTGGCAAAATTTTAGGTACCAAGCTGTGATCTATTTGAAATACAAGATTTGCCGAATCTGGGAAACGGATTAGACATAAATTATATCTTGGATCGAGATGGTTGCTATCTTGGCCTAATACAAAGAAAGGTCTGTCGTAATTTTATAAGTAATTTTTTTTATGAATAATACATTTAACATAGTAATTAAAGATTATATTTGAACTGCTTAAACGCTGCCCCACAAATATTAGCCTAATGACAAGTTGTAGCGAGTATAGAATACACATGAAAATAGGTATAACGTAGGAGATAACGAGGCTCGACGCGAAATTCATGATCCGAGTGGCTGAAGACCGAGGTCTGTTTGGGCAGAACGCGCCCCACCAATCCATCAGAAAGAAAAAGAACGAACCAGCCGCTGTACCGCATAGAAGAAGACGCAAGACTAGTTTTGAGGTCAGTGGTTTAGTGGGAAAGGCCTAGGTATAAGATAAATTTAAAAGAAAATGTTATTTATTTAAATAGTTAAGTTTTATAATTTAAAATGTATGTAGGAACGTACTACAAATGTTTACGGCAACTTTAAAATTGGATTTTAATTTTCTTATCTCTCTTTTAATTATTATTTTAGATATTAAGTATATACCTATCGATATTGGGCAATGGTTTTCAATACTTAACCGCGAGCCACTTCTATGAACCGGTATTATATTAGCGACCTTGGGTTCTAAACTTCTTTCCTTACGAGTGAGAGTTAAATGCTTACAAAGAAAGGTCTGGTCTGGCAAAAGTAATTTGAGTGTACCTACGACCAAACACGCTACCAGAAGATAAACCGGAGTGGTTTATATAGAAATTGTATTCGTTTTTACAATAAAATCCCAAGCGAAATTAGAGAATTTTCACTAAATAAATTCAAAGCCCTCCTTAAACGTAAATTTATCAATAAAGCGTTTTATAAATTTGACGAATATTCAAATGATCCTAATCCTTGGGATTGATTTGCTCCAGTTCAAACAATTTGTATGACTCAAAACTTAGCGATTAAAAGAGTGGCGGAAAGTTTCTTGCCAGTTCTTCTTGCCCGCTTCACGCCCTTGACTTGCGAACTGGTTGTACTTAAATGTAAATTTACAATTAATTTAGCTTGTCTTTTGACGTTCATAAGTGTACTTGATTACCTATATGAATAAAGTTATTTTGAGTTTGAAAACCATTTCCAGGTAGAACGAGTAGCAGCCCCAACTTACGCATCCATATCCCGGTCCTTACGCCATAGTAGTGCGCCTGCGCCTTTTAATACGGGAGTTTTATCACCCTCCAATGATAGACATGTTTGTTCACGACACGAAAAGAGACTCGCCGCTGCCGCAACTTACACATCAACAGCTTGTACTTGTGATGCGAAACATAGGTAAGGACTGCACAAGACGTATTGTTGTAAAATGAAAGAAAAAAAACGTGTGTGTGTACATAATATGTAGGTACACGCGTTAGAAGTTATACTTAAAGAAAAACGGTGACGGTCACGGTGACCACGCACGCTGTAAAGCACGCGAAACGTCGGATAAATTTAAAATTATGTCAAATAGTTGTAAATTTATAATAATAAACATAACTTTAATCCGGTAAAAAGCGTTTTTCTTTAAACGTGTAAAGGTTATGTTAATCAAAGACAATACTAGAAGTTATACTTCTTTGGCGTATCAAGATAAAAATGTTTTTAATTTTTTTATCTTTCGTCTTATTCTACGTTTGTAGAAAAAACGACACTAACAATAGAAAAAAACTATTTAATATGTACATTGAAATATTATAGTAATGGACATTTTTTAAATTAAATTTATTTTTGTGCGCGCGTATCGTAAAATTTTACTCATAATTTTTCCCTAACGCGCCAAAAGAAGTATAACTTCAAAAATTGCTTTTGAAAATACATTTTGTTTCTGTAAAAGTACCTTATTAAAATATGAACGAAATAATACGGTTCTTATTCATACAAATTAAACCTTTGACTTGGTCACACCTGATGAGAATTTGATCCGCCCTCGAGAGCAAGCATGGCACAAACTCAAATTTTAGCTAAAATTCAAAAAGTATGTATGTACTACTGTCATGTCGAAAACTGTATGTCAACATATAGGATTTACACGCTAAGTAATACTAAGCGCTAAATCTCTACTTTGAATTTGAAGAGTTAATTAATTCTTTTTGTCTTAGGCACCGGCAAACTCGGCGCGCGTCTGCTGATATAGCTCCAACAGCGACTGTTATTCGCGCTGCATCTCCTCCTTGTCGACAACCCTTCCCGTTGGCTGTACACGACTTACGACTGAAGAACATCGTGCATCACAAGATGATCATCTCACAACTAGATTCTAGGTATTTCTTATGAATGTGTAGATTTATCGTTCGTTATAGCAAATTTTTGAATTTTGTTTTATGCCAAAGACAAGAGTAGTTCGGTCTTAACACTGTTACTTTTAAGATAAAAATTAGAACATTTAAATAACTATAGCTTATATGTAGTTAGATCTAACTCCCTTTATTATAAAAACTAAACTGGTCTGATTAGACTAAATTACTCTTTCGCCTCATTCTGCCAAATTGTGTTTGCGCTGGGATGAAAAGGGACAGATTAATACATAAGTTATAACGGTGCAATTAGACTGATTTAGTTTTTGTGAATACGAGCAATATATCTTCCAAATATTTTATCGAATACTAATAAATTGAAATTGTTAGTATTTTATTAGTAGATTGCAATCAAATTAAATTAATGGTATCTTAAAAAAGCTAGACTTTCTGCTATTTTTAGAAAATTAAGTGATGTTCAATACTTTAATTATATAGTGTTAATAAGTATTATAATTAAAATTCATTCTAACTGATACGAAATATGCAAGTTTAGATCCTTTAATATGTTATTTCTTTGCAGTTTATTGTAGAATTATCAACAAAGAGTCCTATGAATTAAAGCGTATTTGGATTTGGACTGCAATTTCACGTATACGTCAAACGTATACGTGTACCTACGCGTTTTGCTGTAAAGAGAATATTAAGCGGAAAGAAAAGAACAAAATTCAAACTTAATTTAAGATCGTATTAAGTCGTATATACCTAAAAATTAAAGCAAAATTGTCAGATTATTTTTGTATAATTTACTATTAATAAAAAAAATATTGTATATGTTTTTTTAATTGTCTATTACATATTTCCATTATAGCATAACAAATTCCATTTTTATTAAATATCAAAAACGACTAAATATGGCAACATCACATTTGGTGTGAAAAATCCAAGTTACATTTCAACACATCAAAACAACAATTAAAACAATTCAATTTTATTACTTTTGAACTCAATGGGAGGCATTGCACACCAATTACAATTAAAAACAAATTAAAATTTGAAAATTTATTAGTTCATTTATCAATAATCTAAAGCATGCCAAAGCCCTTCGAGTAACTTATAGCTTTCATCAGTCTATCTTGAAGTTTATCTTTATTTTCATACTCCGGTAATAAGAGAACATTAAAACACGTATGAGCTGTGGGTAATCTATCACAATCTGGCCCATTCCTTGCGATAACTAGTTTCAAATGACTAAGACCCCCGACTGGAACTCTGTCCGAGCCAGTTGTGAATTGTAGAAGTTTTCGCTTATCCTCTAGCGATAAGCTGTGAACAATGCTCCAGAAATCTTTGATTGTTTGTGATTCTGCTGTGTAGCCTCCGTCATATTCCGTTGATTTCTCAAGCTCATTGAAGTCGAAGTCCTGAAACAATATGTCTTTTAAGAAGAACAATCTATCACGGTTGTATATATATAATAGTTTGTCATTTAGGCTTTCGTATTCAATATACAATTTATTGTTGATATAAAGATTAACAACTAATAACCATATTGGGGTGATTCAAAAACATATTTTTTTTTATGTTATTGAGTAGTTCTCTTTTATTTAAAGGTCTAAACTAATTTAGAATAAGAAATCAATTAAAACGAATTACCATAGTTCAGTATTTTTAACATCAATACTTAATTTACCATACACTAGTATAGTTTTACTTTAGAATATTTTTTTTGTATTCGCTCTAAATATGTCAACATATATATGTCTACACAGCTCTAGTTAGAAGCTAGGCTATATAAAAGGTCCGTTACGTCTATACAAAACTGCACCTTTTAAACTAAAATATTCATCTATCTCATTTCATCACAGCGAAAACACAAATTGACTGACAAAGACAAAAGAGGTCTTTTTATGAATAAGGTAATTTCCTTAACACAATTTTCATACTTTTTAGTAATGTTTAAAAACACTAACCTTACTACCACATACGAGGGTTTCAACCTCTTCTGGCCTGAAGAGTGACCCGAGCTGACTCTCATCAGTCACCATCACAAAGCCACGACGGAAAGCCTTGAACTGCGTATCAACGGATTTGTTCAGCAGAAACTCGGCGTACAGATCTACGAACTCCTGGAATCAACATTAATAATAAATAAAAATCTCGTGTCACAGTTTTCGTTGCCATACTCCAAAACGGCTCGACCGATTCTCATGAAATTTTGTGTGCATATTGGGTATGTCTGAGAATCGGACAACATCTATTTTTCATCCCCCTAAATGTTAAGGGTAGTCCACCCCTAAATATATATTTTTTTTTTTTTTTTTTTATGATACAGCATTAAAAAAATACATACAAACCCCTAACTTTCACCCCTCTACGATCAACCCCTATTTTTTTATTATAAATGATATATATGGCAAAACGACGTTTGCCCGGTCAGCTAGTAATAAATAAAAATCTCCAAATCAATTGAGCCAAGTCTATTAGAGTAAGAGTATGTTAAAATCAAACACCCTTTTCCCTTCCTTTGCACAATTAAAAAAAAACTTTTTAAAATCTCCCAAAAATTGCGTGACATAATACTTGAACGCTCCCTAAGTCCTCTGTAAATATTTCCTTAAAATATAATTATAAACAAACCCGTTTATTATCCTGCGTAACAAATATACTGTCGCCATTTTCTTTAAGATCTTGGAATATATTGTTCCCAAACACATCCGTATAGCATATCCTGAACGTCTGATAGTACACGTCCGCCAAATCATCGCCCACGTACTCTAGCATGTCTTTGAGGCCGTTGTATAATATCTGAAATCAATATTACTTATTATAGCACTCTTCATTTTTGAAGGTCGTGTTAGTGGCGCCTCACAACTTCCTCCACGCTCCCGCTTCCTAACCATTATTTATTATAAACCTTGTTTAAAGCAACAACTTGCTCCTACCCACTTATAATTAAATTATAAACGAGCTAGGTCTGGATATCTATAGTGGCTCCCCTCACACTATAAAATGGATTTTTGTTTAGTTTTTTTTTGTAAATCTAATTTTTTTGATTAGTAATTGTTACTTTTTCTAATGTTTATTTTATTTGTATTGGTTTAATATTTGTATGATCTCTGCATGTATTTCATGTTTGCCTTTAAGTGCTTGTCATATTAAAAATTGTATTTTGTGTTTGTTTCTACCAATGTGTCAGTGTGCCGAGCGTTAGCAAGCTTTTTAATAAAAAAAAAATATAACAGCATCATTTCTAGAGTATGTGGACAACAGACTTTTACTGGTCTCGGGGTCTGACACCATGCAAGACCTGGGTGCAGACTCGCTCAGTCGGTCGGTGCCGGGGTCCGCGAAAAGACATGTATAAATTACACGTTAGGCGCGAGTCGTTTCAGCCTATACCCACTGCACCTATTCCTTATATTTAGATATGTATATTAAGGTGGATATCTGTTAGCTGACCTATATTATATAAATAAAAATGTATGTTTCATTCTTGGCTATATTTTTAATATCAATAGTATTACATCCTATATACATCTATAAATAATAGTGCCAAAGCCTTTTGCGCATTTAAAATTGGCCATAGCTAACCACGGCCATATAAATGGTAAAATTCTAACTAATTGTATGCATATCGCCTAATATAACTTGGCTAAGAATGCGAAAAATCTAATAGTTAAACAAATGTTTTTTTAATACAGTTGCTCAAAAAGTGGCGTATTGCAGGGACGTATAGCGTTCGGGATGTGGGCTATTACACACTCGTGCTTTTTTTTCACCTTTTCCGAACTAGTGCGTTTTCTTTCCCAACTGTCAAAATAATGTCTATTAAAAAAAAAAACCAACCACGAAGTTTTTACTAAAAAAATTCATAGAAATTTTTATGATTCATGCAAATATTTCTAAAAAGAAGCTACTGCTTTGTTCAATATAAGATTTAATGATTTGATTCAATGAGTTAGGTTAGATTTCATTTCATCTCCTTAAATTTCATTTCATATCACCAAAATTGTACTGAAGACTTGGCTGTATGGGCATAGTTCCCTTTGCCTACCCAGAATGGGTGAAGAAAAAAAAATATCTGCTTATATTCTTTTACGGTTGGCGCCATTTTTCATAAATGTCCTTTGCGCGTTTAGTTGTTTGTTATATTATATATTAAATATACATGAAAAATCATACGAAATAAATAAAAGTTTGTCTCAAACAGTAAATAAATATGCAACCTAAAACTTCTCCAGTTAGTATAAAAAACTGTACCAATGTATATGTGAACAATAATTTGTATAAGAAATAAATGATTAGTTAGTTGAGTTTATTGTGTTTTTATTATTTTATTAAATTGCATAATTTTTTTCGCAACTGTATTAAAAATAGTTGTTCAGTACACGTGCGGAACCGTCATTGCAACTTGTTCCGACTGTCAACCCTCATCTAGACATTTGTCGAAACTCTTTGCAATGACAGGCTTTCCGCACTTGTAATGAAATATACTATTACGGAAAATTTGAGCAGCGTTCGGTAGCCGTAATTGGAACTAAACTGATACACATATATAGTTTGAATAGGGTACGCACAACGGACCAACTAGGAGTCTAATTGCGGAGTAAGGAGTCCTACTACATAGTTTGAATAGTATTCGTTAAATATGCTTATTTAAAAGCGTATTACTTACGAATACCCGAGTAGAATAGAGTTCCTAGTAAGGTATTAGGAATTTACGATACTTAAATTATTATATAAATCGTAAGAGTTTTGACGCACTAATACTTACGGGGTTCCAATCAGCTAAATCTTGGAAAGATCCCTTCTTGCCCATGAGCTTTCTATAAACGACCATTGGAAAGTTAACGGCTAATATAATATTATTGTAAATCGCCAGGCCTAGAACAATTCCAATAAGCGTAAACTGGGCCTCTGTTTCAAATGACGTGGGGTTAAACCTGAAATTAAAAATATATATATATGTACATATTGTCTTTTGTTAACACAGTTAAAGAAAACACTATTTTTTTGAGTCACCGTGACCACGCACGCTGAAAAGCACGCGAACGTCGGATTTTTTTTAAATTATTGTAAAATAATACATAACTTCAATCCGGTAAAAAGCTATTTTCTTTAAATATATATGTACATATAACTTGATAAACACTTAATATGTCGGGTTTGTTCAAACACTAATAACTCGAGAACGGTTGGACCGATTTACATGGTTGTATTATTGGAAGATTGTAACATATTTTCTATATATCATATCATATCTTTTAACTTAACGGACTGCCACGATTTCTACTTTAAACTTCAAATTATGTAAATGTAAAAATTATTATAAACTGCAATAACTCCTCTACAAAGCAAATCATGGTAGGTATTTCCGTACCATTTCGTCTTAGAGTCTTTCTAATAGAGCGTACCAATTCTTAAAAGACCGGCAACACACTTGCCTTTTGGCAATGTTACTATGGAGTGAGGGCATGTCACCTGGCATCAGGTGATCCTCCTGAGCCATTGTTCAACATGATACTCACCATACAGTATGCGAATCAGGTTGTTGGGTAAACATTCCATAATCGGGATTGAAGATCTCCTCAACAATAAGTTGGAAGAACTCCTTACTGACTCCGCCCTCATCTACGCCCTGTTCACCTTCAAACTCTACCACCAACTGTTTCTTCAGATCTAGGGCTCGCTCCATTGCTATCATTTCAAGCTGAAAACATTTTACCCCTTAATAAAACTGTCTAATTGCTTTTTTAACTTAACTCTTTCGTGTCTTTCTGACGAATTGTATTTACGCTGTGATGAAAAGAGACAGATGATTATTCTAGTTAAAAAGCAGTCGAGCAGTATAAAAATAAAGTTACACACTTCACATAAACCGACTTCGTAAATATATTTGTCTAAATTCATCATTTAATTTATTTACTAATCAACAGATGGCGATGTGCATGTGTAAAACGCGATAACAAAACGATGGCATAGAAATATGTCGTGTTATGATAAAACGTTATAGTGCCGATGGCCATGCGCCATACTCGTGAACGGGTGCTACTTGTGGTGACTGGTCGTACTTGAATTCGTGTATGCGTTGATGTTAATTATTTCGACTATGTGTTTGCGTGTTGTTCCCACGAGAATGTAAGTGCGTGCTCCTATTTCACCATGCCTCCTGCTGATAGAGGACCACTCTTTGTTTTTAATTTATTTTATTATTATTTATTACTTAAGATGTCATGTGGAACATGACGTTTAATGGTTGCAGCTCCTTACAAACGTTGTGTAAAAAAAAAACATGGCGATTAAAAAGAGTGGCGGAGAGTTTATTGCCAGTTCTTCTCTTCCGTTCTACGCCCTTGATTTGAGAACTGGCACTAAATGTAAAATTAGAAGCATTAATATGTATTTCTTAACTGACAAGTCATAAGTGTACAATGTGTTACCTTTATGATTAAACGATTTTTGAATTGAAAAGTGAATAAACTTAAAGTGTTATTGGGATTAATATACAGTACTAGTGGACCCCACAGACGTTGTCCTGCATGATATTTCAACCGATTAAGATATTAAACAAAGTATGAAAGTACCGACTGCAGCGCCATCTGTCGGGCTGATTTGTGAATCTAAACCATTCCCAGATCCCCTTGAACACACACAAAAAATTTCATCAAAATTGGTCCAGTCGTTTAGGAGGAGTTCAGTCACATACACACGCACAGAAGAAATATATATATTAAGATTTAACTTGAATAAACGACTTGAAAGTATTCATAAAATAAAAGATTTTGAATCGTCAGTCACGTCACGATAGACACAAAACAGTCACAGATTAGTCGAAACGACGTTGACGTAGCTTGCTTGTAAATAATCTTCGCCTGTCTTATCCATCGTCAATCTATTTCCTAAAAAACAGCAAGGCGACTCCACAAAACTAATACAGCCTTGCGATTCTGTAACTCACTTTTCGAACTCACACAGCGGTTTTCGCAGCTGCGGTCGCGATCAAATAAGTCGTAAAGCAGTCATTTTACGAGTTGGCATTCTGATAAACAATAAATTACAAGCTCCCTCCTTACCAGAATAAAATAAGTACGAGTAAAATACATTATTTATACATTTTTGTGTGAATTTATATTTTTTAGTTTTTCTACAATAGCAAGCACTGATGCAAATTTGATGAAATTTGCAAAGAGCAAGTAAGTTAGCCAGTGACATTTAAATTATTTTTCTAATTTATAAAAAATATAAATAAATTACAGCACTAACCTCCACCAACGCATCATCAATGATGTGAGATCGTCTCACTTTGAGCCTCAAGAAAGGCATAGGTGGTGAGGCACCGACGACCGCGTGTAGAAGGGACACGCGTCTTTCAGAGTACATCCGAATTCGGTTCTCATAATACAGGCCTAACGACTTAGTCGCAGCAGTAAGTATAAATGGGTATTTGAGGAATGAGAATTTTTTACCTGGAATTAAATAAATTAGTGTTAAGTGTTGAAATGAATGTATTTATTGAAAGAAAACCATTGGCGCTACAACCTTTTTAGGTCTGGGCCTCAGATTTCTTTATCTGTTTCATGATCATTTGTTAATCTAATAGGTAAGTATATGATCAGCCTCCTATGCCTGACACACGCCGTCGGCTTTTTGGATCTAAGTCAAGCCGATTTCCTCACGATTATTCCTTCACCGTTCGAGCGAATGTTAAATGCGCACAAAGAATAAATTCTTTTGGTGCGGGGATCAAACCTACGACCTCAGGGATGAGATTTACTAAAGCCACTCGGCCAAGTTCTTACTTCATATATTAGTAATAATAACGAACCAATTCACCCTAGGGTCCTTCAAAAAAGTATCAATTCTTAAAAAGCCGGCAACGCACTCGCGAGCGCTTTGGCATTGAGTGTCTATAGGCGGCGGTATCACTTAACATCAGATAAGCCTCCTGCCCCTTTGTCCCCTGTTCTTAAAGAGAAAAACTTACCTCCACTAATATCAGTTTTATAATTAGCAAAATCGATATCCATCTCAATTGTATCACTCAGTGGTTCGTTGTAAAATTCTTCAAAAGCTAAATATGGTTTCCTAGCGTCTAATACATTTATACCTAATTCAACAGCTGAAAAAAATTCAATATTTATTAACCGCTGAAAAAAACTTAATCCAGGGTTCAATTAATAAGTTTCTCAGTTAAACAAATGGTTTCTGGTCAACAGGACACATTCTTAAAAATTTATCTGAACCATTAAAAATCTTTAAAGAAATCCTGTATGAAGAAACACCTTTAATAATTATTACAATTCGATTTATAATAATGTTAAAGTTGGTTCAGTAGTTTTTCAGGTCACACCGATAACCTCCTTTTTGGAAGTCGGTTAAAAATAATTACCTAAGGGGTCTTCTGGCTGAGCTTGCTTTAAGTTTTTAATAGAGGTTAACGGATACAAGTGGTCCAAGGCGTCTCCAAGTGGATCCAACTGATTCGTGATAACGACCGGCTCTTCTCTCAACGTATTCGATTCCATGATCCCAGATATCATATTTGCGTAGTACACTATCTGAAATAATAATAAATTAAAGGTTCGAATTTTTGTTGGACAGTCTGAATGTCAAAATGATTTATTAATTTAGGTAACTGATTAAAGGTACACTTATGAACGTCAAAAAAGAAATATACATTAAATGCTTCTAATTTTACATCTACTGCCACTTCTCAAATCAAGGGCGTAGAACTGAAGAGAAGAACCGCAACTCTTTTCAATCGCCAAGTTTTTTGTTTTACACAATGTTTTTAAGGAGCTGCAACCATTACACCATGTTCCAGTAGACATCTTAATTAATAATAATAAAATAAATTAAAAACAAAGATTTGTCCTCTATCAGCAGTATGCATGGTGAAATAGGAGCACGCAATTACATTCTCGTGGGAACAACACGCAAATACATAGTCGAAATAATTAACATTACATTACTTCTTTTAAGTTATACGTATATATATAATTTCGATTGAAATTATTGACCTTTAAGAAAAAGTACGTTGTAACCTCTTTCGTATATAATGTGACCTTAGTAATGGTTATTTACTTTTAGATGCTGTAACTATCTTACTGCACAGTTAAAACACCCCACTTCAAGTACGATGGCGTACCATGGGGATATCGCTGACAAAAAAGCGAATTGAGCTTCATTTAAAAGAAATCTACTCATATATCAGAAAATATTATGTTCGATGAATTCGATCGTTAATTTTTTATTACTGCTTTGGATAATCAATGAGATTTATTTTATTAATTTCAAGAATCATGTAAATTAATATTATTGGTGTATTTAGAATCATTATACTCTGATTTTTAATTCTGTAGAATTCTGATAGCTATCATTTTTTGACATGTCTGAGATTACAAACCTTTTTGGCCGGGCACATTTTTCAATTTCAATACGAGTCTGAACATCTGTCTCTATACATACATTTTATTTATTAGTGAATGTATCCTTTTTATTAAATGCGGTGCTCCTCATTAACAGTGGTTTTACGGAGAGTGATAATTACGTCCCTTTTCATCACTAACAGTAAAAAACGCACAAGTAAAGCTTACACTTAATTTTTTTTAAAAGGTTGACTAGACCTGGAATTAGTAGGCACTGATGCCAGCTAAAGAATAAAATAAAGTAATTAAAGTTAATTAGATATATTGTTCGTGATATTGAAATATTTTTTATTTTTGTATTGGGTCACTTAAGTAAATATTTAGATTTCAAACTCAACTCAAAATATCTTTATTCATGTAGGTAAACAAGTACACTTATGAATCGTCAGAAAGAAGTTAAATTAATTGTAAATTTACATTTACTACCAGTTCGCAAGTCAAGGGCGTAGAGCGGGTAAGAAACTTTCCGCCACTCTTTTTAATCGCCAAGTATTGTCATACAAATTGTTTAAACTGGAGCAAATCAATCTCAAGGATTAGGATTATTTAAGTATTCCTCAAATTTATAAAAAGCTTTATTGATTAATTTCCGTCTAACGAAAACGCCTTTGAATTTATTTAGTAATAATTCTCTAATTTCGCTTGGGAGTTTGTTGTAAAAACGAATACAATTTCCATATAAGGAGTGGTTTATCTTTTGGAGCCTGGTTGATCGTACACTCAAATTAGTTCTATTTCGCGTATTATACTGGTGAAAGTCACCATTTGTTTTAAAATCTTTTATATTTTTTGGACATACAACATTGAACATACAACAAATATGTAGCTTTTTTTTTACTGCGAATTCTACGGAATGAAAAATCAGAGTTAAGTTAAGAAATAGTACGAATATTGTTACGACCAATCAGAGCACGCGCCTCAATGCGTAAAGCGGACGCGGATCAGTTCTGATTTAGTATTCAGTAAAGCATTGTAGTGATCAGATCGAGTAGGGTCGAGTAGATTACTATTAAAAAGTGAGATCGGTGCCTTGAACCCACTGCTCTATATGATTGTCTATATTGTGTTCGTTTAGTTGGGGTCTTTTTATCGTGCCATCTCTATGCGAAGGTTGGCGATTATCATGGCTAGTTTAATTTTGGATGCCGCGCTTCTAAACAATTATTTGGTGCTTTGACCAAATCATTATCTTAGATTTTTCAACCAAGCCGTGCGTCTGCGGCCAGGTCTCCTTCTACTTGCCACTTTGCCTTGATTAATTTGATGAGCTCGTATTATTTAATGTTACGCAAAACGTGTCTAATACTCAAGTTTCCTTTTCTTAAACGTCATAAGCACTTCTTTGTTCTTCTGAATTCTGTCCAGCACGGTTGTATTTCGTCCAAGATATTTTAAGCATACGTCGATAAACCCAGATCTCAAACGCTTCCAGTTTTTTGGACCAAGATTCTACGCACAGAGAAGACGTAACATCGCGCAATGCTAGTTCTCAGCTGGGTTATTAGTTGAGGCCTTAAACGGAATTGATAAAATTGTATTATTCCTGGCAGTAATTGCACTCTGTCTGCACGCGCCCACTAAACCCACTAATTACGATGTCAACATCGATGAAGTTGATATTTCTCCAACGTATTACAACACGACAATCAATACCAAAGATACAGTCATACAAAATAAATTTTACAAAAATGTCATTCTTGCCTATTAAAAAATTCCGATTCCCGTTCCGTTTGATTTTTTTTACAATATTAATAACTAAAACGTGTATACGTAACTTTTAAATTGTTCTCATTATTTGCACGCAAACGAAATCGTATCCATAACTAGCATATTTTATGTTATATGTATGAAAAGTTTGATAAATTTTCTATTATCTTCACTTACTTTCATAAGTTTGGTCGCTCTGGTAACATTCTGATCGTCTTGCAGTTGGTACCCCGCAGTGTAGTTCGTCGATATTACCCTCAGGGTAATCAATTGTTGTAACGTTTCTAGAATATGTCGTAGACTATCTTTGCACTGCTCCCCCCAAATACGAGCCAACTTAGCTTGACCTGGAGATTAAATTCAAACTTTTTAGATGATATCTTTTACACAAATCATTTATTAAGTAAAACGCCATCTATGAACAGTAATGGGAAACGGCAATTCCAATAAAACAAACTCTAAGATTTTACCCATTTTCAAGTTTTATAAAGATGAAACTACTAGTTACCGACATGCATAATCAGTTAAGTACAACACACATACAGTAATCCGCCTTAACAATTTAAATACCTTTAACAGGTAAATGTTCTGCAGCATTGCAGAGTGCAGGCAAAGCGACCTCTAAGTAATCACTACAGCCGAGGTCTCTGACTTCAAATGCAATGACAAAGCAGTTAATGATATCATCCAGTTTCAACATTTTGGTCATCCTCATATCCAATTGTAAATACTCTGCCAATGTGGCCAGAATTATTACAAATGACGAGCTGTAGTGTACTGATGGCACCTGTGAATGAACTAGTTTGAAGTTACCCAAGTATTCAGAAAATTGATTTTGTTTTGTTTGAAAAACAAAACATTTTAATATATAAACAAAACACAATCAATCCATGACTTTGTTCTACATCATGGCATTCCCATTATAATTAAATTATTATAATAAAAAAATTATAATCATTTATAATTTTATTATATTTAGTTTTTAGGTATTAAAAAAATCTCTGCCTTTTTATAAATAAAAAACTAACAAAGAAGCAAATGTTCAAGATACTATTTCCAAAGCATAGTTGACTACAGATTTATTTGAAACTAGCAAAGTCCAAGGATTTTAAGTTCTAGTAACAACAACCAGATAACCAACCACAACAACCAACGCAATACATTATATTATTGGATGTCGTTTTGAAGTTGAAATTGAATTGGATTATTTAAGACCACCCTTACTTTTGAAAGATATTCAAAAGCTCGTCTACATGAGGCTACATCCAATGTGGGTCCAGAAGCACTATCCACATCCTTATCGGGATCACTTGATGAACACATCGCTTCAGATTCTTTATCTGAAAATCATTTATTCATATTATTAATGGGTATCCAGAAACTCTGCAACAATGATAAAATTAATTCAATCTAATTCAAGTGTTATCTAGTTGGATATTAAAGTATGAAATGTATGATATTTTAACACTTATATTAATATAACAATCACTCTATTTTTTTTGATTTGCCCAAAAAACCCAACACAAACTGGCACTATAACTTGGCAAGTAATTCATCCATACTACAGAGCCACTTTCCTTATTATTCACCTCGCTACAGTGTGGACAGGGTGTAACCTTTAATATGTGAAAATGTAATATTTGAACTCTCACCTTGCTTGTCTTCTTTAGCACTATTTGATACATTATCCACTTTGATAAAACTTCTAGCTAATATTAAGGGCTTGGTAAAGGTCCTGGCAATGGCACTTATTAAGGCTTCTGGAGATTTATTCTTGATACATTCATCACACAACTCATATATTTTTTCTTCTGTAAGTGGTGCACCATCTGATATTGAGAATGATTATTAATTTTTTTAAGACTAATAATGAAAAATATATTATATTTTTTAAAGCACTCTTATATTATTTTACATTAGGAATATATTATGTAAGCTACATCTTGCACTTACTATTATGACTTAGATTCTTATAATCAATAGGAGATACACTTTGACTAGTTTCTGCTTTAGAATTTCCACCCAAGATTGGTGATGAACTAGAGGAAGGACTTTCCAAGTTCTTTTCATCTTTATTTGCTTTATCTGAATTTTCGGTAGTGTTGTTGCTGTAAAAATAAGGATGACTAATATGTAGTAAAAACCATTTTCAGTTTAAATAAGCACTTAGAGTTGCACAACATGTAGTATTTTTACAAATATTACCCAGTACTAGATTCACGGCAGGCTTCAATACGGGGAATTTTGTTAGGAAGGCTATCACATAAACGAGCTTCTTTGTAAAACAATTTAATGGCCTCAGCAGCTGCTTCATTTGGAGTTAAATTGCGTGCCTGAAAAATAACTCTTATATTTAAACACCATTTCAAAAATTTATAAAGTTAAGTGTCCTATATTAAATTATATTAATACCTCTCCACTTGAAGCGCAGTATTTATTGTCACAGTTAGGATTACCACAGCCATCTACCAACTGATAGAAATATCTCTCAATTAACTGTTTGGCAGCTGCTCTTTTCATTATGTCTTGAGTATTATTTGGACCTGAATCTGCACATAAAATTGGTGTAGATTCTTCTTGGGAACTCTCTGGGGTAGGATCTGAATTTGACGATGATGCTTCGCTCCCCCTAAATATATAATATGACTGTGTCATGGTGAAGTAAACAAAACAAAGAAAGTCACAAATAATAATAGCTTAACCTTCACTTCTATAGCAATCACAACTAAATAGATTTAATAATAAAAATGGGGATTAGACGGCAAATTAAATTAATTAATACATACGTATAGGAAAATTAAATTCGTAGAATTACCTTGAAGCTTCGTCAGTTTCGCTTTTAGAGTTCATAGAAATTACTGAAAAATAACTTACAACATCTAACCGCTATTTATAAGAAAAATGAAATAAATTAAAGAATGAATTCAGATTTTATTATAAAACAAATAATACTGCAGAAATTAGGACTGCACTTGATCCTAAAAATTTTACACTCCTTCATCCATTTTGAATGAAAATTCAATTTTATCTTTGAAGTTTCTTATTAGATATGACACAGAGTAAATTTTATATGGTCACGAATGACATATTTTGGATAGTCCTACAAATACATTATTTTTATCTGTTCATTCTGTTTTCAACTAATTCAAAAACATATTACTGAGAGATACTGAACGTAATCTTTAGACCTTTTACTTATTTATTTATAAAAAAAAAGGGTGCGTGTCCTTATGTACGCGCGTAAGAAGTTATACTTCTTTGGCTTTCTTTATTTTTTTAAATATTAAATATTTAATAACAAATATTTAACGTTAATAATTTAATAATATTTAATATTTAGTATATTATTCAATTATTAATTAATATTAATAATAAAAAGAGTGCGTGTACTTATGTACGCGCGTAAGAAGTTATACTTCTTTGGCTTTCTTTATTTTTTTAAAATATTAAATAATTAATAACAAATATTTAACGTTAATAATTTAATAATATTTAATTATAATTATTTATTATTTTATTATATTATTCATTCAATTCAATAACTACGTATGTTTCATAACCTTTTAACTAAGTAACAATAGGTCTTTGTGAAAAAGCATTGCTAAATTTCTTTGAAAAAATAATTAAAACTCCTTTATTTGTTTAAAAGGTTAATGTCATTATGTTCATTCAAAATTCTTGGCATAGCCGCTAACTTGACGCATATTCTATTTCTTTTTACTTGTAGATTGTCTTATTCCCATCTCGCTCGCGCACGCTCGGCGCCCATACTGATAATTTTGTGTCACGGTGCGCGCGCATCGTAACATTTCACTCTCATAAATTTTTCATAACGCGCCTAAAGAAGTATAACTTCAATAACAAATGAATGACGGTCATCGAAGCACAAATACATGAGTAAATAACTGTACAAATTTGAATTTGGAATTCCTTACCAAAGAGGAGAACATCGTGATTAAAGTGGCCAGTACGAAATACGCCAATTTAATATGTAAGGGCCTAATATTAACTGATTTCAGGTCAATGGAATGACGGGTAATGTTCCTTTTACCGTCAATAAAAATATATATTTTAATTAAAAACATTAAATAGTATAAATATTAGGTTTAAAAAAAATAAAACCCCCTTAATACCTCTATGTAAAAAACGATATTATGGTTTTTGTCAAATGTCAATCTATCAAGTGTCAATGTACTAAAAATATGATACATGAACATGAATTTGTCAGTAAAACTTAAACTTGTATATATTTTTAAAAATCAATAATTAATTTCAAAACTTATTAGTGAATACAACTTTTTTATTGTATTAAATACAGTGCATTATTCTTATTTATGTATAGGTTTTTATCTCATAAACTTTGATTGATTACCGAAGTGGTTTATATTATTTTGCAAGTCTTTTCGATAAAGAAAATTTTGGAAGCCACTATGACGGATGTTCTACCTGCAGAAGAAACTAAACAAGATCGAGTTGTAACAATACTAAGAGGCTTTCAAATGTATCCTTTTTCACTGTCACATTTTTCACAATTTCAGTAACTAAAAGCACTCTCAATATACCCTAAAATAATCTTTTTGACTTTAGATGATCGGTAAGGTAGTCACTATGTAATATATAGTGACTACCTTACCTATATATTAAATAGAGTATTCAAAGAGCAATGAAAGTGTTTACTTTCAGAGCCAGATGGGTAATGTAATAACTTGTATAAATCTTATGTTTCCTTTTACATCACTATTTGCTGTCCATGTATTTGTAAGATTAGCTTTTAAGTTTTTAGTCTATTGTTAATATTTTTTTTTTGTATTACTTTAGATTAAGGTACTATGTATATATATATTTTTTTTTATATAACATTTGTTACTGCACTTCTCGCACGAATCATGTTTTTTTTTTTTTTTTAGTTTTTTCTTTAACTAGGGTTGCCTGGAAGAGATCGCTTATTAGCGATAAGGCCGCCCGTTGCATCCCTTATAATTTTTTTTTTGTATTGTGTTTGATTTATTGTTTTTTGCAACAAAGTGTTAATAAATAAAATAAAATAAATAATGTAATGCAACAATTACTTAACAGTTTTGTTTTTATTTTCGATGAAAATGTTATATACAATCTATTCCTTAAACATTTACAGAAATTGGATGAACCTACGTGATGCTGACTCAGGTAAATATAATTCTAGTTTCACATCCCTTTAAGATTCAATCCTCTAAAATAGACACTGAACTACACACACACAAATCTTAACTATTCTTAGTTCTCTCAAGAAAGCAATAAAAAAGATTTTTTTTGATGCCATTCCCTTCACTGATTTAAAGTTATGACAATATTAAAATTTACAAAAATATAGTTGGTAATCACTTTTTATCATTGTGTTGCCTATCCTGCTTCATATTACTCATTTTGTTAATCAAGTTTACTTGCAACCACCTCTTTTCCATCTTTAGTACTGGTCTCCTCTACTCTATATTGTATTTCTCAGGATCAACATAAACACACTCTTACACTCTTTGTGTTTGTTATTACTGTACATGAAAAATTATTATAACAGTACTTCTATTAACAATTTATAGTCATTATCTAATTTATGGGTTTCAGGAAAGATTCTCTGGCAGCATAATGAAGACATGTCAAGTCCTGAAATGGAGCATGAAGCTAGGGTACCTAAGCGTATTCTCAAGTGTAGAGTTGTTTCCCGCGAAATGAACTTTAGCTCAGTTGAGTCTATGGACAGATTCAGGCTGGAACAAGTGAGTTGTGCTTACAATGTCCATAAAAACAATAATAATTCTTTAATTTGACTAAGAAAAAACCCAAATATGGTTTCTTTTGGCTTCTTTTCTCACAAATTTTGTTGTGTTTTGTTTTATAAATATCAAGAAATATTATATTGAAAGTACATATTTCTTACTGATATATAACAACAATTTCAGAAAGTGCTGTTTAAAGGGCGTTGTTTAGAAGAGTGGTTCTTTGAATTTGGATATGTCATACCCAATTCCACCAACACTTGGCAATCCATAATAGAATCTGCTCCCGAATCCCAAATGATGCCAGCCATTGTTCTTAAGTAAGTATTGTATATGTTCGCGACTGTTTCTTATTCTGTGTAGATTGCACATATTATGTAAATTTTGATGTGTAATGATTAATGTCAAAAATATCAAATGTTTTTTTAAAATGCAAGTAGGTAAACCTTCTTTATTTGTCACAAGTAGATTTTTGGGTCTAAGTCATACCGGTTATAACGGGAGTGTTAACCTCACAGAAAGAAAAGTCCATTACATAGCAGTGATTTGTATGTTAGACTTAGGGTTTAGAGTCGAACACTCAAGTTATTAGGCTAAGAGTATAGTATTTTACTTATATGGCAATATTTCTACGGCAACATACTAATAGTAACATTTCTAATTTCAGTGGGAATGTTGTGATAGAAACAAAATTCTTTGACGGGGATCTCCTTATTACTACCTCCAGAGTGAGATTATTTTATGTTTAATTTGGAACATAGACTAAGCACACATCAGCATTTGTGTATGCATTTTACAGGCCTTATTTACAAATAAATATTTTTACTGCACTGAATTTTCACTTACATGTTTTTAGTAGTTTAAAAGTCATCATTCCTGGCTCAATTTAAATGATTTGATAAGATACACTGACTTTTCTTGGAAACCTGTTTAATAAGTTGAAGACACAACTCAAGTCATTCAAAAAACCTTATTATCAAGTAACTATTTGTAGTATATAAATAATTAATAAAACAAAAAATTATTTCATGTGTACTACATTCCATAATATTAAAATAAAATTATATGAAATGCATTTATTGTAATGTAAATAAGGCCTCTAAAGAAGTAATAGTATGTTATTATTTTCTAGTCACTTTAGAATTGTATGTATAAGCTTAACATAAACTGCTTTTAAAATGCCCAAAATACCTTAAATTGCTCAACACTTTGGTTATTATACTTTTTAAAGCTAATCTTGACAATTTTCCATTTTATTGTCTATGGAAGGTTGAGGTATAAATCACCAGCTTAAACAGGTTTCAGGGTTATGATGTTAATAACACTTCAATACACATCTCAATTTATTACATTGTAAAATTCCATTTACTATGATTTTATAAAAATTGCATGCATATCACTAAATTTTCTAATGAACTGTCCACTATATAATTATTGTGAAGTGTAAATGTTATTAATGTAATTTTGATACTTAATTACTGAAATCTTAATTCATACTTGGAAGGCATAGAAGTATCTTTGTACTACATTGTTGGGACATACGTCTTACTGATTTTTAAATTCACAGATTTCATTAAAAAAATAAAAACTAGGAAGTATTATTAAGAAGATCTAACAGTATTCTATTATAAATTTTTCCTATTAATAATGTCCCTCTGAGTGGAGAATGACTAATTTTTGTAAGTAGTATACAGTTTTGAACTAAATAATATATTTTACATAATGTGATTGAATTTTCACAAGTTTTTGTTACAAGTTTGAGTGTTTTAAAGAATGTCAATTTAAACTGTAATAAATAGTGGATTAACTAAAGTTTCAAAGTGTTTTTTTTGTCTAATAATAATGTTGAAAGTCATAATTACTGATTTATCAGTACCATTTGGTGATGATGGAGCAATCAATAAGAGCAGAGCTATCATTTCCTTTTGGTGATGATGGAGCAATCAATAAGAGCAGAGCTATCATTTCCATTTGGTGGTGATGGAGCAATCAATAGGAGCAGAGCTATCATTTCCACTTGGTGATGATGGAGCAATCAATAGGAGCAGAGCTATCATTTCCATTTGGAGATGATGGAGCAATCAATAAGAGCAGAGCTATCATATCCATTTGGTGACGATGGAGCAATCAAAAAGAGCAGAGCTATAATTTCCATTTGGTGATGATGGAGCAATCAATAAGAGCAGAGCTATAATTTCCATTTGGTGATGATGGATCAATCAATAAGAGCAGAGCTATCATTTCCATTTGGTGGTGATGGAGCAATCAATAGGAGCAGAGCTATCATTTCCATTTGGAGATGATGGAGCAATCAATAAGAGCAGAGCTATCATTTTGCATTAGGTGATGATAAAGCAAGATTGGCGATTTAAAAGAGTAACGGAAAGTTTTATGCCAGTTCTCTACGCCCTTGATATGGGAAGTGGTAGTAAACGTAAATTAAGTTTATTTTAATATTGACGGTCATAACTATACTTTATTGAGGTTTTTTATATTAATAAATAAATCGTGATAAGAATGAAATGTTTCACGTTCAAGGTGCACTCTTCCTCATACCTTAACTGAGAATAAGTATGTGAAACACCTACCAGTGAAGTATTTACGAAAAAAATCAATTTAGGATGGTTCGACGTTCAAGAAAAGGGCGTACCAATTTATAAAGGCCGGCAACGCACTATCGAGCCATCTGACAGTGTGAGCTTGAGCCTCCTAGCCATGTGCCCCTTTTTTTATAATAAATAATACGTGGCTACGTCGAAAAGTTGTTTAACGATCAAGTTGTCATCTGAATGTTTCTATCCGCCGACTGTAGATGACGCTACAGGGTCTTTGCTAAGGAACGTCGACATTTTTATTAGTAGTTTATCTTGTAATCATTTATTAACCCCGTCAAACAGATTTAGCAAATTGCTGATAGACATGAATACCAGTCGCGTAATAACGTGGGTGGAATATGAACTGGAAACTTTAATTTACGTAAAGAATATAATTTATACTCGTATATCCGTTAAAGAAGTTTTCTTTAATATTTTTAATTGCTCGTAAATCGAAATTTTTGTTTATACAATTGTAAATATATAAACAATATACCGTATTATTAATAATTACACCGGTGACTCCAGAGATGGTACTTACGCTCAACGATTAAGTACCGTAATACAGCGAGGAAATACTGCATTAAAGGGTTTTACATTACTCCAAACTTTTGATTTTGACGTGACAACGTCTTATAATTCGATGGAGCCGGCTGCACGCACGAAAAAACATGACTCATGCGGCGTTACCTCGCTCCGAGGCGTTCCATTTAAGGCTAGAAGTGCAAGCGAGAGCGCGGAACGAGTGACAAAGAGGCACAATCGGCCTCCGCGTTCGGCAGCGTTCGACATCCGTCATTCTCCTACTTAAGTGAACCATGCGTCCACGTGGAGAGCTGCTATACAAAAATACATTTACATGTTTTTGTCAAGTATGAAGTGCAGTGTTTTCAGTATTTTCCTAGGAAGTTGTCACGTTTAACTATAATTTTGTTAATACTCAATATGTATGTGTTATAGATGACAAAGTAATTTAAATTTGTATAAATATTGAATGTTTGAATATGATATATAAATTGAATTCACTAATTTTATTTAGGTTGTGATTTGTAATATTAAGTATTATTTGTTGTTTTAAATGTTAAATTTCAGTTTTCTTTATATGGTTTTGTCTATTGATGTGCTTATTTGTTTTATTTTTCGTATATAATATTGTTTATCTATGTAATCTGTTTTGGTTTTCTGTACTGTCTAAGTGTTTGTTTTATAATACTATGTATGTTAGCTGTAAGATTACTTATAATTAAATATTAGGTCCTTACATATGAAATTGGCGTATTTCGTACTGGCCACTTTAATCACGATGTTCTCCTCTTTGGTAAGGAATTCCAAATTCATATTTGTACAGCTATTTACTCATGTATTTGTGCTTCGATGGCCGTCATTCATTTGTTTTTTTCTTCTGTTTTTTTGTGTTTGCGTCACTCATTTTACAAACTAAAGTATCGCATTATTTACGAGTACGAGTTCCGCCGTGGCACTAGTGCTGCGGAAACGACTCGAAGTGTGAATGATGTGTATGGCGGTCATGTTGCAAAAGAAAACACAGTTCGTTTTTGGTTCCAACGTTTTCGTTCTGGAAATTTTGACCTGCAGAACAAGCCCCGTGGACGGCCTGAGACCCAAGTTGATAATGAAGTATTGAAGGCTATTGTGGAAGCGGATCCACGTCCGAGTTAGCTTCAGGCTGCGGTGTTAGTGATAAAACTGTTTTAATTCACTTGAAGCAAATTGGGAAGATTAAAAAGCTTGAAAGATGGGTACCTCACGAATTGACTGAAGCAAACCGGCAAACGCGCGTCGACTGCTGCGTTACATTACGGAACCGGCACAATAATGAAGGTATTTTAAACCGAATCATTACCTGTGATGAAAAATGGATTCTTTACGATAATCGGAAGCGCTCAGCGCAATGGTTGGATCCTGGCCAGCCAGCCAAATCCTGCCCCAAGCGAAAATTAACCCCAAAAAAGTTACTTGTAGGTAATTGTTGGTGGACTAGTGCCGGTATTGTTCATTGCAGTATTCTCAAATCTGGCCAGACTATTACGGCTGATGTCTATTGTCAGCAATTGCCAACCATGATTTAAAAGCTAGCGGCTAAACAACCTAGGCTGGTCAATCGCTCCACGCCACTGCTACTTCACGACAACGCTAGACCACACACTGCACAACAGATTACCATTTTTTTCGAAATTTGGACAACTTCTTGCAAGGGAAAAAAATTAACTCTGATGGGGCAGTCCAAATCGCCTTCACAGATTTTATTGATTCCCGTCCGACTGGTTTTATTAGTAAAGGGATCAATGAACTACCTATGAGATGGCAAAAGTGCATAGAAAACAATGGTTCATACTTTGAATAATTAAATATATTATATTTAAAAATATTCGACTTTTTGTTCCTCCCATACAAAACGCCAATTTCATATGTAAGGACCTAATTATTAAATAAGTTCATTGTAATATTGCATCGGACTAAGGTGCACTTTACAAAAGGACTATAAAGTTATTCACAATTCAAAATCAAACATGTCCGTAGACAATGATTGATTTCCTATAACAATGTGATTCACTGCATAATATCGATATGCATATTGTTGCGGTTAAAACTTGACAGGCTTGAAAGACAGACAATGGCAACATGTCCACATTATTCACACTAGTATTTTGCGTTTATTTTTTTCAAATATTGTATGTGGGCCTTACTTCAGAGATTTATTCAAAGAGGTAGGAAGGAAGAGGAGGAAGAGAAAGAGTAGATCATTTAAAGATTGACTGTTGAATAATTTGCGTACTTCTACAGTGTAAAAAAATATGAATTGGTTTATAAAGGTGCCTTTATAGCATGGGCGAGTATTTAGACCATAAGTTTGACATTAATTATAAATAGCTTAGCTTATTATTGTGACATTGTGTTGGTGTTCATATTGTATGACATTATAAAAATTAATATGACATTTGCATGCCTATTTATATATGGCTGATTGTGCGTATTTTTATAATTGATCGATCTAAATGTACCACTTTTTTTGCAAATAAATGATTTATTATTATTATAGCTTAAATCGCAGGTCTTATAGCATCATAAGCAATCCTGGATTTAGAGGTCCTCTGGCCGCAAATTCTTATCAAAATAAAATTGTCTATTATTTT